TATAGAGCACATGCATCGCCCACAAAGATTTTGATAAATGTGATTTTTCAAAGGATTTTACACAACATATCCAAAAATTAAAGTGGGCGTAATTATAAGTCACAGATATCTGTTCACCTATTGTTGCCAAACATACTTGAAACATCGATACCAAAAAAGCATTTCTATGCTCTCAGGTCAAATCACCTCACATAGAACTTAGTGGCTTCAAAAATGCTTACCCTAGTGAGCAAACTGAAAATGGATGAATAAAAGTGGTAGGTATGAGATGGAGTAGAAAAAAGTGGTAAACTTCCACACAAAGCAGTAGAGTTTACATGTTTAAAAAAAAACAATGAGTTTTACAAACAAAAATTACCAAACATCAAGTTTTTGCTGGTATTTCCTCAGAAATTGTTTAAGTGCATGGCATCATTAGGCATACTAAAGTTTGACAAATGTTTTTCATTTATTGTAACTTTACAGGAAATAAGATAAAAAAAAAATCAAATCTGTTGTGTCTGTCCTTAATAATGAATTTTTTTGTCATGTGACAAACATGTATTTTTATTCAGACTTAAATACACATTGCTCAAATAGTCTTATATAACATGTGTAAGGGAAAACATTTGCAAATCTAAAAAGTGCAATATATACAAATATTTAAAAAAAAAAAACATAATGCTGTGTAACGGTACTGTATCTTTATTGCAGCATTAATTCATATTTCCCTTGGGGCTAGATTTTGATCCACAATTTGGAGTTAAATCATGTACATATTTTTGAAATTGTTAAGAGGGAAATGTATTTTTTTTTTTTTTTTTTTTTAAATTAGCTCAAGAAGAATAAAAGGGCTAAAGTGACTCAGGTGAGTGTTGTGGCCCATGGGCCTCTTGTTTCAAATTTACTGATATAGCATGTACAGTTGATGTAAATCTCTTAAATTATGTTCAAAAGCAGAAAGGTAAGGGTACTGTTTTTTTTTTCTTTCATTTTATTTTAAAAACCAGTGATGGCAGTGAATACAATAGACATGCAACATTTTTTCATCCGCATTTGTTTTATTTCAGAAGAGGAAATGCACATATCTGAGGAGTTGAGATACAACAGATCTAGCTAGCAGGAAATAAAAGATGCGAGAGGTAAACATCAATCTTAGGCCAAAAAAAAAAATTGAGTTTCACCAGTACTTTTAAGTAGCCAAGTTTATGGAGTATAGTTTTGTGTCACCTGTAGAGCAGAGCAACACTTTAGTTTGACATAGAAAGAAATAGCCTTGCTTGATAAAAAAAAATACAACCAAAACCTTTTGAAATCTTTGACCTGAGAAATAACAGATTTTTTTCTTATTTTGGCCTTATGTACTAGTATCATGTTTTAAGTAGTCCTAGGAAATTCCTACAACTAAACAGGATGTTTATTACAATGCACAGTGTGTATCACAATGCTTTAGTAATTGAATTGAAGGTCATCAGTAATTCCTACCAAAAGGTTATTTCATTATTAGTTAAAAAGCAGTACATATTATAAAGAGCTGACACAAAATAAAAAAAAAAATCGCCATTCTGAAATTCTAAGCCAGGGTTTTGGTTGACTATTTTTGGGGCTCTTCAAAGGTCCCATTCCCAATTCAAAAAATGTACCTTTTTTCCCAATTGATGACAAGTTGAACATGTTGAAGATAACGAACTGTGATCAATCTCATAAAAATCTATGAACAATACAAATTTGTGAGCAGGGCATAAAACACTGACCCCTGGAAATTCTAGGAGGAGTGAGCATCCCCTGTAGATCGTTTACACCCGCTGTGCTCATTTTCCCAATAGTCATACCTCCCCCCCCCCCCCCAAGGTTTAAGAACATGAAGTAAGATATATAATAACTGAACTTCTTTTTCATATATTAAAAGAATTTTAGTTGATAACAAACACCAGAAAACCAATGTACATATAAAATGATTTTCATATATAACAATTTTCCTAAAATTCCCTTAAAGATGGGTAACTTTCCTAATTTTTACTGCGCCAGTTCCAAAACGTGGTGTGAAGGCCCTGTAAGCACAAGCAAATTATATCAGAGTACAGTAAAGAGATGAGCATGATGTAAAAGACAGTAAATTTTGTGTAATGACCTTGACTGTTTAAAGATTGTACCATTGTTACTCTACACCACTTTATATTTAATTTGTACTTTGATCTAGAAAAAAATATTTATCTATATCCCAAGTATCAAACTTGAGGGTCCTTCAGACATTTTCAGCTTATGATGTAATATTAATGAGTATCACAATGAGCATGCATACTAGCCATTAAAACATGATTGTTAAGTGAAATCTGCAGATAACAAACAGTATTCAAGCTCCAAGGCCATTTAGACAATACAAATCAGGAGCAGAGCAAACACAGACTTCCAACAACATCAGTATGATCAGAGGATGAATCAGGTGCCATGGAGGAATGAGCACCCCCTGCCAACCGGTCACACCTGCCTTGTCATAATTGGGGAAAAAATAGAAAAATCCATAGACAATTCAATGTGGCCCAGGGATCGACATTAAAGGTTGTCCGATTGCCCGGGGGCAAGTAAATTCTCAGTTCGGGCAAGTGAAACTGCCGATGTAATTGTCCGATTGGGCAAATGAATATTTCTAATAGAAATTTTTTTTTTCAAATCTTACATTAGTTAATTAAAAAAAAATTGAACACTGATTTCGTCCAGGTTCTGCATTCGGAACCCCTTGGTCAGACATTCGTAGCGTTTCTCAATCAAGAATTTGATTAAATTTGATCTGATATCGGGTTCGTTTTTCTGTTTTCACAAAAATATGATCTCTGTTGGAAATTTTTTAACGTTCTTCTTATGAAATTAGATATTATGGAATAGTTAGAACAGTTATTCTCGGCACACGATGTATCTTGGTCAGGATATGTGCGTTTCGAAACATGGAAACAGTTTTCCTTTAGGCGTAACATGGCTTCAGATTTTCAGGGGGGAAAAAAAATCAAAATTCACAAAATTAAGATCATACAGAAAATAATTTTAAAAATATGAATTTTATTTTAAGGAATATTGCTGCATGGCAGTGTGAGTTTTCAGGATAGTAAATGACAGGAAAATGATGTACATGTATTTTAAAAATGTAGCATCACTGGCATATCAACATTTTTTTTCCAGCAGTTTACTTAATATGTCTTCATACTTCATTTACAATAATATATTAAGTTACCGGTATTTTTTTTTCTTTCTAAATTTTGGGCAACCAAGTTTGGCATTCGGACAAGTCAAAGTTTGAGTTCGCTCTCAAGAATTGTTAAGCAGTGATTAGACATACATTGTATTTATATGGAAGCATTCTTGATAGTTTACATTCAAGATTGAGGTTGAAGATTGTCTTTTCAAATGAACAAAAAGAAACAAAACTAACTAATTTTTTAAATTAAACTTTCAAGGACTAGTATTTCATGTATTCTGTTCACTGTAATAGATAACAGATGACCAAATTAATTTGTTCGGGTTTGTTCTTCTTTATTTTAGATCGAGATTGAACTTTTTAAAATGGCGGCTTCACGTCAGTCGATTTCGCTGATATATTAAAATAATTTGCATGGTCCCCTGAATTTCAATATATTGGGAGTAGGCTGTATTTATATGGAAGCATTCTCGATAGTTTACTTTCAAGATTGTTCAAATCATGACCCCCAGGGGTAGGGAGGGGCCATAATTTGTGATCAAATTTTAAAATCAGAATACATAGGAGAAATTGTTAAAAATCTTCTTCCAATGAATTGCGAATCCATGATTAGCCATATTAATTCAGAAGCATCCTCAGGTAAGGTATATTCAAATTTGTTCAAATCATGTCCCCTGGGGGTAGGATGGGTCCACAACAGAAGATCAAACATATTGAAAAAAGCTTCTTAAGCCAAGATTAGTCAAAGAAATATGAAAGCATCCTCAGTTAGTGTAAATACAAATGTGAATAAATTATACCCCCCTTTCCATGGGGGAGAGGGTATTTGTGATCACTTGTATATTTAATCTATTCAGTATTTTTTTTGTAGCCAATGTGCTCAGATGTGCGATGTGGCCCATGGACCTCTTGTTACAAGGTACTATAGACTAATTATTTCGATGATCCTGATAACCCTATTTCTCTTGCTTTGGGGCAACAAAGCTTCTTCTCTCAGTTTATTTTATACTCTTATGGATTATTGTTTTATACTCAGGTGACCGTTAAGGCCCTTGGGCCTCTTGTTATACTCAGGTGACCAGTGAGGCCCTTGGTCCTCTTGTTGATTTAAACAGTCAATGTTGCCATGTGTTAGTATCGATAGATATTTCTGTGAAATTTATACAAAACATTACTCCTCCTACAGTTTCTGTCAGATTTCAGTAAGACTTGGTACAACAAGTACATTATTATAAAAATATTGCATGTAGTTGGGTGTAACATTGAAAATTTTCACCCCAAGAAAACCATTGTCAACCGAGGCGCAGCCGCATCATTCAGCGGGTAATAGTGATTTTTAACAAATGTTTCTCGATGAATCAGATTCAACTGATTTACATGAAAGTATAATATACTTACATGTATTTTGTCTTTATTTTAAAAGCAGACCAGTGGCACTACAGTCTCATTTGAAACCTGATTAATTTTTTTTTTTTTTTTGGACATATTTTAATAGTAGTAATCTCTGCAAAACAAACAAACAAACAAAAAGAAATTGATCTTGTGTGAAACAAGGGGAAAAACTTGGGACTTTTTCAAGTGTTATTGAATGAAAATAAATAAATGTAAATAGCATGAATATTTTTTGACTTTGGCCGTTGTGCCTTGTGATGCATGTGATTATATAATTATGTACTAGTTACCATGATGTAATCTGAGGTCAATGTAGATAAGACACAATCTAGTACATGTATAGGCCTTGATGTCACTTTCAGTTTCAACAATGTATGTATATTTTGAACATGTTGAATGCATTAAATATTGCTGTGAGTTTTCAATTTGTTATTATTTCAGGATTTAAGAAATATGGGAAATCCTCCGAAGGATCTACGTGATATTTATTGGAACTCTTAAAATTTCTTGAACAGGTAAAGTTTTAGTGATAACGGTGATAAAAACCAAAAATAAACTACATTATGATAATGATTATGCTACAATAATTGAATTTTTGACACGTTTTGAGTTTAATAATCATCTCATGAATATATTAAAGACTATCTTTTTTCCCCAGGTACAACTAAAATGCACTAAAATCATGAAAATAGAAAAATTGCTATATAACATGTTTAAATCATGATAATTCATTTAAAATTTGAAATAATATTGCATCTTGGGAGAAGGGTGTGTTTCAACCCCAGAGTAGGTCATCTTTGCCATGTTTGTGTCATTTTTAGCTCTACTGGTCAGAGACCAGAAGAGCTTATGCGATAGTAAGGTGTCCGTCTTCCGTCTGTCTGTCTGTCCATCTGTAAACAATTTTTCAAAACACTACTCCTCCTACAGTTTTGTCTGATTTCAATATAACTCCGTCTGTCTGTCCGTCTGTTAACAATTTTTCAAAACACTATCCTACAGTTTTGGCCTGATTTCAATAAAACTCCGTCTGTCCGTCTGTAAACAATTTTTCAAAACATTACTCCTCCCACAGTTTTGGTCTGATTTCATCATAACTTGGCACATAAGTAGACTACACTAAAGCCCCATTCACATGCACTGATTTACTAACCAGGTGCAAATTTTGCATGCATGCAAAATCTGCACCCAGGTGTAAAAGTATATTTGCTAAGAGTTCACATGGAACTTAACAAATTAGATCAAATGGCACTAATTCATAAAGTTGAACAAAAAAGATGGCAAATTATTTTAGGTTCAGAGGAAGGATGATATTCCCACATTGTGTAGCTTTAGGTTTTTGTGCTGGGCTAGGTCGTTTGAGGGATCAATGGGCTAGGGAAAGGTCAACAAACTGGTACGACAGAATTGTGTTACAAAGATTTGACAATTCTCAATGGATTGAGGACTTTTGAATGGGAAGACACGCATTCGAAATGCTTTACAATAATTATTATATTCTGGACAAATACTTAGCTCCCAAAGAAAAATGTGTTCGCCAGCCACTAAGGGTCCAAAAGCAAGGGTCCAAAAGCAAGTTGCTATTACATTGTACTGGCTGTAAAATTTGCTGTGCGTTCACATGCCGAAAAATACACTAGCAGTAAATTTACACATATGCAAAAGTAAATTTGCACCTGGTCTGAGTAGATGTAAATTTACACTCAGATGTATATTTGCACATATGTATATTTACTTTTACACGTATGTAATTGCGTTCACATGCTCAAATTTACACCCGGGTGCAGATTTTGCATGCATGCAAAATTTGCAACCAGTGAGTAAATCAGCGCATGTGATTTCAATATAACTTGGCACACAAGAAGACTACACTGAAATACATATTAATTCTGTTGTTTTTTGCTTTTGTGGAATGATTTTGCCATGGTTACTAAAATCGAAATTTCTGTAAAATTCTTTTAAATGACTACTCCTCCTACAGTTTTAGTCTGATTGCAATAAATCTTGCCACAAAAAGAGACTAAAACTAAGAATCATTATTCTATTTATTGCTGTTGCAAAGTTTCAAGTCCAAGTGCTACTTTTATCTTTCCTTTGTTATAAGTACAAACCAGTAGAGCTACAGTCTCGGCAGAGACTTCTGATTGAATTTTTAGCTCACCTCAACGAAGTTGGGGGAGCTTATGTAATACCGTCGGCGTCCCAGGTTAAGGTTTTTGGAGCAGTTTTCTTTTCAAGTACTTCTATGGCCTATATTAGTCAGACATGCATGGAGGATGCTTCTAGTGTGTTTCATTGTACCAGTCAAGGTTGCAGATGCTGAAATTTCAGCTAAAGAATGACCAAGTTAATGTTTTTGGAGCAGGTTAAAGTTTTTGGAGCAGGTTAAAGTTTTTGTAGCAGGTCTCATTTCCAAGTAACTATAAGCCCTATATTGACCAAACTTGCATGGATGATACATCTAAGGATGCACACTACTGAACTTGCTTCGGATGCTGGATCTGACCTATATTTTCTGGATGAGTGACTAGGTTTAGGTTTTTGGAGTAGATCTCATTTCCAAGTAACTATAAGCCCTATATTGACCAAACTTGCATGGATGATACATCTAAGGATGCACACTACTGGACTTGCTTCGGATGCTGGATCTGACCTATATTTTCCGGATGAGTGACCAGGTTAAGGTTGTTGGAGCAGATCTCATTTCCAAGTAACTAAAAGCCCTATATTGACCAAACTTGCATGGATGATACATCTAAGGATGCACACTACTGGACTTGCTTCAGATGCTGAATCTGACCTATATTTTCCGGATGAGTGACCAGGTTAAAGTTTTTGGAGCAGATGTCATTTCTAAGTATCTATAAACCCTATATTGACCAAACTTGCATGGATGATACATATAAGGATGTACACTACTAGACTTGCTTCGGATGCTGGATCTGACCTACATTTTCCGGATGAGTAACCAGGTTAAAGTTTTTGGAGCAGATGTCATTTCCAAGTAACTAAAAGCCCTATATTGACTAAACTTGCATGGATGATACATCTAAGGATGCACACTACAGGACTTGCTTCGGATGACCAGATTAAAGTTTTTGGAGCAGATGTCATTTCCAAGTAACTATAAGCCCTATATTGACCAAACTTGCACGGATGATACATCTAAGGATTCACACTACAGGACTTGCTTCGGATGCTGGATCTGACCTACATTTTCCGGATGAGTAACCAGATTAAAGTTTTTGGAGCAGATCTCATTTCCAAGTAACTATAAGGCCTATCTGAACCAAACTTGCATGGATGATGCATCAAGGGACGAACAATCTCAAAACTTGCTTCGGATTCTGGATTTGACTTACATTTTCTGAATGAGTGACTAGTTTTAAGTTTTCAGATAAGTCTATTCCCAAGTAACTGCAAGCCCTATCAGACCAAAATTGCATAAATGTTGCATCTAGGGATGCACACTCCTAGATTATTAGTTTAGTGTGGGACTTTGCCTTACTTAAAGACAACATTCGTTGAGGTGAGCTCTGTAATCTCTGATTACCTATGTTTTGCTACACTTTATCAATTCAATTCAATTCTTTATTCACTCAAAACCAGATCACTGGTACAAGAGGTAAATAAATTCAGATCAACCAGAAGTCTCTGCCGAGACTGTAGCTCTACTGGTTTGTACTTATAACAAAGGAAAGATAAAAGTATTTGTGAAGTAAAAATATAAATATTACATGCTCCAATACACATGATACACTAAGCATTACATGTTAATTTCCTAGTACCTGCCCACTGACAGAAACAATGACAGGCCGGGAAATTGACAAGCATATTAGGCACTTAACCTTTTCCTTGGCAAAATTTACATTCAGTTGTAGCCTAAATATGATGAAATTAACACACTTAACTTTTAAAGAGTTATCCCAGAGAAAAAGTAGGAAATGTAAATATACAATTATGGACTTCTGTGGTGATAAGAACCCATGTCAAGTGATACTGAGCTAAGAACTAGGAAATGATAGCAACCGAGTGCTATTGAATAACTAAATTTTCTTTTTGTTTTTTTTTTAGTATAAGGAATACTGGAACCAAAGATACAGACATGTCATATAACTCCATTATGGGAGACCTTCTCCTGACCAATGCAGCAACTTCAAGAGGAGATTATGCAAAAAATGTAAGGAGATGAAGTTCTTCAGTGACCAGATGCACCTATGTAGATACATTGATCCTTATTCCATATTTTAATTTTATGCAGGGCAGTAGATATAAAAATGGAGTAAATATTGACACCATAATGTGTTTATTTCATACACATGTGGTAAAAATAAATAGAAAATTTACCTGCAGTATATTAATGATGAATTATAATTATAGTAAAACATTTTTTCTACTCAGAAGAAGGTTTCGTGGATTGTGAAATCCTCAAGGAATATAGTCTATGTAATGAAGCGATTTCAATACCTAATTCTGAGATGTTTTTCTCCATGGCTGCTATACAACACATTTATTCTGGAAAAGGTAATATCAAAATTTCATTGATTTTCTGAGTCCTGGAGATCTGATTAATTTAAGATTTTTTAAGTGGGTTTCTGTAGGAAAAACATTTTTATTTTGCAGATCAATTATACATATATGAGAGAGTACTTAGATTTTGATTTTGATATATGAGAAAAATACTCATTTTGCATATTATTTGGATATATATATCAGAAATTTGTATAGTACTTGGATTTTGATCTTTGCATGTTTAAGGGAAAGTTGTTAAACTTCGAGTCATTTTTATGCAAAGTATGTTCTTGGGGTACATTGATATTGACCTGTTGATGCAGTTTCCAGAATAGAAAGATTTTATAATTAATGGGAGAAATGCCAGTGCTATTCACAAAAAAGAAAACCTGCTGTCTGTCACATTGACAGTTTTCCTTTCTGTTTAAATCTGAATAAGTTGTGGTGAAAACAGTTTCGAAGCTTAATTGGACAGGTATTTTTTACATTCCACATTCAGTGTTCTATCAATACATTAAGAACCTTTTGTTTACATGTCATCAGTTGCTGCTATGCTATGGAAATACATGTACTCCATTTAATGATATCTTAATTTTAGGACAATTAGATCAAAGGTCAAAGTTGCATGTTTTGTCCAATGTTTTATTTTTTGATAAAAACTGTGTCTTGTGAAAACAGTTTTGAAGCAGTTTTTCTCGTATAACAGTTTTTCTCTTATATTAACTTTCATCAAAATATAGTACACATACTTGCTAAAAGAGAATTTTATATGTTTTTCAGATACCAAAACTCAAAGCCCATAGTTCTTGTAACACATATAACTGTGGCAATTCCTCATTAACATGTTCTTTAAATGCGGACATCATGAAAGAAAGAAGCAGAGTATTTCATTTAGAAAATGAAATGGGAAATTTTGATCCAGAATGTGAAACTACACATACACATGAAAGTAATAGTTTTTTTTTTAATTACTCTTTTTGTACTTGACATTATTTGTGAAGACTTCAAATAACATTTTTTATTTTTTATCATGATAATAAAAAAATTATTCTTGTGTTTCTTCAATGGTCTGATCTAAAATAAATAATTCATTCATTTCCAGTACAACATGGTTATGGATGTCAATTTGACATGAATTTAGGAGTTTATTTTTGGTATTTTTAGACAATTACTCTTCTACAACACTGTTGCTGGATGAAGTGTGTGAGAGAAAAGACCAGTGTTATGTTGCTGAGGAGTTGGATGTTAGCTTCTTGGAATTGTCAGACAGTGAGGAAGATTCTGATCTAGAAGTGGAGAATATGGAATACGAAATGTCCTTTAACATAGAGTCGCCTAATGAAACAGAGGAGTCGTATAGACAGAGAGGCAAACATCGCCAAGATAGTATTGTCATTGAAGTCTCTGACACAGAAGAAGGAATAACAACTCCAAAGGGGACAGCCAGGACATATTGGTCTAGTTCTTGTTTTGATAGAGATTATACCAGTCCAATTGACACAGATTTCAATTCTAAACAGCAAACGTACCAGCATCCAATTTTTACTAGTAATTCTTTGGAAGAGAGACAGAGAAAAGTTTTCTGTGACTCTGAGTCCAATCAGTGGGACAGTCAAGATAGTTCATTTTACTCCAACAGTTTTGTCTCATCGGGAGGATTGCATTCTCTGAAGTTTCAAGAAAATCTTGATTGTAAAGAGTACCTTCGTGTTTCAGAGAAAGTTATTTGTTGGGAAGAAAACGCTTATGTTGATATGTCTGAACATGATGTGAATTGTATTGTTGAAAACATAACTGAAAATTTCCATTCATCTCAAGAACAGAAAAGTATAAAACCCTTACCTGAAAAATTAAAAGGCAAAGTTGATTTTGAAGATCTTATTCAACATGATGTCAAAAATGAAATTCATCCTTTTTTGTGCATTATGCTTTGTGCTTTTCTCTTGAATCTAAGTGTAATAGCTGCAGTCTTTACACAGTCTAAAGAAAATGTTCTCAAATTTCAAGTGGAGACTCTGAAGAAAAAAAAGAAGAAAAGGAAGATATTACATGTATCTAAGAGAAAGAAACGACAAAGGCAAAGAATTCTAAGAGAAATCATTAACTGGCAGATAAGTCTAAGAAGAAATACAACTGTTATGTATGATTTCCAAACCCAGAATATTTACCCATCCAGAACAACGGGAAACACAAGACTAAATCAGATAGCTAACGAAGGCTTGGAGGGTGGAGAACGTAATGATATAGTACAGAGTCGACCCGCAGAGGCAGATCCAAGTATTGGGGAACAGATGCAGAATGGGATACTTAATGGCAACTTTGCAACATTTCCCAGGTATGTAGCAGAAAGAAATCAAACTGGAAATATGGATGCCAATAGGCAGTTCTACTCCAGTCCCACAATGGGGACAGAGAGACCTCAGGTTGACCCCCTCACAAGGTCCCTACCAGCTATTTACACAGTTGTGCCACAGGTGGGGGATATATCGGTCACTGAGGCCCTCCCAGTCATAGAAGAGAGTGAGAACTCCAGTTTGCGGAGCACAGAAAATAATGCTGTCCCTTTATCAGAAGAGGGGCAGTCACAGGGGAGGACAACAGAGGAGGCAATTTCTAATCCCTCCCACCCTTCAGTACCCCCAGAAGCAGATGGTGCATCTATGACATCAACAGAGACCCTCAGTAGCTTCTTCAGCAGTGTCTCACTGTCATCTGTTGAGGAAGACGAGGCGTTCCGATACGAGTGGATCAGACTGAAGACTTTCTCCAGCTGGCCCCTGACGTCCCTTTTCTCCACGGTAATGGCTCGTGGTGGGTGGGTGGCACTGGGGGAGGGTGATGGAGCCAGATGTTACAGCTGTCATGTTGTCCACGAGGGATGGAAGATTGGTGATAATCCATTAGATTTCCATGATAGACACTGCAGGTGAGATTTATTTCTCCACTTTTGAATGTAATTTCTGTGATCTACAAAGTCTTCAGTGCTTGTGGACAAGTTTTCTGTTTGCTTTATCGTGTGTATCATGCAAAGAATTTGCTTGTTTAATGCTTGTATCATATAATTTAGTTTTATCCCATGTTTACCCCTTTATCCCGTGGATATGACTCATTGGATAATTTTTTCATAATCCACAGTTGTGACGTCACAATGGTTTTTGCGTTAGCGCGATGAAGTAAAATAAAGTGGAGTCCTATATAAAACAGTGTAAAACATTGGTTGTGAAGTATTAAACATGGGATAAAAAGAATCTCCCATGATTTGTAGTTGGATATGACTTTTATCCAACTTGTTGTGTGTTTTTATCCTCTCGCCAAGGCTCGGGGATAAAAAACACACAACTCATTGGATAAAAATCATATCCAACTACAAATCATGGGAGATCCTATATTTATTTTTTAAATCTTGAAGTTATCTAAACATGGTGTATCATTTTCTGAAATAATTGTCAGTCATCCTGATCATCTCAAAAATGTTTTAACCTATTTTAACATTACAGGTCAGAATGTACTTATCCACTGTTTACAAACAATTAAATGTATACATATATTGCATACAGAGTGACTGAACCTAGTGTTATTTATTTTTCAGATTTCTACAAAGTGTGTCCGATAATGTCCCCATTATTCGGGAGGAACCTACTCCTACTCTAAGAACAATAGAGAGGGACCGTGAGAGACTCCCTGAGAGCAGTGATGTAGTACCCCAGGGAAACGTGACACAGCAGGTGCCCCGGTCTGAGGAGGAGAACAGAAACATTGTGATGAATCTGATGTCTAAAGACGTCGGGGAACCTTTCCAGGAAGAGAGAGGGAACCTGGTGGCTGTGAGCAGTAACCCGCGGGATGTGACATCACACTCAGAGGTCAGCTGTAACCCGAGGGACGTGACTCCAAATTTAGAGGTCAGTATATATTGTATAGAGGTCAGCATATATATAAGATGTGTCTAGAATGGTAGGACATACTTTGATATATGTGTAGCCATATTTAAAACACCTTAAAATATATACTGGGACATACTTATTATAACATTTAGATCTAAAAGCAGCAACTGTGAATAAATCTGTTGCTTAAATGTTAAAGTTTAGGACCTTTAATACTATACCTGTATAAATTAATATTATATCTTTTAGCTGAGTTAGACTGATATACTATAGCATGTTGTTTCAGAAAGCTTTTATAATAGGGATGTCAACGAATATTCGAGTACTCGACTATCGTTCGATCATACCGACTATCGACTAAAATTTCTTTAGTCGGTTATTCGTTAAAAATGTGTTACATAAAAGTAATTTTAAATTCAAGGTAATAAACGTGGATTTGACCATTTCATTTACAAATCAATGTTCTCGTAAGTAAAACTCAGGGTATGGTTTAACTGTTCAAAGGAAATTATTTGTATGTCGATTTATGCCTCCAAACCTACAGTTTGAGATACTTAAAAAGATGCCAGGATGGAAAAAAACAGTTAAAAGTATGTTATCAAGGTTATGTAAAGCTGAACTTGTATTCTGCTGTGGAACATCAAATATGATGTATTATATGCCGAATCCATCAAACATATACACAGTCTTCAAGTAAAAATTTCCTAGTAATATAAGTTCTTCACAAAAATGCCAAAAAGCAGAGCCGTAAAGAAAAATGTTGTTATCACGAACATGATTATCAAGGATTGTTTACCACTGATTGTTGTAATAGAGAGGACGTTCAAGATTTTTTTGGTTTTGTAGATTCAAATTATTATAAAGTTTCAACCTGCAATACCATAAGATCTGACGTAATGCAACTATTCATAAAGAATAATGAAATAGCTATTACAAAATTGTAAGTACATGTAAATTGGGTGACAGTTATGAGCATAATTAAATGCTGTTTCTTTCTGATATTAATATCATGCAGTGTATTGTTTGTTTAGACAAAATCTCAAAATTAAAATTTATCGCAAGCTCTCTCTGTTTTTATAAGAGGCACGCTTTAATTGTTTACCAGGCAAAGGACACTGGCACGACATGTAGAAATGGCTTCAATTAACGGGTACATGTACAATTGTTATGAAAAGAAAGGACAAATGCGAGCGTTTGATATCCTGCATTTAGATAAAATGTGCAGTAAATTAATATTATATTAATTTTTGAAATCAAATGCATTGGATACATGCAGATGTACAGTATTCATTGTACTCCAAAAATGTTTATGTTTAATGGTGATAGCGTAGGTTAAATATTGTACAACTAGTCTATAAAAGACAAATATAGTGAAAATGACATGAAAAATTAATTTAAATTTCAACGAATATTCGACTATCGTTCGACTAAAGCCTCCGACTATTCGACTAAGCTGTCCGAATAAAATTGACATCCCTATTTTATAATGCTCAGAAAATTCAATAACTTAAAATGTTCCATAATTTTTTTATTGAATTGCAGAACTCAGAGAGACCTCCTGCTTATAATTCATCGTACACATCCAGACCTCCTCCCCAACTAGTTGCTCCTGTGGAATCTAACCCCGTACTGAAGCATAGCCCCTCAAATCCACAGGGTTATTCTGCAGCAGGCCCCCCACCCCTACCCTCAGGTAGAGAGGCTCAGTTAGAGGCACTGAGGAGGGACCCCATGGGGATTAATTTCGACCGCCCTAAGTACCCGTCCTACGCCATTCTAGCTGTCCGAATCAGCTCCTTCACTGATTGGCCGGCATCTATGACACAAACTCCACGTGACATGGCCCTGGCCGGGTTCTTCTACGCTGGATATGGAGACTATACCCGTTGCTTTTTCTGTGGAGGGGGACTGAGGAACTGGGAGGCGGGGGACGACCCCTGGGTAAGTCAGAGGCATTTAAACTTCCAGTGAAAGGCTTCCAAAAAGTTACTAATTCATGCATTTATTGTTTTGAAAAAAAGGATAATGTGAAATAAATGGGAAATGATTTTTTTGTGTTTGTTTTGGATGTTATACTCGTCTGACTTTAAAAAAACAGCAGGAAACAAAAATTGCAGATGCCAAAAAGTTTTCAGGACCAAAAGTGCCTTGAATATTATATTTTGTGAACATGTATTTTAAGATGAATGGTTTGGAAATGCATTCATCTGTCTTTGTTTCATAGCTGTAGTTGAATTGAAGCCTTTTTTAACACTGTGAAAGTTTTTTTTTTTAAAAATATTGATTCATGTTTTTATTGTTTTGAAAAAAGATGACGTATTTTTTAATTATGAAATGAAAGTTTTTGCATTTGTTTTGTCAAAAAAGATGACATAATTTTAATTAGGAAATGAAATTTTTTCTTGATGTTTTGGATGTTATACAGACTTTTCAAGAATTTGCAGCAAACAAACATGACAAAAAAGGTCAATACCATAAAAATTTTCAAAACAAAATGTACCTGAATATTGTATTTTGTGATCATATGTATTTAATGACCCTCTCTACACTGCACCCTATTTTCAGGGTACTTTTGTGTAATTAGACTGACCCACCATTTGATATATAAGTAGAATAAACTGTAATCTGAACTGTATCACATAATTGAAAATAAAAGTATTCTAAACATTATATTAGACCAAGATAGGGTATTTGAAAACTTTATTTGCATGTATTTTATCCTTTTGAGTAAGCCAAGGCAATTTTTCTTTTCTATTACTTCAATTTCTTTGAAGATTTTTCCTGAATAAAAAAGGCACGCTCCCTATATTAAAGATTAGTTAGTTAACTTCAAAATATCCTCCTTTATGTTATAATTTTCTCAAAGTCCAAAAACATTTTTCATCAGTGTATAGAGGGTCCTTAAAGTTGAATTTATAGAATTGCATTCATTCTTAACTGTTTTTTTTTAAGGAGAATTGTAAAGCTTTTGTGATTTTTTGTTGTTTTTAGGTTGAGCATGCTCGCTGGTTCAGTAAATGTGCGTTCGTGCGACAGAATCGTGGACAACAGTTTATTGACCTTGTTCTGAGACGAGCAGCGGAGATGGTTAGTGATGATAGAAATTTTTGTTCTTGTATAGAAATAGTAGTTCAAAATGGAGCAGCTTAGGCCATCTTTAAAAAATTGTTTGGTTGCCCTCTCCGGACTGACTGGCCAAAAATGGCCCGACTCAAAATTTTTTTGAACTTTCATGTAGCAATTATTTTTTTTATGCCTTCCAGAAAAAATATTTTGAAAATTCAGCATTGATGTTAAAATTTTCTAGGAAAAAAAAATTTCCACCTACCTAAAGAGGCCTATTTTAAAGATGGCCTCAAGTGATATTTTTATGATTACATCAAAGTTAAATAACATTTTTTTTTTCGAAAAAATTTTTAAATTCAGAGGTCATTAAGAGACTAAATATTTTGAGACAGTTTTGTTGCTGAAATTAATTAAAAACCTTGAACTTTTGAAGAAATTTCATCTCACTAATTGTTAAGAAGGTTGATATTTTAACCATTGTCTTTATATTTCTTGTATTAAGGAGGAACAGAGGTCACAGGATGAAGCGGGAAACTCGCAGACAAACACACAGACAAGTAAGTAACAGACACACAGACAAACACACAGACAAGTAAGTAATACACACAGACAAACACACAGACAAGTAAGTAATACACACAGACAAACACACAGACAAGTAAGTAATACACACAGACAAACACACAGACAAGTAAGTAACAGACACAGACAAACACACAGACAAGTTAGTAATACACACAGACAAACACACAGACAAGTAAGTAACACACACAGACAAACACACAGACAAGTAAGTAACACACACAGACAAACACACAGACAAGTAAGTAATACACACAGACAAACACACAGACAAGTAAGTAACCGACACAGACAAACACACAGACAAGTAAGTAACACACACAGACAAGTAAGTAATACACACATAGACAAACACACAGACAAGTAAGTAACACACACAGACAAACACACAGACAAGTAAGTAATACACACAGACAAGTAAGTAACAGACACCCAAGTATACAGATATATGTATCAAAAGTCAGACACACAGATGACAGTTATCTAGACAATAAGACTGTGTATATTTTTTTTATGGAATATAAGCTTGAAACAGATAAGTAAGTCAAGTTCCACCTCTTTACAAAGAAAATGACAGACACAGAGTAGTTAGACCTATATCACCTGTCTAGGTCCCAGATTTTGTCATTAAATTTCACCTGTATCTACCTGTTTACAGGTAATGCTGCCCAGGCTCTGTCTAAGGAGGAGAAGATCATGAAGTCGGCGGCTGTTATCAGCATCAAGGACATGGGGTACAGCGAGGAGACGATTAAAACAGCCATCACCACCATCAAAAGCAGGCTACCCAGAGGTAGTGTATACATAACACAATCAAAAGAAGGCTTCCTTGAGGTACATTGTTATGATATTTTCAGTCCACCTAGGTCGGAGTCTTAATTTATCTTTTATGGATGAATTTGAACACTGATACTATAGAATCGGACCTATCAGATCAAATTCTGAATGTTGGAAATTATTTTTTAGTGTTTAAGTTATAATACAGCCAAACCTCATTATCTTGAACTTAATGGGATTGTCACAAAAAAACTTAGATATCTAGGGTAAAATACTGTATACAGGGAAGTTTTCACCCCCATTTTATTTTCGCCCCTTTGGTCCTAGACACAAGTGGATGAATTTAAGATGGGGCGAATTCAAATAAAGAAGTATAATTTTTTTATGCAAAACTGTGAGTGGGCGAAATGAAAACAGGGCAAAATTGTTTCCAAGTGTAAAAGGGTGAAAATAACACGAGGCGAAAACAGCCCTGTATACAGTAATTATAGAATAAGTGGTTGGAACTTCTAGATGACTTCAACCTATCCATGATATTCCACATATTAGTGTTTAAGATCTCAAAGTTCAACTGAAGTATGGAAAGTTTACTTACAAATTAACTGGTTAATGACGAAGATCAGAAATGATAAATGATAAAAAGATCTGGAAGATTTGTGTATGATTGCATCTTTTTTTTCTTCAGTAAAAAAGAAAAGCATCTCCAAGAATATCAGATATTGCAATTTGCACTATATGATATGTTTTATAGGCATTGAAATAAATTATTAGAACCACTTGTCCTTTATAAGTTTAATAACTTTGTAGGGAAACACAAGGTCTCTGCTCAAGAAATCTTGGAGGTCATATTTGAATTGGCGGACAGTCAGAGAGCATCAGAAAATTCCAGCAGCCAATCAGAGCCACAGAGAAATGTTGACCAATCAGAATCCTCCTCCACACCTGCTGTCCAATCAGAAGCTATCACAGAGAATGTTACAAATAATATCAGCCAATCAGCTTCCACAACAGATAAGACTGACCAATCAACAGGTGAAGAGACTGCAACAACAGGAGCTTCTAATGCAGGTAAAATATGGAGAGACAGTAGTCCATGCTTCTGTATTTCAGAGCTTAGTTTTATTTGACCGAGAGTGAAGTATTTTCTTTTTTGATATTGAATTTATACACTGTATATATTGAGTAAAACAGGGCTGAAGTTTGATAAAAATATTTTTTGGACTTGGACGTTATCAATTTGCTTGTGTGTAGAACTGACTCCCAAAATAAAAGTCATGAATTTATTCAATGATGAGGTTGTACATAAATACATTTATCACATGTTTATACTTGAGATTGCCATCAAACATTCCATTTTATTTTTGTACCTCTATAGTTTTCCCCCTACAGTTCAATTTTTTTCTCTTTAAGGTGAAGCTGGCACTGGAGAAAATATTTCCAATTTTTTATCTAATCCTACTTTTGATGGTGAGTGATATATTTTACCTTTGTGCTTTTACCTTTTTTATATACATGTATATACAATTGGAGGTGATAACTTTTGTATATTTCTGTAAACTCGTGGTAAAGTTTAAACTATTATAAAAGCATTTATTCCCAGGTTTTTAACAGTATTTTATGAATTAATTTTTCTGATAAAAATGTTTGGAAAAACATTATTTAAATTTGTGTAACGATAATTAATTTGTAAGTACCATAAAGGAAGTGTCAGTTGATATCATCATTGTGTTGACTGACAAGGAAAAAAAGATAACACCTGCTTCAAAAAAAAAAAGAAAGAAAGAAAACAAGAGCTGCCTGTGGCATTGAATTTTGAAGTTTTTGGCTTGAAAAACTAAAGATTAATTTTTTGTGGCCTTAATGCACAAAATTTAGTCCTTCTGTGTAAACATATAAAAACATCTCTCTTTTAGCATGTATGAAAAGGGGCATAACTCAGTTTTCTTTCAACTTTGAAAAATAGAAAATGGAGTGTGTGTTAGAAACATTAATTTACTATAGATTTATTTATTTGGAAGGGGGGAGGGGGCTTTAAAAAATTGAACATTTTAAAGTTTGTAATGAGGAAGAAAGGACAAGAATTTGTAAAATTTGTATGTAAGCAACCTGTTGGAGTGTGAAGTCTAGTTGTTCAGAACATGACCACGAGACCTAACTGTTCAGTTTAACAATGAGACTTTTTTCTGTCTTGTATGGTTGCTGAATGAACTGTAAATAGATGGTAAGCAAGTAGGGAGCAAACAGTGAAAAAAAAAACTGTGTGAGAAGAGTGAATTGTGAGCAAAACATGAACAGTGAGTGAATTCACATAAAGTGGAAATTGGGCGTGAGTGAAAAGTGAAAGCTGAACAAATATTAAGGTGAACCTGAGTAAATCTTTATTTCCATGCTTTAAAAGTGTAAACTACATAAGTAATTTTTTTTTTTTAAAGTAAAGCATTTTATAACCCACTGTTTATTGAACTCTTTCCAGAATTGACATCCTTGAGACAGGAGAACACGAGTCTGAAGGACCAGATTATCTGCAAGATATGTATGGAGAAGAACGTGTCCATTGCCTTCCTGCCGTGTGGTCACTTGGCCTGCTGTGCCGACTGTGCTCCTGCCATGAGGAAGTGTCCCATCTGTAGGGAGTTTGTCAGGGGCACTGTCAAAACCTATCTTGTATAAACTTTCAGAGGTGTGGGGATTTATGAAGAGGTCCTTTCAAAACTTTTTAGGTCACCTAGTGATTCAGGTGACCTATTGCTATCTGTTTCCATCTGTCGGTGTGTAGCACTGTGTACCATGCATCAGTCCAAAACTTTGAAACTTTGAACATTTTCCACTTCTGTTCTTAACCCGAGGGCTTTGCAAAGAATTGATATTGAGCTTTTTATTTCATAGGAAGTGTAAGTTTAGGTAAACTATATTAGATAAAAGATAAACTGGGAGAAAAAGCCAGTAATACAAGTCAGGATAAGTCACCTTCAGAAAAATGAGTCCATCATATCCTCTGAAGTTACCATTTTGCTTCAGTTTGAGATTCAATTTTGTTGCCTCTTCCCATATACTGTTACTGTTTATGTGAACAAACACCATATATCAGGGATGTGTTATAGAGTTAAGCATAATCATTTCAACACAAAGTTAGACCACAGTGTTAAACATGGAATTAAAAAAGAATCTTGCCTCAGTTTGAACATTTTGTGCTAGCTAAAGAACTAAAGTAAATACTAGGTCAAAATTACCCTAACCTTCAAAATGTGCAAAGCCATGTCAATTCTAATTGTTATTGAAAAGGATATGTAATGATCATTCAGGCTTCTAAAATTTACAAAGATGATGAATATGGATTGAAAAAATCATGCTTAGGTGACATTGATGATTGGGACATGAAATTCTCTAAATTAGTGAAAACTTGAATTTAAAGTGTTAGTTAATCTACAGGGACTTTTGTCATCTAAAGAAAAAACTTTGAGTAATGTGAATTACAGATCAAAATATATTAGTTAAATTTAGGCTCAATTTATCAAAGTTTGATATTTTGGCCATTTCTTCATGTGTGTGAATTTATTAGGCAAAGTGTAATAGAACATGTATTTGTTATGAGTATATGAAAACTATGGTAAACTTATGACATTATGCTATCAAGTCACACCTTATTTATGAATTAACAATTTTAATTGTTGGATATTTAAAAAAAATTGAGTCTTATTTTTTTTATATAATGAATAGTTATTATTCTGAAAAAAAATCTACATATACATGTTATAACAAGTAGAGATTTGTATGTTTTACTTTGTTAAGTACTTAAAACATTTATACTCTTCCAATTAAATACCACAAAAAATTTTCAAAAATTTTGCATGGCAATTAGCCATACAAGTTCAAGAACTGTAACTCGACTTTTAAATAAAAGTATAATCAATTATGAATAGCTTTTTTGACAAGCAGAGTCACTTTTAAAAATTTTCAAGGTGAGGTTAAAAGTATTGATCTAACCTATCATATGATAGGGACTGAACGCTGTATAGGGGCACACATTCCTTTTCATTTTTCCTTTCACAATTTTTGCATTTTTAGCTTGCTATTATTGCAACTTGTGACACTGACAAAATATTGCTTACAAGATTATGGAGAAGGTTAGTCACATGGAAAAGAAAAGAATCATAACTGCTCTGCAATTTCCGTGAATGGGTTTCTCTCTGAAAAAGGCTGAGTAGTTATGAATGGGAAAGAAAAAAGGGCTTGCAGTAGTTAATTGCCGCAAGAGAACTCTGTGTTGGTGTTTTGTCATTTTTATGTGTATGTTAGATCGGGATAAGTTTGAAACAGACCAGTTGACATGGGTAGATAAAGGCATTGTGTAGGAGGGGTGGGGAAATTCTGTATCAAACTGTGGAGGGAGTCAATAAATGTGTAATGAAAAAAGACCTTTTTTTTATCAAAAATTTAAATTATTTCTTATATTCTATAATAGAGACCCATACTGCTTTGAACACTGAAGTAAGTACAGTGTAATTTGAAAGAGGAAAAATTATGATGGCATTAAGAAAAATATTTTTTGCATTTAGTAACATTAAAAGTCAATATTCTATAAGACAGAGACCCACCATACATAGAATGTACTGCTTGTGGAGCATTCTGGGATATATTGAGGACATGGTAAGTTTGCAATAACAGACTCTGATCTGTTTCAAGGTTTAGTTCGGAATGAAGGTGTGGCATATTTGCCACCCTGGTGTTTCTAATTTGCTAGTCTCCTCATGAAATCCCTGGCCTATCCAATCTCACTGTGATAATCTTGCATTAGTGACAGAAGTAAATAGTGGGGTTTTTTTTTAAATGAAAAATTGAAGTATTTAAAGAATATTTAACATGCTAATAATAAAATCCAATCACAACTGGATAGTATGATAGGCCAGTGGTTTGTGAGGAGTGTGGTGGATCAGAAACATCTGGCTAGCCAAGATGGAAGGTTGACACTTATCTTTTCTTTTTTTTTCAGATTTCTTAATTTGATTTTAATATGCAATTGAATTTTCTAAGTTTTGCTTATTCAAGAGGATTCTTTTGAATCACTGTCTTTTCTAAGTCTTCTTTGTAATTTCCTGCTATATAATGAGAGTCCTCTATTAATTTTGATTATTAGTTACATGTATACATTGTCTTAAAAAATGATTCATGTAGAACAAAATGAATCTCTTGTAGCATATGAGTGTCCAATTTGATTGATAAATGCCTTCTTTTTTTTTGTTCTGTCTGTCTGTCTGCAACAATTTAACGTCCACCATAACTTTTGTTTGTGCAAGGGCCTAAATATTTCATGTGTATTCCTTGCTTTAAGACCTTTCATTTTCGACCTCATGACCTTGACCTTGGAATTTGACCTACTTTTTAGAAAACGTTAACCATGGCCTCGGGACAACATTGTTTTACAAACACATCTTGTTTTACAATGTATGTGAACAAATCTGACTTAAAGCAAGGGTGAGGTAGTAGCCTTTGAAAAGTTCACGTTTGACATGAGTTGTATGTGATACTTAGAAACACATTGTATGTCTTGAATTCTAATATTTTTGAGATATTGAATTTGATTTTTTATTTTACCTTTTATTGATTTTATGGATTTCATAAGCATTGTGCTTTAAATAATTATGTAGTAATTGAGGTGGGACTGAGGGTTTTGGCTCCAGTAGCTCATTGGTTAGAGCATCTGACTAGTAATGCTAGGATCTGTGGTTCAGTTCCCTGTGTGTTTATGAATTTTCAATGTATGTAAACTCTACCCTCGATTGCATACATCAAATATTTTAATAGGAAACTGTTTTAATAAATATTAACTTGGATTGTTGTAAAGAATATTCATTGAACCTGTAATAACTAATGGAGTTTTTATTTCTTTCCCTAACATTGTTTTAAATGTTTAGATTTTCTTATGATAACATTTGTCTATTGTATTGTGTTTTATAAGCATAGTGAAAAACATATACAACACAGTTAACATAAATACATGTTGCTTGTTATGTAAATGTTTTATTTGCTCTATTTTGTGGATCAACATTATGGAAAAAGGACTAAAGATGTACATTGATTTCATATTGTACTAATGTACTAAAAGGTAGATGTGATTGTCAGCTATTAATACCCTTTATATATTTAAACAGGTGTATTTGTGCTTAATAATAACTATACAATTATATTTTGAAAAGGTAGCAGTGAAATTGTTTTAAACTTAAGGATTATAGCATATTCACTAAAATGTGAATTGTTAATATTATGTTTATGAGTTACCAATTTTCAGTAAACAGGTACAGGTAATGATGAAAAGAAAAAAAATCATAGTTCCTGTATAGAAATTAAGTTCATAAATATTGTCCTGATATTTGTTCTTTTTTTATGTAATTTACAGCATAGGTAATGTTTGCACTTTCGCACTTTCATTCTAGTTATGGTTATGGGTTCTTGGGGAAGGGTATGGATAATGTGAGTATATAGAGTCCAGGGTTGTTCCTAAGACCTAGGGGCCGGGGAATTTTCCCGCCTTTAATGATTAATCCCACGGTTATTTGCCAATGGATATTCCTCCTCAGACCCCTGTTAGGGGAGGAACTCCAGACCCCCTCCTACCTTTTTAACATCCTCTGTTTATTTAATTCTTAATACTTCTAGGGACAACCCTGAATAGAGAGAGAGAGTATGTTGATGGGACATCTGCAGAAAGACTGCAAAATATATTTGCATTAGTTAAGTTAGATATGTATTGCACTTTTTGGTCACCTTCCTAGTATACAGATTTTCAAAGACGGGGAATTTTTGGGTAGTGATTGCATTAATAAGAAAACCATTATCATTTTGTCATTTCACTATAGTTTTGGCTTTGAATTTTTATTATTTCAATATACATGTATGTAAACTTATGTAACAAGTATATGAATATGTATTTTATTTTGAAAGAAATATATTTCATTACCAACATTAGTATAAATTATATACATGTGCATCTTTCCAAGTTTGAATGTAACTATATTTACTAATAGATGAATATAGTAAAAGTATTCAGGCCTCAAGACCATAAACTGAGGGAAAAAAACTTATGAATATCAGAATAAATATATCTTTTGGAATGTTTGTATATGAATATTATACAATGCTTCAATTCTTTAAACTTGTATGTGAAATAAAAATCATGATTTTTAGAATAAAAGTTTTAAGTTCTTAATTTATGGTTATGAGGCCAGATATGATCTCAAATTGCAAGGCCTGTCTTTTTCCGAGTTTAACATTGTATATTTCATTAAGCACCTCTACCTCCTAATTTTGTTTAGTGCTTCACAGATTATTTGTATTTGTTCTTATGCATGTTGCTATTGGTGTAATAAAAAAAAAATTGTGAAAAATTATATGTATGCTTGCTACTTTCCAACAGTTTCAGGGTACTTGGAAGAAAGCTCACCTCACTGACTATTGAAAAATGGAATAACACAATTTTCTATTTTTCAAGTTGAACAAAAGAAAAAGTTAATTCCATTTTTTTGTCATACTGAGAAAAAGCCAACTTTTATAAGATACATAATATATTTCTTGTTTTAGGAATAAGGTAATAGTAAAGATTTGAATAACATTAAGCACTTGGTTGAAGATTCTCAAAGAAAGATTTTTAAATATGTAATCATTAGAGCCCTGCACTAACGCTCCCTGAACCAGGGCCCATGAAATTCACAATTTTGGAAGAGGCATCCTTGCTCATCGTAATTATATGCTTAGTTTATTTACTTAATACCAAAGAGCAGATTATCAAAGAAATAATGCATTCTCATTTTATAATCATTAGAACACCCACCCAAAAGGAAGACCTGACTTTGGGGTCACACATTTTGCAATTTGAAAGAGGCACCCTTGTTCATCATAAATGGACTTGGTTTATCTGCTGGATACTAGGGAGCAGAGAAAAAGACTTTCAAAGAATTTATGTATATTACTATTTAATGAATAGAGCCCCACCCAAACATCAGAACTTCTGACCCAGAGGCCAGGGATTTCAAAATTTTGGAAGAGGCACCCTTGCTTCATAACTATGCATTTAGTTGTTTGCTTAATACCCAGGGACAGAGGAAGATTTTCAAATAATGCATTAACAATTTTTAATTTATAGAGCCCCTCCCTTACAAACCTCTGACCCAGGAGCCATGAAATTCGCAATTTTGGAAGAGGCACCCTTGCTCATCCTGGCTATGTATTTAGTTTGTTTGCTGATTACCCAGGATCAGAGGAGAAGATATTCAAAACATAAATTCAAATCAATGGAGCCTCCCCCCCCCCCCCCGGTAACCCATACGCCTTTCCCAATGAATCCCTAACCCCTGGACCACACATTTGACAGTTTTGGAAGAGGTACACTGGCTCGTCATAACGAAGCACTCAGTTCGTCAGCTTAATACCCAAGTGACACAAATGACTTTGTCATAATCCCTACTAATATAGATAATAATATTTTCTGATATCTGATTTTCAGATTTTTTCTGAAATCAGTATAAAAATTTCACGTTTTCAATGAACAATGAAGCCAAGGCTACTCAAGTGAGCGTTGTGGCCCATTGACCTGTTGCTAGCTCATGATCTACTGAGCTGAAAGTTCTGATGAGCTTTACTGATCAACTGGCGTCTGTCTGTTCGTCCTACTGTAAACCTTTCACATTTTCGACTTTCTGAGAATCAATTTAATAATTTTTACCAAGTTGACATAAAGCATTCTTACGTAAAGGGTATTCCAAATTCTTCAAATGAAGGATAAGCCCTTTTTAGGAGGAAATAGTAGAGAAAAGGCAAAAATAGGACGGGGTCTTCGCCTTGAGAATTACTTGGCCAGAAAATGTGACACTGATGTAAAAGCAAGTTTTCTGGGGTAGTGTAGATTTTAAATTGATCAAATCATGGCTCGCGAGACTAGGGTGGGGCCACAACAGAGGATGAAAGTTTTGCACGAGAAAATGTCATGTTTGTCATATATTGATATTAAAGCATCCCCATGTAGATTCAAAGATTTTTAGCTCACCTGAGCCAAAGACTCAAGTGAGCTTTTCTGATCGAAATGTGTCCGTTGTCTGTCGTCGTTTTCGTTGTCGTAAATTTTTCTCATTTTCATCTTTTTCTAAAAACCACTGGGTTAATTTCAATCAAACTTGGCACAGAGTATCCCTGAGTAAAGGGAAATCAATTTTCTTCATTTGAAGGTCCACGCCCTCTTCCAAGGGGAGATAGTTTAAAAAGAAATAGTGAAAGTCTTGAAAAATCTTCTCAAGAACAGCAAAGCCATGATTAGCTTTATGGGATGCATGACATACTTTTTCCGGATAAGTGACCAGGTTAAAGTTTTTGGTTCATTCTAAAGTATCTATAATCCCTATGTTAATCAAATGTGCATGGATGTTATATTTAAGGATGCAATCTACTCGACTTGCTGCGGATGCTGGATCCCACCTAAATTTTCTGGATGAGTGACCAGGTTAAAGTTTTTTGAGCAGGTCCGTTACCAAGAAGCTATAAGGCCTATCTGATCCAAACTTGCATGGATGATGCATCAAGGGATGCACACTACCAGAATTTTTTCAGCTGCTGTTTTTGACCTAAATCTTCCAAATGAGTAACCATGTTAACTTTTTTAGAGCAGAATCATTCTTGAAAATTTATTAAGTTCTAATAATTTAATTTTGGTTGTAACGCGTTATTTGATTGGATAAAAATTTGTCTATATCGATTAACCTGGGTTGACTACGTCACAATGACTTACGTCAAAAAGTATCAATCCGCTTGACGTTACATTTAAAATATGTACGATTTAAAGGCAACTTTGAAGGAGAAATTGTCTTATTGACTGAAAATTAAATTATAAGGAATGAATTTAATAGCTATCCAAGTAATACTGGTATAAAATGGGTTGGAGCAATTTACGCTATTTTATAAACCCGCTTCGCCGTTTATAAAGCGTAAACTGCCCCAACCCAGGTTATACAGTACAACTTGGGTAGCTTTTACATTCATTCCTAAATCAGACCAAAATTGCATAAAAGTTGCCTTCGGCGTTTATGCATATTATGACGCAAGCTAATTGCTTGATCACATCATAAAACAAAAAAAAATACGCAGCTCTGTTAAGGCTGCATAAAGGGGGCGGGGCCTAATTTATACGGGAAAAGTTTACTGTGACATCACACAAATATAGCAATTCCTCACAATAACAGAAAATGAAATAATTTGCGAATCTAAACTGCATAAGAGCTAATGAACTACATCAAAACTTTCCACTGCATTCATTTTTGTCGCTAGTTAAATCCCACACAAGTCACTGATCGCAATGCACTTGTCGACATGACGTCATCATGGTAAAGTTTGACGCATTTTATGTGCAGTGAGAGGCGGATCAAGTAATTTTTTCACAGTGAAAAATGCATTTTATTATTAAACAGAATATTATTTGCAAATCTTAGGTAGACCATTAATACAAATCTGAAACGTTTGTTTAGTGCCATTATTTAAAAAATATCGAGAGAAGTATTGAATTAATTCTAGATACCGTGTTTTTGTCTACAGGGTGTGCATGTTCACGCCGAGGTGCCTCATTAAATCGCCTTTTCGCAAGGGCATACACTTAACAGATCTTGACCATTTTTTGAATACACAGAACGGACTTATTCCTTAACTTGAAAAGTGCTGCTGCTTTCCTGAAAACGATAGCATAATTTCATAAATACATAAAATACTTGGTAAAGGTCACACATATTTCGACATTAGTCAGATAACTTGAAATTTAAACTAATAAAATGCGAATTCTATTTAAAGCAGCAGCACTTTCCATAAACTACAAGTTATGTAGAAACAATATAATATGTTGACGGTGCGACCGTTAGGGCGAGCGCAGATACCTTTCAGTTTTAATTAAAATCGGGCTCGTCAAACCGCACGTGACATTTGCAACGTCTAGACTCTGACGTCATATGACGTCGTATGTGCATTACCCAAACGAAGTTTGAACAGTGCTAATTTTAATCAAAAACATTTAATCTACTATCTGTCTGCTATACATGTATATCCATTAAATCGAGGTGATTTTATTTTTTGTTGAATATTTTTGTTGCTACCGCGAGAATGAAGTTTGCGACGAGATGCATTTCGCTAAGCATTATGGGACCACAGGTAACTGCGGGAAAAAAATCATTTGGATCAATGTGCAAAGTCCGAATTTTCTCTTCGCCCAGGCGTTGCTTTAAGAGCTCGCAGTGACGAGCGGCGCTTCGCGCCGCTCGCTGCGCTCGCTATTACTTTAATTTTTAATTTTAACTAGGGTATGCCCTTGCGATATTGAAATTTGTTTGTGACCTACATACAGTACACATTACATGCATTTATCACGTGACTATCAAATAACGTGACCAAACCAAATTCAGTACAGAGCGGGGTATACAATTGTTAAAGTCATAAGATAATATAGTACCTTTACAAAAATAAATTCAGTTTAAAAAGGTATGTATTTATGTACGTTTATATTCTGTTGATTTCTTTGAAGTATACGCCTTAACAGTGCTGCGTAGAGAAATGTTCCTTAAATATCTGTTATAGGCACGAACAAAGAGAGTGTGACATTAATTTCTATTAACACTCAGATATGTATTTCACTCCTCCGTCATTTTAGAGCAGTTTTGAACAAAATACTAGTAGTCATTCCATATTATCCCGGTTTAAAGGAGAACTGCAGAATTTTTATCGAAGGTCTTCAACAAGAATAAATTCACCGGGAACATGCTTCAAAACCAATCCAGCTCAATAATTAACAAGGTGGCGGGTATTTGTATTTACCAAAGAGTTCAATCTTTCTCAGTTAATGGTCTGCCGTCTTAAGTGTTATAGAAATATATTAAAGATTCGTGTTAGAAAGTTAAAAGGCAATATGCGAACCACCTGTCCTTCCGTTTTCACTAAATCGGGGGTAATAAAAGAATTAGAAAGAATATATGTCATTGAACAATATGTATTGGTCTCAGCAGACAGGGCTGTTACAATATTAATTGTCATTGTTTGTAAGGCTCAGTATTGTAATTATAACTGTACGAGGGTCATTCAAAAAGTACGTAGACAATGTCCCTCATCATCATATTATTTTTGAAAGATTTAAGATCAACACATTTTCATATGTAAAAACATTTATTTTGTCGATGTGTGAAGTTTCATTCCATTTGATTAAATGGAACTCATGTTAACCAATTTTAAAAAGTAACATGTTTTGTCGTCACGGAGCACCTTAACAACATTATAACGTCAAAAACAACGTCGAGAAAATTTCTCAAAATTACTGTGCCTTTTCATTTCACACACGGTTTTGTAGCGTCTCACCCATTCTTAAAAACGTATCCATAACACTTGATACCTATATAGTTTGCTATTTATTCGAGTAGCTTAAGTTAGATTCTTTTTTTTTCAAATTCTTTACCGTGTAGCTCTGCTTTCACAAGCTCCGCAACAGTAAAGCGCACATCACGTTTCATGACGCTATACTACATGTAACACTTTTGACCATATTTTTAACTATAATATGTTTCTTTGCAGACCGCCCCTCGTCCGATCAAAGCCTCTACCACTCAAAAACTGTCTTTTCCATGGTTATACAAATGTACGGCTCATTTCTGATATATTTCCTGGTTCTTCCAGCATTTTCAGAGTTTGTTTTAGAGGTTTTCCGAATGCAAAGCAAATTTTGTCCCTAATCGATGCTCCGTGACGTCCTTCGACGTCAGCGTTTTTACTTTTTTGAATGTAGTTGTCTGTCTTTAGAAATTGATATCTTTTAAACAAAGCAATGTATTACATTTTAGCATCTGAAGTAATAGAACAATGGAGAATTTGAACATTTATTCTTTTTTTTCGTTTAAGCGCCATTGATTAGAGGTATGACTATAGACATAATAAAATGTAATTATTATATGACTCAATTTTGACCCTGCTCCGTGACCCCAATTTTGCTGTCTTAAATCTTTTATAAATATCAAGATATATTCCAATTTTTGGACTCAAATTATTTAAATCTGTTGTTAAGATATGTGTACTTTTGGTTATTATATGACGTTAAATAAAAAAGTTATAACAAAAGTCTACGAATTTTTTTAATGACCCTAGTATTTTAGAAAAACTTGCTTTAAATTCTACATCTGGAAATTCTACTTAAACTCGCAGTTCACTTTCTAAGGATTAAATTCTTCGATGTCCCATTTCAGTGTATATATTTAACATTCTAGTCAACAAAATTAATTGCCCTTAAGGAGAAATTTTAGACGTTCTATGCAGCATATTCTAGAAGTGGTATAAATGTGGATTCTAAAAAAAATTTCTAAAGAACTTTTATAAAATTCAAAATCACATTTTTTTCTCAAAAGTTGGTAACATAAGAGCGTATATTTCTAACAATCTGTTTGTGCTCCTTTATTATTGCATTTGTTTGAAGCAGATTTTATTTTTTAAAAATTATCTGAGAAAAAATTAAAACAATTATTTGTCGCATACTTTTTATCTTAGTAAGTTTAAAAAGAATCTTCTCAAAATTTATTTGATTCTCGATCTTTAAATTGCTCGGGATCGGTGTTTATATCCGGAGTCCATAAATAAAAGGGAATTTCACAGGTGCCCGATGATTTTCATTATTTATGGTAAGTACAGTTACAAATAGGGGTTTAAATTTGTTTTTAACAATAAATAGAGAGTCTATGCCCACACAATAATTTATTTCTCTAATATTCTTTTAAGTACAAAAATTTGTTTTTATTCCTTCTAATATATCGTAAAAGTAACGCCCCCTATTTTATCGAAAAATTGGAAAAGAAATTTAATAGAGGGTGGAGGAATTTGGGACATGGGTATCTATTGATAGAGGGTTTAATGCACAAAATGAAAAATAAAATTACGAGAGTTTTTATGATTGTCAGCTTTGCTAATTGCATACACAGTAAAGATTACATATTTAATCGGCGGTGCACGTAATACAGTGTACAGGCTATATACTGTGATAAGGTTATCTTAAAAGCCTGATTGTTTTATCAAACTCATGTTTAAATTAAAAATTCGGAGAATTTCGTTTGTAAACATTGCCATAGCTTAATATAACACATTGTATATAGTTAAAACAAAATAAATTCAATTTTTGATTTTTTTTAATGCCTTTTTTAGATAGAGGACGAATTTTTCAATTCAGATGTGTTGTATACTGAAAAATGTGTATTATTCACGGAATATTGAAGTTTCTTCTTCTTGGATACGTGCCTGGAATCGTATGTTATACTATAGATGTAGAAACCACGAATTGTGATCCGCCCCTATCAAGAAACGCGTCTTCCGTTGCTCAGGTGATTTACATAAAACCTTCCGCCAAAATCTCTTGCACATGGACAATTCTCATTGACGGCGATAACTGTCTGGAGATCTATTACTCTAATGGCGCGGATCTATTGGGAGCGTTTTTGGAGATCGAAGCTGACAATGAAAGAGAGATCCAACCTTTTGTCAATACAAGTGTGTGTTCTGTCCATCAGGTGACGATTTATTACCGCCATAACATGACGGATGGTCGGGTGTCTGGTACGGACGTGTATCTCCATTATCTGTCCGTGCCAGAGCGGGGACACACGGTAATTCTCTCTCTCTCTCTCTCATATCTTTGAAAAAGAAAATATGTTTGTTGTTTGACAGTACTAGAAAATTAGAAATCTGTGTACATGTAGCTATGATGCTTCTTTTTAATGAATCCACCTTAAACAAAAGTAATAAATAAGAAGTTGAAGCTTACACATTACAAAAGATGTACAATAGGTACAATTCTACCGTTTTTGAAATTCTGCTCCAAGATTAAGTTATTTTGAACGTAAACTAATTTTTTTAACTGTGTACTAATAAAACTGTTGTTAATATTTTGGTTAAAAAATTATTGCAGACACAAATGCCCGTAGTTTTATCATAGATTTTTTGATTGAATAAAATTGTACCTGGGAGAAAAAAAATATTTTATTTATTCCCTCGTCCAGAAATGTCATATCAATAAGATTTACTTCGTTGACAAAGTTGCTTTTTGAGGAATTTCAGAAATGAAACTCGGGTTCATCTCTCTTATACATGTATATGTATGTCAAAGTTACGTGTCCGGGAATGTGTATACAGTTTTTACTCTGCTGGGGCCCGTTTTACAAAAGAACTTACGACTAAGACCAAAATTTCTGCTTATTGCTTTCTATTTTACATTAATTTGAAAATAGTTTTTATCTTTTGAAAAGAATTTAGGAAGATATTTTTATGCTATCAATTTTAAAAAAGAATTATTAATTTTGCAAAATTTTACAATCAATTAAAGTTTTTGGTCTTAGTCGTACATGTAAGTTCTTACATGTATGTAAAAAATGTCCCTGTGTAATTTTTATTTTTATTTAACTGAAACTAATATTTTTTAATGATACGCAGGTTTTAAATGACCTTGGAACAACCACGACTTCTGTTGGATCCACAGAAAAAAGTGGCGGATCTAGTCCTGGTGTGATTGCAGTCGCAGTCATCATTCCCATACTTATTATCGGTATTGGTGCAATTGTAGCCTATGTATGGTACAGACGGAAGTATCCAGTGCGCATGATCGTGGGAAAGGACTTCGCCAAGTTCAGTAACCCTGCGTACAATAAGCGTGCCTCCACGGCAACGCTTGTGAGAGAAAACGCCGCTTTGGACGATTACCAGAAAGACATAGAAGAGGGTGCAGCATACACCGGCGTTTCCCATGACAACCCAGCGCTCAATATGGAGGACGATCCCCAATACCAACCAATCCCGGCGCTCACACACTCTGTGGTATATTCTAATTACAGACGAAGTTTTGAAGATTCCCCTGACTTGGGGAAGAGAGCCCCAGAAAAGCCACGAAGACTTCACTCAAATAATGAATCAAAATCTGACAGTATCGAGAGCGCGGAAGAAAACAAGAACAGTCAGACGACAGCAGGCATTTCTCATGACAGTGTCTTTTCCACTTATGATAGTGTAGATTCTGAAGAAAAAGATTCTCCGCTTTATGAAAATGTAGAAAATAACTCTAATGACAAAATCAACGTAGATAAGTCAGTAAAGGTGACGTCACATAGAGTGAGAGATGACGACATGTCTCAGCACGAGATCCATCTCGGAGAGATTTCGCAAGAGTACGAAGACGTATCGCCCACAGCAACAGAAGACGAACACACCTATGACACAGCGCTACATAGTTCAATAAACTCTAGTCTCAAGGATACTCCTATAAAAGACTCAAAGGAAGTGTCCGAAGACACTTCTGTTGACGACTTTCAAGTTTATGAAAACGTGTCCCTTGGAGAAGAAGCCATTAAAGATGAACAGAAAAACTCTATAGCAGACGGTAATTCTGAAAAATTGTCCCAGAATGATTCCAGCTCCGAGAAAAATGAAGCAGAAGGAGACGTCTTAGATTTCCCTCATTCACCTGTTACTCGGGACTCGTTTCAAGAATCATTTTCGAGCGAATCTTTCGTTGTCCTTGATCAGTCTGATTCTGCGGAACTCGAAGTCAAAAAGACTGAAAATGAAGCGGAGCAAACTGACCAAATTTCAACACAAGAGTCTCAATCCTCGGACGAAGAGGAACACTTGGATGATGTCAAAGAAGAGGCTATAGATCCGAGTGAGACCCTCCCAGACAAGGGTCAGTCTCAGGATAAAGGAGATACGGTATCCCCTCAGGACGCCGAGGTGGATCCAAAGGACGCTGAGGTGGATCAAAAGGACGCCGAGGTGGATAGATCATTCGACATGGACGTCAACAATTTAGATATTTCCGTGTCGTCCATTTCCGATCCTGATGGTAAAAGCTTTGACAGTGCGTTCTCGTTTGTTTCGCACGATTTTAAATCAAAAGACGAATCTTCGGATTCGTTTGAAGTCATTTCACATGAACAAGCTTCTGCATTTGCAGATAATGTTAAGGACAATGTAAGTGACGATTCACTAGAGCAAACGGCAAAAATCATAGAGGACAAAATACACGAGGATTCAAAACCTACAGACAGTGAACATGAACAACATTCTACGGTATCGAAAACAATTAAGCCAGATTTGAACATTTCCTTCCATGACTCGAGTGAAAGTGAATCTGTTAATGATGAGGAGGACGCACCAACGGCGGAAATAGAGAAAATGGTGGACAGCAACAAAGAACGCCGAGAAAGCGTAACGCGAAAGATCGCTATAGACCACGGCAGCATAAGTTTCGACGACTCCAGTGACTCAAGTCATTCTGACGAGGAAAAACCAAAACCAGGCGTTTTAAGACGAGAAAGCATCACTTTAGATAACCCAACCTTTGATTCGCCGAATATTAACATATCGCTCAAGTTCTCGTCTGACAAGACCGTGGATAAGCCTGAACAACCTCGTGGGCTAACAAGACGAAAAAGTATCACACTAGACAACCCTCTCTTTGAGAAAGATTCGGAGATCTCGACAGAACCAGAAGCCTCTCCTCTTGACGATTTCCAAGTAATAGAAGCAGGTCCTTCAGAGGGAACAATCAGTGAAGAGAGCGAAAACGAGGCAGAAGACATAGAAAATGTACCTACTTCACAGAAAAAAGTACTAAAGATAAATATGGACTTTGGCAAAGATGAGGACTCGGACGACGACGGTATTGCCAGCAGCGTCCCGTCTGGTAAAGAGTCAAATTCTGAAACAGAGTCTTCAACGGAAGCATAGAGACTCGGACCCCGATCCCGACTCTCTAACGAATGTTCTAGAAACATATATAAAAGTTACTAAAACAGAAAACCAATACGTCCTTAAAAGTTAACTAAGTTTCACCTCCAGATTTTAAATGGGTTTTTGTGCTCCCGTGATATATCGGCGACTGCAATGCTTAGTGAAGGAATAAGTACCACATTGCCTAAAGTCAAAATTGATACTGATCTAATACTCAAGAATTTATACACTTCTTTTATATGTGAAATTGTTGTGTGATTCATAATACATAATACAACGTGTGATGTCGATTACAAGGAGTTCTTTTTATCCTTATTTAATTCTTTGATTAATCAAGGGATACTGTCCATGAATTATTTATTTTTTTATTTACTTGATGGTTCCTTAAAATTGTTTATAGTATTCTCTATAATTTATGCTCATTTACATGTATCTTCAAATTAAAACCGACTTTACTGTGCATAAATGTGTAAATTATATGCAATTCGCATTTCAAACAGAAATAGAAATGCAAGTATTTCACAGATAAAATGATTTTTTAAAAAAGATATAAATTTTCAGACGCCAAAGTTTACGTCTCTGACTATATACATAGATCATGGAAAGGAAGTGTGTGATATCAGTGTGCGGATCCGCCCATATCTCTAACTCTTTATACAACGTATAAATCGGAACAAATTGACGAAACAGCCTAAAACATTCTTTTATTTATGATGCTTAGGAAAAACAGCGACAAAATGAGTAAACAGGTTATATTCTGCTACAGTAGGAATATCCCGGAATGAAATGACAATATCAAAGTACATGTACAATAAATAAAGAAACAAATTTGCGTAGATTGTTACTAAAAAACTAGATATTTCTCAAGATAATTTTCTCCGCCACAACACCAATTTTTGAGATTTATTACATTGTTTGTTTAAGGAAAAACCGCAAAACTTCCCTTCTTCAAGTTTCGGATGTGCAATTTTGCAATTTTTGTCAATAATATTAATATTTCCGCACTTTTATTTGAGCGGGATATTGTCGTTCAATTTTAATGCTTTCTCAAACTGGATATAAACCAACATAATTTTAAACAAAAATGTCATAATCTAAAAGATAAATGTTTCCATGAAAATGATATTTCTAAGGATAAAAAGATACCATCAATACGGTCAAATAGATTTATTTAAATGTTAAAATATAAACCAAAAGTAGCAGCCATGCTGTCGTCATGTCCGATTTTGTACTTAAGGTTATTACAGACGTTTCATTTATATCTATGAAAAAAAAAAAAAAAAAACAATGCATTTTTTTCTCTCACACTACTAGAGGAAATGCACCTCAATGCTTACAGCTTATTTTTAAATCTGTGGCGTAAAGAAATGAACGGTTTTCAGGTAGTCTACTTATAAAAGGAGCGAGGACCACTTAAGTTAACAAACCTTGTGTCCAATCACAGACTGACATTTTGTCAATAAAATTTGTCTAAAACTTAACAACAAAAATTCCTCATCGTGACAAATTAAGATGTCTATTTATGAATATATCTGACTGTTTTACACGATGTCGGTTCATTCTCCTAAAAGGGGATTTTTATTTCTATATGACTGTTATACGCTTATTAGATCCATTCTCTTGACAAGTTTCTCTAAGTTGGCGATCTCTGTCCTGAGGGAGGCGGATACCGTCTCTAAGGTCTCTCTTTTCTCTATCACCTGAATCGTCTGCGTGAAGGGGTCATAGCGCAGGTCAGCGGGCCGCTTAATGGAAGAGGCGTAGTCCCTGTAAAATCAGCCAGTCAGATATCTTTATCATAAAGCCACCAATCAAAACTACATGTACGTAAAGAATGAAACACTTAACATATTGGAACCAATCAGAAACCTAATTATGAGCATCTAATTAAACAACAATGCTAATAATATTTCACAGGTCGATCAGAAAGTATGATAAAAATGCAAATATGATTAAATATTCAATCTACGTAGTCGGTTTAGCTTACAACAATCAAAATTAAATGAAAAAAAAAAATGAATTCATTTACAAATCATTATAAATAGAAATTATCAGAAAGTAAGATAGTATTCTCCCATATATAGATACTTCAGGTTAACTTTCGTATGTTGTGTGTCTTACCTCATTTTTTGCATCATGTCTTCAAATGACTCGACAAAGAAGTACACAGGTTGTAGGTCTTCGTCTGTATACTCCTGGACTGACGTCACTGCCGGGTTAAACGGAAGTTGTTTAGGACTGTCAGAGAGGGCGTGTTTCAGTTCTCCGTATGACGACAGAGTTCCGGCGCCGTAAGCTCGGAGACTTCCATCTTGACGAATTAAACCGAATTCCACGGTGAACCAATAAAGCTGTCGAATACAATATCGTTGATTAAAACCAGGATTAATACGGGAAAGCAGGGATTTCTCTTTGTAATTGTGAAAAAGGTGCAAAAATGATTTGTAAGAATAACCCTAGCTAGATTTACAGTAGAATTTTTCACTGGACAGGGTATATAATCATTGATTAATTCCTATAATGCTGTGTATGTCAAGCCATTAAATACTAAGTAACTAAGGAACTTTATTGTGCATATGCACTCGGTGCAGTTCACGTGATTGTGTTGAAGAACTCTTTGGCAATGGAGGATAAAAAGTTAACAATTAAGGGTCTTGTGCAGCCCTTGCTCCATCTTTCCTTACCGTCGCTAGCTTCTCTATATCCTGGTCTGAGGCCCCAAGTGACGCTAGCCCTATTTCCTGTGAGAACTGCGCAAACGCCGGAAATGACAACATCGGCACGTGACCTAACAACTCGTGGATACAATCCCTATCAAATAGTGAATATAGTAAAACATAAAGCAAATTGTCAGGCACTGCATGGATATTTGATACTGATTTCAAAAATAACACCTTTGGATAGAGACTGAATTTGAACTATATCGTTTTATATTCTTTACAAAGTCCAAGTCTTTTGATATGACAATTAAATCCATCAATCTTGAATTATATGCAAGCAATTTCTTTATATAAAAAATCCCAAAACACTGTCTTATCCATCGTAACTTACGGTTCCGGGGAATGGTCCGGCTTGGATCCGTGTCTTACATACTGTGTACATTGAAAGACCCGGAAGGCGAGACTGGCCAGGAAGTCTCTGGCAGAAAGTAATCCAGAAACTGGACGGAGCTGGAATCCGGTTTTACCTGTTATGCAATTCATTACGTATTAATATTGTCATGTAAAATAATAAAACAGTTACGAGTGCATTTCAGTTCAAAATTCCGTGTGTAGTTCTCACATGAATGATTTCGATACGTTCGCAAAAACACAACAGTCCTGTAGTAAGGTGAATTTTGTGCCTGAATTCTTTACGTATTAATATTGTCATGTAAAATAATAAAACAGTTACGAGTGCATTTCAGTTCAAAATTCCGTGTGTAGTTCTCACATGAATGATTTCGATACGTTTGCAAAAACACAACAGTCCTGTAGTAAGGTGAATTTTGTGCCTGAATTCTGTCAGAATTCTGGCAGATAAGTTTCTGGCGGCCGCCACATAGAGTAAGTGCCGGCCGCCAGAAACTTTTCTTGCGGTCGCGAAATAATTTTTCGGCGGCCGCCAAATAATTATTTGGCGGCCACCAGATAAAATGTTTTTCTACCTGGCACCACAAATGTCTTCCTTGCTCTTGATTGATTGATTGATTGATTTATTTTATTTATTTATTTATTCATATATTTATTTATTTTGCTAAATTGTTAATATATTTTTGATCCACTTTTTCACATTTAACTCATATTGTTGTGTCTCTATCCCATTCAGGATCAATTTTGCAGGTGAACTTGAATATGACTGTGTGTACGCGTTTCAGGAAGTACGTATGTTTCAGGAAGTTCAACACGTACTTCCGTGAAATAGTGAAATAGACAGAAGTACATACGTTTATTAAAAACGTACTTGGACGTGAAATAGACAGAGAAGTGCGTTTAATAGACACGTACTTCCGTGAAATAGACAGAAATACGTACGTTTTAGGAAGTTAGACACGTCTTCCAACTGAGGTATGGCGTTCTCACTGTATCCGCATTCCTTCTCCAGTCCCCTGAAAGCGTCAATGTGCTCACGGCACGCATGTGTGGGAAACAGTTCCTTTAGATGCCTGTACACGTGACCCCTGAGGTCAAATGATAAAAAAATAAATTACCAAGTTTTACAGAAAAAATGTCAATAGGACTTGATTAGCTATGTCACTGACTTGTGAATGTTTTCAACATACAATCATGTAGAATGTATAACAAAAAAGTCTACATTCCAGTATGTCCCCCATAAATATATATTTAAAAAAATCATATTGAAAAAAGAATTCAATGATTTCATACGGAGACACCTTTTTTACATAATTTTTTTTTCAAAATAACAATGTTTGACTTTAATTTTAGTCTTAATCTCCATCTCTTTCTCTCCAATTATAAAAAATCACAACAATTTTAGCTTAAAAATAAATAAATTTTTGACTGTCTTGATTTTTCTATATCGGAATATACCCAAACTTATGAGTTTATGACTCTTAATTTAGAAGTTGAATAAATTTAGAGAATTAGATGAGATCACAATGTTGAATTTCTCTTGCTTGTTAGATTATGGTTTTTAAGAACAGTATATACGAAGTACTGTCAATTGTTTAGTTAAATTAAGTATTATAGTAAAAGTACTGACGTTATTAAAAGTACTAACAGTACTATTGTGTTCTAATTTTCTGACGTGGTTTGTAATTCTGAGCACTAGGGATCATTTCAATATAATTTTTTATCTTTAACCATCCATCATTGGAATGAGTTCCGATTTGCAAAAATACAATTTGAAGACCTTTGTTTAGTGACACATTGTCAGACTTCGAACCCATTTTTCAGATCCCAAAATGTATGTACCATTCTCTTCGTATTCCACTCAACAACGTTAAACTCATTATTCATCTATCAATTAATTAAGTCTGCATTAATGCAAATCGTCGAGCACTCTTTCATCGGGCTCGGAATACATCAACATCTGGGGGTAATTCGACGACATTATGCATCAAATAGTTAACCAATTTGTCAGCCGCTTAACAGTAAAATACATCCTTTAATAGATTCTAAATGCAAATACAGCGAATATCAGCAGTGGTTTCGACTGGCGGAGGGATACAAAGACCCGCGATCGTTATCAGTCCGCGCTAATGGGACTTTTCCGATCTCTATCGTCGGCCCGGAATTTGATTCACAAAAAAAAAATCCGACACGATTGTGTTCTCAGATCTCTTCAGGGGAGTTGTTGACACGTGAATTATAAATACTTGTTTTATTGCGTACTTTGCCAAATGACTGCTCTACTTAGTTGATTCTATCAAAGCGAAGCGAGAAATTTTTACCGCACCAATTAAAAGAAGGAAAAATTGGAAATCTAGTTTTTTATGCAGGAAAAAAAAACTTCAAAGATATTTTTCCGGAGTTGGGATTATTTTAGGTGAACATTCGTTGATTGGGTCATAAAATACCGAACCCTTTTTAAGCGTAAAGCCAAGGCCCTGAATATTGTACAATACCTTAACACCTGATGAAACTGTCATAATGCAATATTAACAAAACAATATCGACAACCGATGTTATTGTTCTTAATTAACTTATTGTGTCCTTCGTGTTCGCACTACAACACACTAACTCCCGCCATTGTCTGCCCTTCCGACTGTATGTAAAAATATCTGGCATCCGAATCGTAAGCGATATTGTGTCACCTGCTTTATCTGAATTGTAAAGTCACCTGGTAATGGTATTTTTCTTGCTTTTTCAAATATTGAAGAGTTTTCCGCTTTATAACTTAACAATAATGGTGTAATTGATGAAAATATTATCGCAAATGGATGTTGTTTAAAATCTCTAAGTTATATCATGTTAATACAGCTGTCATTTCTTTGGTCAATATTTATGAATCGATGAATTCCCAGCAGAAAGTCGCTATAATAATCGTACAATTAGTTTATTCCTATTAAACAAATTCCTATATATCTTCGAAATTTACTTAACCTGTCCTACATAAAAAAAAAATCTTTAGTATCGTGCTCTTCAAGGAATTGAAGATTTAGAGAGAAAAAATTCCAGAGGAATGATTAGGTATACTGAATTTTTAATCAATAATACAAAATGTTGTTATTAATTTAATATAAAATAATTAAGTGTTTTGTGTGTTTTATTATAAGGACTTGGCGGATTACTGGAGCCAGGGTGTCTTAACATATAATCCTCCCCAATAATCGGCCCCTCCTTGGTTGAGTATTACATCACCAGTTATTAAATTGCGTTACATTAACTTGTCAATAAAGGGAACTCTGGGTTTGCTTTAACAATTTAAATGAATGAGACGATATTGGATTTGTCACTTCAAAACAGATTGTAAGGCAAATTATTCTATAATGAATCATTAGTGTCCTGACTACTAATGCAATACTGGAAAGTGCAATACATACATGACTATGTGCACGAACCATGCAGTGTTGGATTTACATGTAATTGGGGGGGGGGGGGGTATAAAAATCCCTAAAATTTGCCAATTTATTTGCTTCAAAGTACATTTTGTCCTCAAGTACCTCAAAAGAAATGTATTCTGATTCATTATTAACATATAAGTTGCATTGACAATAACCTTGTGACCCCTCATCCCCATCCAACGCCCGTTATGAAACTCGAGATCCGCCCAATGTTCATTTATAGGATGTTCCTTTTTGTTACATAGAAATATAAAAAAAAATCTGTAACAAATCATTTTACCCTCTTCTCCTTTATAATAAAGCCATTCTCTCAAGAACAAAAATCCGCGCCTATAATTATATATCAAGATGTACTCTCTCTCTCAGCTGAATCTTAACTTACGTGAGATTACCCTCTCTACAGAGATCCACGCCTATATTCACATAAAGCTGTCTTAAATGTATAGATTTACGCCAATATTTAGAGAGGATTTTACTTATTACATATATATCCACGCCTATATTTTGCCAGGATTCTTTTTATGTAAGACGACTTACCACGTGGCTATTTCCTCCTCGGTATACTGTACTCGTGGAATAGGATGACCACTGTGTTAAGAAAAAAAAATCACGAACTTTAATTCACTATCTAGAATATTGAGTAAGAAAAGATTACTGAGCTGTCAGTTGAATCATATATGCTGTTAAGTACTAACTTTTCGCAGGTGTTCATGATCAATTTTCGTTGTGTACATGGTATGAAGAGAGTTTAAAAGTTTCACGTATTATGAAATCAGTTTTGTAAACAAAAAGTTGGATATAATGAACTTTATAAAATAGATAAAACAAATTATAGCTACATTGACGAAGCAGATATGACTCTGAAAATACAGAATTGCTGAATTAGCGTGTTTTACTGTCAGTGTAAAGTTCACGTATTATGTTAATTAAGTAGCCTATCTGTAAAATGCTTTATCATTCGTGATCTTATCGTTTTACTTCAGTTATTCTTAGGAATTTTTTTTTATTGCTCTGGACAAAAAATCTTTTCTTACTGTTTGTATTCAAACGCTATGTCTGCTATTTGTTTCCGGCGCTCCTTGTAGACTTCATCTGTAAAACCCTGAAAACAGGAAGTGACGTATCAATGACAATAAATGACGCGGGATTCAGGTTTGTTCGAATCTAAGAAGGTATAACGCTGATGTAAATTCAGTATGAAATAGAACGTCTACGAGGGACTCTCATCAGCACGTACACAACAAGCATTGAGGTCGCGTTAAAATCAAAGAATAATTAAGGTAAATTAACTGGAAAAAAAAAATTGCCAGCTTGCACTTAGATTCGAAGAAAAAGATGTAGATCTACCTTAAAATTCAGTAAAGAAATACTTTTTAAAAAACAGTGAATAAAATTTAGAAATATGAAAAATTCATGACAGTCCACTGAGGTATGTTCATGAAAGTACTGAAAAATCTACTCTTATGATTATAACTTAATCGGGATATGCATTGTTTTGAGGATCATTCAAAAATAAGAGACCAAAATGGCCCTTAACCAACCCAGTTCTTAGAATTAAATGTTTGTAAAATATTTGTGCACTAACTTTCCCTGTATTAATATTTTCTTTCTTTCAAATGTTGAGAAATGCTACACAACCGAATCGATCGTACTAAACACAACACATAATCACCAAATTAACCCAAGCTCTTATTAATGAATCACTTCAATATTTTTTTTTCTTTTATAAGCCGGTCGTTCAAGCAAATGAAAACTCGCTAAATACTTCTTTATTGTGCTTTCAATGCGTTTTAGTAGCGAAAATGTTCGGTTATAAGCGAACGACATCATATGTACCGTGGTTTATGACAGACAAGAATGGCTGCCGCATTTATGAGCGGAGACGATGCCAAAAAGTGAAGATCTAGATGTATTTACTTATTTTCTTTTCGTCGGGATCTGATTTTTATTCGCGAGTAAATCAATTAGGTTAAAAGTCTCCTCATCCGGTGTAAATTGATTCAAATCAATTATTAATGAATCAAACTCTATAAACTGTGTTTTTATTGTAACATCGTCTTTATTTATACCGTTAATTACGCGACTAAAAAAAATCGCTTAGCCTGGTAGAATGCATGAAGCGAATATACACGGAGCTCAGTGCTAAATTTTAGAAGCTCCACATTCTATAAATGTATTATCTTCAAAGTCGGACTTTTAGCTCAAGACAACAAATCAAAAATGGGTTTTTATAGAAAGATAGAGACAAGTAAAAGAAAAAAAAAATATCGATATGTTTCTTTTCAGATCCAGTGTATGGACACACTTGCATTGCTGTTTTTATTTTTAAACAATTTTGATTTTTTTTTACTTGAATAAGCTCATTTGAGAATTGGGGTCCCCCGCCTGAAAAAAAAATCGATGGAGAAAGAGAAAACAGGTCGACTTTGACCTTTCAGCTTTTGGCCTTAAAGTTAATATAGGTTTTTTTTAAGTTAAAGAATCCATGACCTTAGGTTTCATTGTAAAAGCTTACGGACAAAAAAAGTTATCATACGAAAATTATCTATAATGTGCAACAATATCTTACCATGGTCTTTGACCTTTTGATCTTTGACATTATATTATGGTGTCTTCTTTAAGACACTGGGAGCTACGACATGCAAATTTTATTGAAAAAAGCTCAAAGAGAGCTAAAGTTATCATCTGGAAACCATTTTTGCTATATACGAATTTATGACCTTGACCTTTGATAATGATACAGACTGGCAGAGGGACGGACAGACCGAAAGAAAGTAATATTATCCACTTTCATTGAAAGCGAGGAACAAAAATATCTGCAGTTAATCATTTGGCTTGCCTGAATATCCTTCTTATTAATTACAACAGCATTGTTCATAACTTTACACCAATTTAACACCTGGGTTTTGAAACAATTGTGTAGAACTCTGTTATTGTTAATGTTTACGTTTTATGGCTGTGTTCAATTTGTTGACGTCGCAAACATCACTGACCACAAAACTGGTGTGTTGGTTTTGCCTTTTTACATTTCTTTTATTTTTTACCTTTCTTGATAACAGTTTTAATATATTTATTAAAACACCTCGGATTTCCTACTTTACTTGAATATTAAGGATGATTTTAGTTCATGAATGCAAGTATGTATGACAATAAAACAATCCCAAAATTCATAGGTTTGATAATTTTCAAATAAAAGGAGTTTCTAAATAGGGTTTATAATTTATCAGTCTGAAAAGCTTTGCAACTATGTTAGTTAAACGTTTAACGACTCTTTGGAAAATTATGAACTTCAAATCTGTGTCCATGCCCCTTTAAGGTCCTATATTCTACAATTTGTCTTTATTAAGCTATATATACAGTTTATAAAGGTTTAACGACTTAGAAATACAGAGACATTTACATACCGGATGATCACAATCTAGCTCGGGTTCAAACTTTGTGACGAGATGTGTGCAGTTATCTAGCTCTGCTATGTGTCGGGGAAACCACGCCTCTAAAAAAAACAAGCTTTTATCAAAGTACTAAAAGTACTGACACTTGGTGACTTTCTGTTCATATGTGAACAGATTCATATGTGAACAGATAGAACACAAAACATATGCTGTACAAAGAGAAATTTAATATTTTTTCACTTTATTCTTTTATTTTTAATATTTCCAGGCTGTATTTTTCTACCCTTTGCGAAACTGTATAACTGAATTTTTACAAAAACATTATGCATAAGATTTTTCCCCAAATCGGTAGAGTCCTGACCTTTAACATCTGTTTCCTTGTCTCCAATGACCGAAACCTCCACGGTTGATTGATTCTGTCGAATTGTGTTCATCAATGATGTCACTTTTTGGCGGGGGCACACACACTGTATCAAAACATCGAAGATGGCTCCAGGCTTCTGTGACTTGCGAGATTCTATGTGTTCCAGAACAACTTTTGTTGTCTAAAAATAATATGATCAACAATACCTTTAAAAATGCTTTTGTGCCCCATGAAATTTTGGTACAAGTACATTTTTATCAAAAAAAAAAAACTTGTTTAACAGTTTGACATTCAAAATCAAGTCGCGACTTTGAATGTCAAACAGATTTTCTTGGGAATTTACTGAATTCTGTCCCAAAGGAACTTTGTTCGTGGGAACAGAATGGCAAGTATGCTATATTAGGGTTCATGATGTTAATATTGAAGGTACCTTAATAAAAGTTATCAATGTTTCTTTTTTTTCTTTTTTTTCATAATGTATTTAAATTTGAGCATCTTAAAACGGGTGATATTCAGTAACAATATTCACCAATCTTATTTAACTGAAAACAAGGTTTCAAAAATAAAATGAAAAGATTCTTAAAAAGTATCAATCGTATAACATTGAAGGAAAATGAAGATGGAATTTGACGCCACATTTTTTTTCCAATAGTCAATAGATAAAGCCCTGATGTGCAAAGGGAACATATTATTATGTGTTTGTTATTCCTTGAATAAAATTAAAGATGAAAATGAATTAAAGGAGTCAGACAGAGAGATATAATCTAACAATATTTATTGAAAAAGCGCGGTATGAAAGTGATGAAAATGGTTTCTAAATTTAGTTATCAAAATTGCTAAATAGCCTACTGTGGAAAAATAGCGAATTCCCACTAACTCTCTGTGCATCTCAAGATTGTATTAAACGTACCAAAACATAATCTATCTCCAATAACAAAATTTTCTAGCAAAATCGTACCTCAAAGAGAAGGAAGTCCCTGAAGAGCTTCTAGAATGTAAGATAAACTAGAAAAAACAGGTCTGTCCGTGTGCTCTGCGTTTATAAAGGCGCTAATCAGGCTTATTTTATGGTTGATGAAGCTGTTACTTTTATTAGTTTTAAGTGAATCTCGAGATTTATTTTGATCTCAGACTCTTAATCTCAGATAAAAACAAGCTACTCTTTCATTTCATCGGATCTATTAAACACGCCATACCCACTCTTATCACCGAAATGCATGCTCAGCTTCCACTTTCCAATCTAGTCCCCTCGCTACACCCTACCGTCTTAATCCACTAACCCTTACTCCGACCTACCCAATCCAGTAACCCCGTACAACCCCACTCACACCTTCCTTGTCCAGTAACCTCCCCACACCCCAGTATTCACCTTCCCATTCCAGTGACCCCGTACAACTTCACAACCACCTTTCAAATGCAGTAACCCCACTTAATTACCCCCCCTCCCACACACACACACATACACCTAGCTTCCCAAGCCATTAACTTCACTTAACCCCACCTTCCTAATCAAGTAGTTATATTCTGCTCCCACTCCCATCTTCCAATTCCTTTCTCCCGCCACGCCCCTTCTCTCACGCTCTCATCCCAACCTTCCCTGTTCACAAGAACCCAACTTCGCAGTCCAGTTTCTTCTTTACACCAGAATTCAACTTCTAGGTCAAGTCTTCAGTCTACATTCCCACCTTCTTCTTTCTAGTACAATCTCCCTTCTCTTCCCACTCCCACTCCCCAGTTCAGTCTCCATTCTACATCACTGTATTGCCTTACATTTAGCTGTGTTAAGATGACTCCCCTTATATTCATCGCGCTAGCATTAAGTGCCCTCTACAGCATCATACATCCCCTCCCCATCCCCTCCCCCAGTATAACTGTCCCTCCTTCTATCTATTCCCGACCCAACTATAAATCCTATTTCCCTACTCCTGAGACATGGACTGATCGATCCAAGCTCAAACACCACAAAGATAAGGTTTCGTTCAAGCTCTTGAAAGAGCATTTAGTCTTAAGGATGTCCGCTCTTCGTCAATTAAGGAACAATAACTCTCCAAATTTTCATTTATTACCGTATTCCTTGGAAGACGGTATACAGAGTTGAAGTATTTTACAGTCTTCGGACTATGCACTTCCTCTTTTTTGTGATAGGTAGAAATTGCATGATGAGAAAATTTTCAATTATTTCATTAGTTGAAATGCTGTTCAGGGCAAGGGAGATAATTTTCGGATGATCTAATTTTCGTACGCCTTAAAATTTTTTCAAGATTTTCAATCGTAAAAAAATATGACAAAACGAACAGTAGAAATTGGCAGTAATTAATTCGAAATAACATGCTAGTTTTTTTTATAACAATTACAAAAACCGTTTCTATATTTTCATTGTTAACCGATTTGATCTTTATTGCATGCAAGCTTTACAGCTTCTATGTATTCTGCACTGTCTTTCTAATCTCGGCAGCACTAGGCTGATTCGCATCACAAAGGTGACAGAATCTTCCGAGGTTTGCCGAATGATCTTGGCAGCAAAGTCGAAGTTTACGGAGACAGCCGAGTATCTGTTAACCTTTCACTTGGTAGGGCTTAAATCAGAAAAAAAACTAAAGAAGAAATTTATACAAAGCCGAGAAATTTTCAAGAATTATACGGCCTGATAGGTTTAGGTCACTTTATTGTTTAAAGTTGTTGCTTAAGACGGTAAGCTTTTTGAAAAAACTCCACTTGCTTCACTAAGTCTCGAAACGAAAACTGGAAATTGTCATTTTTAGTTCAACAATTTTCATTTCATGATATGCATCTTAATATGATTTAAGATTCTTTTTGAGGTCTTATAAACGGTCTTGAAAAAAAAGTAAGCATTTGTACCCTATAAAAGTATTTTCAAGAACATTATTAGAGAAATCGCATTTCCTTTAATCTTGCCTTAGATATAAATGCCTGCTTAATGATATCATATGCGTTTTACATATATGATAGAAACTGAAGTACATAGAAGCACTGAAATCCATGCACTGCTCAATTTTTTTAAAAAATGCATTTTTCCACATGCCTGGACACCTCGTTTTTTTTTACTTGTTTATCAATCTTTAATTAAAAAAATGTATAATTGTTTCCTGAAAATATGTTTGTGATATGATAATTTTCCCTATTGTTAACTATAATGATAAACGGTGGAGAAATTGTAGGTAAATTCACACTGTAAATTCTGATACATTTTTGTGAGCATTTCTAATTACTTAACTGATAGTTTTGAAAACCTAGAAACGGACTACCTACTAACGAATACGAAAATAAATATTGCATTAAAACATGTAAAATGGCGATTGTCTGCTTGGTAAGTACTTCGTATTACACTTGAAGTTTTATTGTTTGGTGTTGATGATGTACGTTTCAAGAAGTAAGACGATAAAATCAGATATTTTTTGGTTAATTACGTTAATTGTCTAATGAGTGTGACGTCAGACTGCTTTTAGTAACTTTTTGATTGTACTTGTAATATTGACTTCAAGTAACTTTTATTATCGACTTTATTGTGAAAAAATTAAAACACTTCACTGCTCGATAACTGAAAAAAGTCACCATTATCTGCTACAAGTTCAAAAAGAATCAAACAAATTACTGATCTATAAAAGGGGGTTAACAGGGTCAGGTTGAAGTAGGTTTAGTGTAAACCTAGTCTTGAGCAAACCCAACCACTCGGAACCGACTCTTGTAGCTGCTACAAACATTAATGCGAGGTCCTCTTAAAATAGACTGGGGTGATTTAAGTTTCATTTAAAACAGAAGATCAAAGGAACGGAAATTTAGACAGGTTTTTGATTATTGTACAGTGATAATCAACTGCCAGGAAGGACTGACGTCTGATTTGAAAGCGTTTGTTTACAGAAGGTTATTGGAGGAGGGTTAAATCTCCGTGCCGCGATGGATTCAAATTTCAGAGACCAAAGTTTGGGATGGAAAAATCGTATTGGAATAAAGTAAAGCTTTATTGCCTTTTTACTTAAAATGAAAACAAACAATAAATGAAGTTTCACATTTACAAGTCATCCCTGCATGACATTCTAACGTCATTAGTTTTCATAGACGGAAATTGACAAGTCACGTGGTATAATTACGGACAATTAGATCATTATTAGACACGGAGAAATTCTGAAGCATCCTGTGTGAATAGTGTTTGTTCTAATGACAAGAAAAATCTCAATTAAAATGTTTTAAAATACCAGTGTCCCAGTAATGACTTCTGCTTAAAACAGGCAAATATTGGTTAATATGAAAATTTATCTAGTGACTTTTTTCCCTTTTTTCAGGTATGTGAAAGACGTTTTTTCCCAACGTTTAAACTAAGATATAATGGGCTTTTGCTGATATTCATTGATTATTACATTGATAATTAAGCCCACGATCTCACTTACTTCAAACACCCTAATAATCCGGGACAGTGATGAAGTCATTCCTTCTTTTAGTGTTACAAGAATGACGTAGACACGTGACGGCTCGGTTTCCACGGGTGACGTTGTCTCGCCATTTTGGATGAAAACTTCCTCCTCTTCGCTGATGGAGCCTCGGTTACTGAGTGTTCTCTCCTGCTTGGCGAATTCAATGTTTGTCACTGTTTCGAATTTTGCATCCTCGATTAAGCTTTTTCTCCGCCATGACCCACCGTGCTGAATAATAATATAGAAGCTTAAATTTGAATGTTGTGTTCATAAAATTGTGAAATTAATACACTTTGGGGAAAAAAGGGTCCTCCATCTTATGCAAGAGAAAATTGTATTTAATACAACGAGAGAGAGAAAGATTCTAGTTTGTTGAAATTTTGTCCCAAAGCACAAAGTCGGAAATCGTTATTACATAAGAAAACAATTAACGGACACATTTCGTATATGGTCTAGTGGAGAAGCAATTTATAAAAGATCACAAAACATTGTTTCCATTTGACATGAACATATAACTGATGTAAAGACGCTCTCAATCCAAATAGACAGGCTCGTTGAAATCTATAAAATAAAGCACAGGGAATACAAAGAACTATTTCTGGAATTGTAATCTATGTACTGTAGTTACATATTTATCTATTAAGTTTTTGGTATCAAAATTGTATCTATGGGAAATATTCATTTTGGTCTAAAAAAGAAACCTCCATGTAATGTTGCAGTTTTCTGATTATCAGAAAAACTAGTGATGGAACAGGTATTAGAGAGTTCTTGTTAGGCAACATTAAGGGCTGATAATCATCGACTGTTCGCCATGAACCGTCCACACCAGCTCTGGGTGTGAAGAAACCCGACCTGTCTACTTTAACTCCGCTGTTCAGGATTTATCTTACAACGAAATCAATGATAATCCATTCAAAAGCATTTAAGTTTTATTTTTGGGTTTGCCTTTTTATCTCGGATTTCAATGTTTTGAGTTGGTTTCGGATTCTACATCTGGATTGTGCTGACAGTTGTCAAATTAGGCATATTTATGATATTAGCTACTGATTTACATGTACTTTGACGATGTTTAATGAGTGAATCTGACTCTAGGTAACTATATACAGACATGGGCAGTATCCATAAGTCACAAGTAAAATTTAAGATGGTCTCATTTCGATAACTGATTAGAAAATAAGAGTAGCTTTAAATTCAACTTGTCTTGTACTATTGTTTTGCTGCAACCGTGTATAATGTGAAAAGTCTGCAAAGACTCCATCAATATTCAGGAGTAATCTTTGAATTTTTACTCAATGCTTTCTAATTTAAAAAAAAAGTACAGAGTGTTTAGAAAATGAGAAAATAACAATTTTGGGTTTGAATTTAAACTCACCTTTCTTTCCCGCCAAAAACATAAAATAATAAAATATAATATTAATGAGTATCATTGCCAGTTTGCAAAGTTAATCAAAATGAAATCTAATCACTCAAGATAGAGTTCTGTTTCGATCAGTAAATCTGTAGGACTTTTTGTTGACTTAGTCATTTACAATGATAACACGATGTTTTCTGTCTGATGAGATCAGGCTTCCTATTTAAGTAGATTCGGCATTCGTCACTGATCTAACCTCGTCTGAGATCTGAAAAATTCATTAACTAAACAAACACTTAACGCGGACTTAAGGAGCTGGGTAAACACAGTGACAATATAATAGGACCCTGAATTCTCCAATCCGATCTTCTGTCAACACGCGGCTTGGAGTATCGCCCCTTGAGAGGGCGCTGCACATTCCAGCACATGAAACCGTATCACGTGATGAGTAATCCTTCGCTCACATATTAAACTCTACGTATAATATAACTTTACTAATATGAAAACTCTGGGGAAAAAATCCCTTACTTGCTGCCTAATTACCTTGAAATTTGGAGTAAGACCTTGAAGTGGACTATGAAATAGGATAAAATGTGGATAAATAAGATTTGGACCATTTGAAGTTATTATTTTAACAATAAAATGCTTTCTTTTTTTCTTTCTTTTTATTGTTTTATTTGTAACATTGCCATGAAAAACCCTACCAGTACATGAAAGGAAGTTTTGTAATTTGTAATTTGAAAAAGCTAACAGTCGGGCGGACAGAACATGAACATCATACCAGAATATAACCCGTCTTTAGTAATAAAAAAGAAATTTCATCTCTTTCGACTCACTGATATCCAGTGCACTAAAAGTTTTAACCAATTTCACAATATGACTGAAGAAGCACTTAAAAACATATAACTTCTGTAGATGCCAGTTTTATTCAATTAAAAAAAAATCGACCCCAACCCCAGTAATATTGGTACATGTATAATAAGAACACAAAAATATAGTCCCGATTATTATTACTACTGAACACAAAATTAACATTCAGTATCCAAATATAGAATAAGAAATAAAAAGAATAGGCTGATTTATCCAGAATTACGGTGCCTTGTCATATACTTGTGCAATACCGATCTTGGACACAATCTTCTGACAAAAACATTTTCCCACTAATTGCTTGTTTAGATATACATGTATATCTATCTAGATATACATGTATATCTATCTGAAATAGTTTCTCTGTCACTCTCTCTCTCTCTCTCTCTCTCTCTCTCTCTATGCATGTTTGTTTATGTCAGCCTCTCTCTCTCTCTCCTTTCAAGACCCCAGTAAATATATATTCAAAACGAAATATTGGCGACAAAATGTACAAATGTTCACAGTATATTGTCGCCGACGACAATATGTGCTGATGTGTGACTGTATATTTTGTCGTCAATTCTACAGGAGGAAAACGGCTCGTTTCGATGAACGATATGTGCAGTGACGCCGGTGACAATATGTACAGAACAACAATATGCACAGAACAAACAATATGTACAGAACGACAATATGTACAGAACAAACAATATGTACAGAATGACAATACGTACAGAACAAACAATATTACAGAACGATGATATATGTACAGAACGACAATACGTACAGAACAACAATACGTACAGAAAGAACAATATGTACAGAACAAACAATATGAACTTACGACCAAGACCAAAAACTTCAGTTGAATGTAAAATTTTGCAGACTTAATGGTTGTGTTTAAAATTTCTAGCGTAAAAGTATCTTTTTAGATACCTTTTAAAAATATTAAAACCATTTTCTATTTAATATAAATTAGAACGTTATTAGCAGAATTAAGTTTTGGTATTAGTCGTAAGTTCCTTTATAAAACGGGCCCCTGATCTTATTACTTTATAAGTTGATTGTATCTATCGATTAATCAACGATACGAAACACATGAGAAAATTTATGGTGGATGTAAAGATTAAGATCTAAATTTTAAGGCAGATTGCTTTAAAAGTTTGGAGCTTAAAGAAGCAATTCAACTGCCTTGATGTGATGGCGCTTTAAAGCATTTGAAAAATTTTGCATTAGAGTCAAACAAGATAATTACAAACAAGATAATTACAAAAATATAAATTCAGAATATTATATCTTCATTCTGAAACGAAGTTGTGCTTATTCGTATATGTATTTTGGAGTCACACGTCACGTCAACTAGAAGACTAACTCGCTCTTTCATCAGTATAGTGGTTAGAGCGTCTGCTCTAGAGTTGAGGAGTAAGGAGTTGATCCTTACGTCGCGGGTTCGAACCCACTGCGGGACGTGGAGACCGGTCCATCGGACGAGACCGCACAAACCGAGGTCCCGTGTCTCAGTAGCTGCTGGCACGAAAAAGATCCCTCACTGCTCAATGGCCCTGGGTGTCGAGTATAGGTCAAAATTTGTAGCCCTCCATCGGCGAGTAGTGGCGTCTCCATATGAGTGAAAAATTCTCGAGAGGGACGTTAAACAACAATCAATCAATCCACATTTATTGAGATATTTTCTTTTCAATCCTACGCTCAAATATTAATCAAAACCGACAAGATATTTGGATTATATTTCAACTTGTTTGGTAAATACCTATAAAACTTTTAATCTTGTCAAAGTTTAGCAGGTGCCCCCTCCTAAATTCAACAGTAAAACTTCATCTGTATTTTTAAAATCTTTTCTGTTTTAAAATAGAGACATAAATGTTATTTTCAGGTTTTGTTGCATTGAATGTTCAGTAGTAAGTCTACAGGCAGTTTGTACTGTGTTATAACGATACTGTCCCAGTGAGTGCTATTCTGAGTCGATATATGATCAAAGATTAGTTATTATACAGAGCGCTTTTAAGCCTATTATCATTATTGACTTTTGACTATAAATCCGTATTTCTTATGCAAATTTTCCAATATTTTATTGGTTAATTAAAACAGATTCATTCACAGGAAATAAAAAAACACCTCCAAACGTCGCCGCTTAATTAATTCATTGTCAGTTAATTACTATATCGGTATGAATCTCCATCTTAGATTAGATGAAGACACTTCGTCTTAGATTTTTTTAGATATGGATTGGAGAAACCCATACCACCCGACCTCACCTACACACGTCTACTTAGTCTCTCTCTCTCTCTCTCTCTCTCTCTCTCTCTCTCTCTGCAATACTCTCTTGGTCGTTTGTTTTTAATCACTTTTCGCATGTAAGATTTTCCGAGAGATTAAGTATATTGTTCTAAATGACCACTGGATGTCTTTTATTTTTAGTACACTGGATATCAGTGAGTCGAAAGTGAACAGAAAGCGGGTGTTTGGTTGAAGAGAGATTCCTATTCTTTTTTAATGATATTAACAATGGAGTTGAAAAATGACAAATAAGCGATCTTTTAAGAATTGAACGTATTTTTTCGATATCGTCATCATAATTTATAATACTATAACTGACAATATATGCAGTGAGGGTAATAATATGCTGTCGCCAACGATAATATGTATAGGTATAATTTTGCAGCCTGCGACAATATGTACCGACAATACATGTATGTTCAGTGAGGGTAGGTGTGCATTATTGACAGCGACAATATGTACAGAACCACAATCATGCTGCATGAAATAGTCTACGAGACCCCTATGTGTGATTTAAACACCAATTAAATAAATACAAATTACATTTACATAACTACAAATAAATAAATAAATAAATAAATAAATAAATAAATAAATAAATAGATAAACATTAAGCAGCCCTAACTGTGGGGTGACATTATGTGCAATGAGTATAGGCACGTCATGTCGCCAGCGATAATATGTACATGTTTGATTTTTCAGTCGGCGACAATATGTGTCGATGGACGACAATAAGTGCAATAAGGATAGGTGCATACTGTCGCCGACGACAGTATGTATCGTCAAACCTCCTATGCAGAAAAAAGTATAAATTTGTAAAAGAGTTTATTTCATCAGTTTTCTGAAAAAAGTATATTTACGGAGCCTCAACGTATCTTAAATAATCTAAGCCAGCACCTTCGTTTTATTCCCTTTTTGATTAATACACTGAAATGATTGAGTCCAAAGTACAGAACGGAAATTTATGTACATGTTTGATTTTTCAGTCGGCGACAATATGTGTCGATGGACGACAATAAGTGCAATAAGGATAGGTGCATACTGTCGCCGACGACAGTATGTATCGTCAAACCTCCTATGCAGAAAAAAGTATAAATTTGTAAAAGAGTTTATTTCATCAGTTTTCTGAAAAAAGTATATTTACGGAGCCTCAACGTATCTTAAATAATCTAAGCCAGCACCTTCGTTTTATTCCCTTTTTGATTAATACACTGAAATGATTGAGTCCAAAGTACAGAACGGAAATTTATTTTTTTGGTTGAACTTAATGAAACACAGTAAAACTCATTCTGAAATTACATTCTGAAGCTAAAAATCGTTTATTCCTTTGGGTTTAAAACTAGGAAAAGCTCATTAACACATTGAAAAATCACGTTAATATTTTATGTACAACTTGATGTAGTATTAAAATGGTCACTTCAACAATTAACTGACTTTTTTTTTTATTTCCTTTCGAGAAAAAAAAAGTTCCATCGTTGGATGTAATGGGTATTTCGAAGAAGACTAGATTTCTGAACTTATGTCTAATCATTTTGATTTTTTCGTCAATAAAATAAGTTCGATTCAATGGGCAATAAGTATCCCCCCCACTCCCCCCCCCTTTTTTTTTTACCTATTCCAGGGTTTACTTTGCACCATGGACATTTTTAATGTCCACGGAAAAATTGTTTGAAGGAGCTGAATAAAATTTGGCCTATCAATATTATATACGACTGAATATTTACTAAACGTATGTTACATGCTGCATATTTTTAAGTTTTTACATGTATCTAATATCAACCAACTTCAACTTTATATAGAATAGAACAGACACATCTGGTAAAAATAAGCACTTGATATTCTCTTCCGACCAGTGCATTAAATAAAGTCAACTATTTTCGAAATGATTTTAATATGTTTGATTATGGTGAAAAATAAAAATAAAGGAAAGAAAAGAAACAAAGTATTTCTAGTCATTCAATACTTAGTAATAAGAAATTAAAGATCATTGAACACAAGAGTATTAGAGAATTTTAGAAGCATAAATGAAAAATGAAATAAAGAAATATAGATTTATTTTTAAAACACAATTTTTTTTTAGATGAGTTGGTATACAATTGGGGAAAAACGGAAAATGCACCGCTTATCCTAAGGTTTACTGAAAAAAAATTAAGAGCATAATATTTTTAATTTCCAAAGCTCTGAAAAGCATTCCTTAAAATATAAAACTCAACTCAAACACAATTTAGTTCAATTTTTTTATCCCTTAAAAGTAGCTATAAACTTGTAGTTTAGTTCATTTTTAAATAATAGTTCTTACCTCCAAACTATAACTCTTCTGGAAAGCCAGTCGTCGTTTGACGGCAGCCGGATCCTGGGTAGGGGACATAACCGCGGGCTCCGTGGCGAACATCTCTCTCTCTCTCACTCAAATATTGCCACAATGTAACTTAACTATCCTCGTAAAAGTTAATCCACAAAATTAAATTATTCTTCGCGCCTGAGGTCGTAAATTTTCCCGAAAAATTAAGAATCCACCTTGTTTTAAAAACAGCTTATTTCCGTTTTTGGATTATTTTGACAAGAATTTTTGGCGATATTACAATGTCTCGTTAATTGACCGTCGACTCTGGCGAGGTCTCTCTGGTACGGAGATATAGACCATTCCAGCTTCCCCTCTCTATATATAACGCACCATCGATCCCCCCGCAGGAAGTCTATCCCACACGGGCTATTCTGCGCGTGTTTGTGTTTCCATACCCTGAGTGTATATTTTTGTGTAATATCGGGGCATATTTGTTGATATATATGTTTTTATTAAACTTCATCGATTTTTCTCTTTTAAATGATACGGTATTAATAAATATTTTAAATGTTAAGTAAACACTAGCACGACCCTTTTTTTCCTCCCACGCAGGAGAGTTTATGATGCTAACGGATTCGGGACTCAGCACTTAGCTAGATTTCACATTTGTATCAAAGATGTTGAAACATTTAAAAGCATGAATTGCAGTTGAATAGATGTTCATTGACTTTTGGCGCTTGGGTTTACAAACGACACTTAATAAAGTCGATATTAACTTTTTATACAACGATCGTCTGCTAAATGAAATTTGGCGCGATCTTTTCTGCTTCGCTCCGGTGGGGGTTTTGTTCAAAAGGCATCAAATGAACTTCTGAATTACAGCGCTATTGGGTTTTTCTCCGTCTGTAATGCAGTAATCTGGAAGAGATTTTTTATATCATTTTCTACCTTTGATTAAGTTTTTCGAGCTCGATATGTTGACAAATATATTCCGTAATCGGGAACCATTAGAAATCAATGCATCAGCGAGGCCCAAAGTCAGGTCCATTAAAGTAAACAAATAACTACATTGACACCTCCAATAGCGGTACATCCGTCTCAGCTTTAAGCAAGTATCTTAGTAATTTGTACTGAAATCTCTCTCTCTCTCCCCAATAGCGGTACATCCGTCTCAGCTTTCATCAAGTATCTTAGTAATTTGTACTAAAATCTCTCTCTCTCTCTCTCTCTCCAGTAGCGGTACCTCCGTCTCAGCTCTCATCAAGTATCTTAGTAATTTGTACTGAAATCTCTCTCTCTCTCTCTCTCTCTCTCTCATACACATATATATCAAAAGCATTTCTCCATAATTAATCACTTATTCACAACCGATTAGTTTATCCAATATTTGCTATTTTATTCATAAAAGTCCATTCATGTCAACATTTGATCTAATATATTCAACATTTGATTGAATACAAATATATATGCAATCACTTAGTGCTTCGTGCCTTCACTTGGCAATGCAAAATGATTATGTAAATTAATCGGTTAATTATCATTTTAAATTCTTAATGGTATGTTAACAAATGTTTGTCCTTTTCTTTCGTGTATTTCCAGGATGGTAATTCCTGAACGAAGGCAGGGAGATTTTTCTTCCCCTACGAATGCCTTGATGCCATGAAACAGACAAACACCGCCATGTTGTTTGTAGTGTTTCTTGGGTTCATGTCTTTCGGACATGTCGTGCCTCAGTCTTTTGAAATCATGGAGGGTTTCCTAACAGAGATTAACCAATGTAAACAGATCCGGGATAAGTTTACGGATCTGAAGACGGAATTTTCCGATATGGAGATCCGGGGAATCCACAAGGACATGCGCCTTAAGATTCTGACGTCAGTGAACGCCAGGTTACGAGCGGAACTCCGCAGGGTCATACAGACAAATGACCTTCTCAAGGATAAGCTGCGAGAATTGGCACTGAAGCTGGGAGAAATCAAGGAAGATAACTCCGGTAAGTAAAACCACTACACAATAAAATGGGGGGGGGGGGGGGATCTCCCTTAATCTCCGAGCTCCTTAATAAATTCCTTAATCGCATAATATAGTGCGTGTTGTTCTGGCCCAAAAATCTAATAGTCACCTAACAGTAAGGCATTTTAAAAAGTATTGACTTTACAAAACTAATTACAATATAGTAACATAATTTTCACTCTAGATAATCAAAGTAACATAATTTTTGCTATATTTTATCATAGTTACTTGGTATTTACCAAAGTTAATCCGATACTTAGTTTTTACTATACTGTATCAAAGATAACATGGTTTTTTACTATAGTTAATCAAAGTGAATTACTTTTTACGATACTTACTATATCTAATCAAACTACTTAATAAAAGTTATTTCGTATTTACTACAGTTAATCAAAGTAACTTCGTATTAACTACAGTTAATCGAAGTTACTTAGTTTTTTACTATAGTTAGTCAAAGTGACTTACTTTTTACTGTACTTAATCAAAGTTACTTCGTATTTATTACAATTAATCAAAATTACTTCGTATTTACTACAGTTAATGAAAGTGTACTAAAGTTTTTGATATAGTTAATCAAAGTTACTTAGTATTTAGCACAATTAATCAAAGTTACTCAGTATCTACTTGTATTATATAGTTTATAAAAGTTACTTTGTATTCACTATAGTTAATCAATGTAATAAAATCATTCAAATACATGTACAATTTGTACATGTATTTTTTTTCTTTAAAATAAAACCAGAGTTTTGCGAAATTTATATTTGAATTACTTTAGCAAACCAAAGTAGTTGTTAACTATCAAAGATTCCAGTAGACCCTACTGATCTATGAATGGTTAAAGTGTACAACTTCAACTTGATATCCTTTAAAAACTATCACTTTTCCCACTGATCCCGAAACTCTCTGATGGGGTTAAAGGTCATTTATGTTGAACTATTTATCGAAGTGAACCCATCAATTCACATAACCTCCCCGAGAAGTACGTATATAAATGTCATAAGACGGAAATTTATTTTAATGATAAAAACTAAATAACTTCAACTGCGATCATTTATGTTTTTGTTATCTGTATTTTATATCTATTTAAAAACCTGATTTCCAGATTTTTTTAACACAAAATCTGAAGTTTAACGATTAAATATATCGTATTAATTTTTCTAGAATAAAAAACATGATGCATATATTTCACTTTTTTGGGATGATCTATAGAATATTTACCTAGAATTATAAGTCTTTGACAAACACGTCCTTAAATTACTATCAATGCTTTAATTATTAAATAAGACTAAATTGATAAATAATTCATACGCGACTGTCATTATCTCCTGTTATAAAGTAAAAAGTATTACTTGACATCTGTAAATATTACAGGTCAGCTTGTCACCTTGTGAGGCTCCGTTTTTATTAATTTTAAATTGTAGTTTTAATGAGAATTTCATTGAAGTTGACAGTTACACAATGCAAAAGTCAAGGAGCAGATATTTTAGTTAAAATATTCCAGTCCTATACCGTACTCCAAAAGTATATCGGCTTTCCCCCTAAAGTCATAATGCCTATACATAAAAGTCATATTGTATTTATACTTTTTAAAATTATTAATTTTTAATTGATCTTTGGAGGAAAAAGGTCAACACTGAGGAGGCATACGATTTCTGTTCACATTGAGAAGTGGGGGGGGGGGATTGTCTAATTAATGTAAAAAAGGAGGAAAGTCACGCGTATTTTTGAAGCAATTGTTTAATATATTATGCTATGTTGCTAATATTTTTTGAAGAAAAAAGATCTTTTATTTGCTGTAGCATGCACTTGTTTTGATATGTGTATAGAAATTCTTTATAGAAATAGCAAGTCTTTGCAATTATTTGCCTTATGGATATAGACTACAGAACAAAACAAATGAATATACAAGTACAAATTCTGTTTCGCAACCTGGTAATTTCACCCTCAATGATTCATTGTTTTGTTTGAAACGTGTTACAATTCCGTTGTACAATACTTCAAACAGAAATACGTCATAACGTGGAGGTACCCCATACTAATTTAACTGTTCTGAGCCTGCCAATATAGGTATTGTTATGAATCCACATAGCTGCAGATCACTGGTTTAAATAAAATGAGAATGGACGAACCATTTTCTTTTTCCAGACCGCATCACATATGCATGCAGCTGGAATCCATATAGAGCTGGGGGTTGCTATCTAGCAAATTTTAACATATATTAAATAGCGTGTTTCCTTTTTCTCTGAAATCTAAAGAAATAGTGTTCATAATCACCATAAGTTTGATTAAGAAGAAAAAAATATAAATTTATGTGCCAGGTATTTTTTTTTTCTCTCTGGAAATACAAAGAAAGCTAAGGACATATCTTTAGATGTAAATTATTTGTAATTTTTATCCAATGCATCTAAGACTTCAAAAACACGTACGTTAACTTTATTGACAATTTTACACGGAATTTTTTCTTTTATGATAATTGATTTGATTTTTATAGAGATTCAAGTAAAGAACGTTACGGGGGAAGTCGGAGCAGGAGGTAAACAGATCAGCTGCTCCGTGACCAATCACAACAACTGGACGTACTTCAACATCGAACGGAACGGCCAGACTGTGGTCCACTTGTCAAATGATGGGCGTGTCCAGACACGCTTCAACCCGAAATATCTCAGCATCACGCCCACCATTCGGGAGAATCTGGCGGAGATAACTATTACGTTTTCCTCCCTCCGGTGTACCGATGAAGGCTTATACACATGCGTGATAGAGGGAAAGAAACCCCCACGAAACATTGCTGTCGTTGTCACGTGTGAGTTATTTTTTAAATTCAACGAATCATGTACCGTAAAAAAAATCTTTGCACAATGCTATTACAGATTGGAGATGAAAGGACTTAATTGAGTTCCCATGCAGAAGTTATATTTTATAAAAGGTCAATAAGCTCCGTCCGTCAGGTAATATCAGAAACGGATAAATAAAGCCAAGGAGAGTGTAGTTTGGTATGGAATCCCGATAAGGCCGTGTAGTTTGGAGCGACCGATGACGATGATGCGATAACCATGAAGAGATTCCCCAATGATGAAATGACACGATAATGCCATGACGACAGTGCAGTAGTACGATATGATGCAATAGCGCAATGATGCATGATACGATGGCGGCGATAACGCAATGGTGCGATGACGCAGGCGCGATGGTACATGTATACGTTGACGATGAAATCATACTCGCTTTTGCATCATTGTCATTGCGCCTTACGTCATCGTACCATTGCGTCATCATCAATTTTAATCGTGTCATCGACCCAAAGTAGATGCGCCATAGTGAATGCATGGCCTTATCCGGATACAATAATTTAATTGGTGAGGTAACGGCTGCACTTTATAATGAGTATACCATAAGTAAGATTATATCACCAATCTATGAATCCGTTAAGTCAGAATACTTACATTCAACATGTATTTTGCTTATAAAGTGTGAGGAAAGCTACGGCATTCAACACACCATAACACGGACAGGGGGTCAAAAGATTAAAGTGTGCGTTTTATTTTGACGTCACAAACGTTGAACGCCGTGGAAGAGCAACGTCATAGGCGAAAATCAAAGTTCACGCTCACATTGAACAGAAGTTGTTACAACGGCTCTTCCATTAATTACATGTATAACTTACCCGAAGGATAATAAATGGGATTTTGAAATATAAATCACATTTGTAGTCAAGGCAAGGAGTTAAAAAATGTAAATATAAGGACTGAATCATTATTATTTGAAAGATATAGTCTCATAACTGCAACGGTGTGTGCAAACAAATTTTCATAACGCGCGTTACTCAATTTGTTTGCACACACCGTTGCAGTTATGAGACTATATCTTTAAAAAAAATGATTCAATGCTTACATATTTTTTTTATATTCAGCGCCATCGTCCGGTAAACCCACTCTATCAAAAATAGGTGACGTCATCGGCTATAAAGATACTGAGTTCCGTTGTGAAGGAAATCCGATGTATCCACGTGGGAAGATGGAGTTTCAAGTTAAACTTCAGAATGACACTTCCTTCCGGAACTTTGAATTTCCGGCTGCGAAGGTGATGAATAGGGATAGGAACTGTGTGAGGCAGCAGTCGATCAGCGTTACACATGTGTTTACCGATATCTGGGATCAGGCCAGAATACGGTGTAAAATCAAACACTCGGAAGATTATGACGAGACGCAAGTGTTCGTGTTATCACGTGAGTAGATTTAACCATCTTATTATTCAGCGATAAAGGTTAAAATTGGATATGGTGTCTAATTTTTCGAAAAAGTCAGATTAAATAAAAGTTTTTCGTTAAAAATTAAGTTCTGTTGTCAGCAGATTTGTGCAAAATTCATTTATAAACCTGACTAATGGTTGCGTTTCTTCCATGTTACAGCGACGCTTTGTGGGCAGAACATGATTGGTCGGGGAATACGACATCCTCATGAGAAGTCCCGCTACGTCACGTGTGATGCGGCCACGCCCATCGTGCATCAGTGTCCAATCAACACGTGCTTCGATGACATCTTCCAAACCTGTACTAATAATTGTATCGATTGATTTACGACGTCCAACAAAAACATACCATCAGTTTACTTTAGTATTGACGGTGTAGAATAACCTGACATGACTCACATACGTATACAATTCAATCAGGATCAGATTATAAAGACATGAGATGGACGACTTAAGTACAATGTATAGCATTTCTATTTTGCACTCTACGCCTCGTACAATTTAATTTGGACACTCTGCATGCAAGGGTTGTTCAATGAACATCGCCCAATATTATGAGTACATGTAGGTCAGTTTCCAGAGACAGTCTAACTTTGAGGAACTTCTTGTTCAAATGAACAGACACTCAATTGTCAGCGAGTTGACGACTTGGACTTCTATAACTTAATTCTCAGGTATTTTGTATGAATCAATAAAAGTAATCTAATTCAATACGATTGATGCTTTTTTGTCAATCAGTGAGAGCTGGAAGGATTTTTTTTATGGAACAGTATTTGGGAGGCTATAGACCACTTCATAAAACTTGTGCCTCAGTCTACGATTTGGACAAATGGCATTATAATTTCTATAGTTCTTTGAAATTCTTCAATAACACTTTTCCTTCTATAGTTTTGGATTGATATCAAATACAACATAATTTTGTAAATGTAAAACTAAAGCAGGTGTTTCAATTACAGATGCTACTTTTCTCTTCCTCTCAGCTCTGTAAGTACAAACCAGTAGAGCTACAGTCTCATCAGCCATTTAAAATAAACAAACAATGCATTGGTTTAACTATTTATTATGCAAAACAACACACTGGCATTTAATCAATAAAATCATTTTATTTGAATATACTGCTGTAGATATACAATTTATTATGTAATTTAAATTTAAATATTTTTTGTGTAGTAAAAATTAAGTATTTGACACAGTTCTCTTAATTGCCAGATTAAATAAACTTTTTAAAAAAAAAGTTTAATAAAATTGGGAAATTTCACTCACAGGAATTTGCATATGAATCACAAATAGGCCTTTTGTCAAAATCTTGCTATCTGCTTGTTATAACAGATATATTGTACAGGTAGAGGCAGATTCTCTATTACTTTATACAGAATCATCTCTAAAATTCAATCAAGCTGTCTGTATAGTTATAGGTCAAAATCAGTGACTTAATCAAACTACATCAATATTTCTGAACTCAATTCAGCAAAATATCACACCTTGTGATAAAATTTGCGTAAAATAGGAATAGAAAAATAAATTGCAGAAGGAAATCTTTCGTCCCTTTGGCTCCAGAAAAGTGTAAATTAACAAAACACAGAAAAAATTTAATCAAAACAAAACAAAAAAGAAAAGAAAAACAAAACAAACAACAACAAAACAAAACAAACTTCCACTCTTTGAGGCTCTTTAGTTTAAGATTGGGGAAAAATCCTATTTAAAAGTTGTGTTCAGTTAGAAATCTACCCAGAATACACTGCTTGTTGATTCCATGTTTATCACACCTCTCTATTTATCTCGGGGTGTGCGATTATCTCGAGGTGTGCGATTATCTCGAGGTGTGCGATTACCTCGCGATAGGAGAACAGTACGTAATCTGCCTATATCTCATCATTGTCTGTCTACCAGTAACATTTCTTCAACCTTAGACTATCAAAACAGACATTCTACTTTCTTCTATGTGAGTGATATATAGTTATTATGCAAACAACTTTTTGCTATGGCCCACTACATATTTTTATAATACATAAATTTTACCCTATTAACAGACTGATAAGTATTCCAAGTGGGACAAGTGTTTATATTTGCATATTAAAAAAAATTCTGTAAAAGCAAATACCTGTTACAGACAAAAATTAAAATCTTATTCAAAAAAAAAGGAATAACAGAAAATGACTCGTTACTGGAACATCAAAAACTGTTACAACCAACACAAAAAAAAAGACTTCATTAACAGTCTTAATATAGTTCATTGTTATCTTCTGCAAGATATTGTGCAATTTACCCTTCATTTCAAGTTTATACAATGACCACAAGTCTGAATAATAGAACTTTTCCATGAATCAGCACAGATTTACAGCAAGGAAGACTAACAGAATTAGCTAATATTAGTAATTATAACAAGGAAGATTAATGAAATCAGCTAATCTTAGGAATTATAATCTTGTTCATATTTTACTGGTGCTATTTTTTCAACCAGAATATTTTCAGTGACTATGACATAAATAAAAGTGCAACACGATCTATTTTAAAATTCAACAAGATCAAATTCATAATCAAGCAGTCACCAAGATCTACACTAAATATATAAAAAAAATATTAACATTATATCAATCAAAAAAAAACTAACAACTGACACCATGATACTTGGGATTAAAAATGTTTCTACACATATTTTTTATTTAATACTAAACAGAGCTGTGACAACAAGTTGTATTTTACCTACTTCTCTTTACAACATTATAATTTTTCAGTAAAGTTCTGTAAACCAATCCATCATTTTATAATTACTGACAAATAATGCATCATTTTTATAAGGACTTACAAGAATCAATCATTTTCAAACATTTCTACAAGCACCGATAAAGACAAAATTCTAAATCCAATTAAAATGAGATTCACACCTGTTATATGTACATGATCAAAGTCCCCTGCTTAACATCAAAGTTTCATATCTACAACTTAAATATTTCTCTTTTTGTATCACACAATGTTTGTTTTGCTTTTGACAAAGAAAACTTCCAACAGCCAGTTACGATCCCTATATGTCACAGATGTCCTTTGTTGGTACACAGTGACCTCCCTTTGTCAGATTCTCTCCCCTGCTGTCCTAGCCTGACTCCGCCCTCTCTGTCAATCACTGCTCAGGTTGATACACTATTCCACCCGGCCCCGCCAAACTAGTAGATCCCATCAAATCAAAGTCAACTTGACGGGCCGCCTGTCGTCCTTCGGAGATTGCCCAGACCACTAATGACTGGCCACGCCTACAATCTACAGGCAGAGTCAAAGGTCAATACACAGTAAATGGCTATCAGATACATGTACTTACATAGGGGACACAGATTTAAAGGTGTTACAACCATAAGCAGGAAAACTGTTAGGGACACTCATGAATATATTAGATAGGGGGCAGATTTAACAGTACACACCTCTTCCTGCATAAATACCAGGGGTACTTGTGGATTTTTTCAGGGAGGAGAGTGACAAACTCTTACCTTTAGCAGTTTAAACACTTGTGGTTGGGATTAATTATTTGGGGGTCGGAGAGGATTACAGATTTGACAAAGTCACTATTACTTTTAGCAGCATACACCCTGAGACACTAGAGCACTTATTGGGGGGATCACAAATTTTATCATTACAACTTTTACACCTTGGAGACATTTATTAAGCACTTTTTTTTGGGGGGGGGGGGGGCAGAGGGGAGTCACAAATTTAATATTATAACTCTTACCTCCAGCAGCATATACATTGGGGATACTTGTGGAGTACTTATTACGGGGGGTCTCCAGATTTCCCCGGGGGTCAAGCTTTGCTTTCAGCTCCTCCACAATCTTTTTCTCTGGTCCCAGGAATCCCATCGCCAGGAGAACCAAGTCACACTTGATGAACTCCTCAGACCCTGAGAACAGAATTCACAAATGAGGTAACAATTCGATAGAATGTTGAGCAGAGAACTATAACTCTACTTATTTCTGTTTCTTAGCAATATGAATTACATCAGACATGTTTGTGTATCTGTCCTGTCTTTGTCTCAGTAAAATTACCTGGTATATCAGACATGTTCCATCTGCCGGCCTCATCTTTTTTCCATTCCACTTTAATCGTTTTGATTCCAGTCACATTGCCTTTACCGTCATCCACAAATTCCTGTCCAATGACAAACCACAGACAAAATGAGTACAGACAAACGTCCAACAACAAACCACAGACAAATAACATCCAATAACAAATTACAGACAAAAGGATTACAGGCAAACATACATGTGACTAGGAATATGTACACACCAAACATACTTAAAATCATATTTACATTCTAATCCCAAACCACAGAAGTGACAAATACGGCATTCTTATGAGCAAACTAATGTAAACTTCTGGTCCCTTCAGTGATTTCTGCTTTGATTGGTTTACAGTTATTGATTATATGAATTACACCCCCTGGACATGCAAATATAAATTGTGAATCTGGCAGCATCTTACCGTGCTTTTGATGTTGAAGATTCTGGGGTCCTTCCCAAACTTGAGTTTGACCTCCTCGTGTCCGTAATCGACCTTGAAAACCCGCGGCCAGGTGGGCCAGGGATTGTTGGCGGCCCGTAAGGGAGGGGGAGGAGGGAGAATCTCAAAAGACGTTATACTCTTTGCTCCCTGAAATTGTTAAAAACAATGTTTTTTTAATTTCAAAATTTTATCGAAATGAAGAATGTTTTTAAATTCTCAATTCTTCATATTTTCTTTTAATTATTGAAGGTTTGATTTTCATTTCAGACTTCAGTCATACTATATGTAACAAGTAAAATTATTCTTTAGAGTTCCACACTTCCTAAATCCTATCCTAAATCTGATGTTTTAACTGTGAAAGCAGTTAAACCCTTTGGATCCCTACCTCTAGTTTACCCTCAAACAGAGGTAGCTACATAACTGTACACCCCTTTAGATCCCTGCCCCTTGTTTTATCTGTCTGAAAGAGAGCAGCTATATAACCATACACCCGTTTAGATCCCTGCCCCAGTTTTACCTGTTGGAGAGAGAGGTACATGTAGCTATATAACTGTACACCCCTTTAGATTCCTGCCCCTGTTTTACCTGTCTGAGAGAGAGGTAGCTATATAACCGTACACCCCTTTAGATCCCTATCCCTATTTTACCTGTTGGAGAGAGAGGTAGCTATATAACTGTACACCCCTTTAGATCCCTGCCCCTGTTTTACCTGTCAGAGAGAGAGAGGTAGCTTCATTGCATATAATTGTACACCCCTTTATATCCCTGCCCCTGTTTTACCTGCCTGGGAGAGAGGTAGCTATATAACCATACACCCCTTTAGATCCCTGCCCCTGTTTTACCTGCCTGGGAGAGAGGTAGCTATATAACCATACACCTCTTTAGATCCCTGCCCCTGTTTTACCTGCCCGAGAGAGAGGTAACTATATAACTGTACACCCCTTTCGATCCCTGCCCGTTTTACCTGTCTGAGAGAGAGGTAGCTATATTACTGTACACCCCTTTAGATCACTGCCCCTGTTTCACCTGAAGGAGAGAGAGAGGTAGCTATATAACTGTACACCCCTTTAGATCCCTATCCCTATTTTTCCTGTAGGAGAGTGAGGTAACTATATAACTGTACACCCCTTTAGATCACTGCCCCTGTTTTACCTGAAGGAGAGAGAGAAGTAGCTATATAACTGTACACCCCTTTAGATCCCTGCCCCTGTTTTTCCTGTAGGAGAGAGAGGTAGCTATATAACTGTACACCCCTTTAGATCCCTGCCCCCTGTTTTACCTGTCTGAGAGAGGTAGCGATACAGTCACAGCCTGTGTCCCCGCCCCCAATGATGACGACATCCTTGTCCTTGGCATATAGTTTGAGGTAATCCATCTCATTTCCACTCTGGACTTTCTGCCAGGTCTCAAGGAAACTCATGGCAAAGTGAATACCATTCAAATTCCTGCCTAAAAGTGTTCAATATGGAATCTTAAGTGCTGAAAGTGTTCAGTTTAAAATCTTAATTCAAACTCCTGCCTGAAAAAGTTCATTTGAAAAAATAAGTGGATACCTTTCAAATCCCTACCTAAAAGTGTTCATTTTGAATATTAGATAGTACCATACAGATTCCTGCCTGAAAGTGTTCAGTTTGAAATTTTAGAACATTTTGTCAGGGAAAACATTTTGCTGCATTTGTAGAATATAAGCAGAAGAGATTAGTCCTGAACAGAACCACTGTTGTTCAAACAACAATAGAGACTCAAGTGATTTTTGTCTTAATGGGAAATCCTGATGATATGTAAACCACAAACAACAAGTATTGTTATATCAATGATTTAGACACAAGTGTTTGTACCTGGTAAAGGTAAATCTCCTAGCCCTATATAAAACCCCAGATGTACTGTAACGTTGATTTAGACTGTACCTGGTATAGGTAAATCTCCTGGCCCTATATAAAACCCCTGATGTACTGTAACGTTGATTTAGACTGTACCTGGTATAGGTAAATCTCCTGGCCCTATATAAAACCCCTGATGTACTGTAACATTGATTTAGACTGTACCTGGTAAAGGTAAATCTCCTGGCCCTATATAAAACCCCAGATGTACTGTAACATTGATTTAGACTGTACCTGGTATAGGTAAATCTCCTGGCCCTATATAAAACCCCTGATGTACTGTAACATTGATTTAGACTGTACCTGGTAAAGGCAAGTCTCCTGGCCCTATATAAAACCCCTGATGTACTGTAACATTGATTTAGACTGTACCTGGTAAAGGTAAATCTCCTGGCCCTGTATAAAACCCCAGATGTACTGTAACATTGATTTAGACTGTACCTGGTAAAGGTAAATCTCCTGGCCCTATATAAAACCCCTGATGTACTGTAACATTGATTTAGACTGTACCTGGTAAAGGCAAGTCTCCTGGCCCTATATAAAACCCCTGATGTACTGTAACATTGATTTAGACTGTACCTGGTATAGGTAAATCTCCTGGCCCTATATAAAACCTCTGATGTACTGTAACATTGATTTAGACTGTATCTGGTAAAGGTAAATCTCCTGGCCCTATATAAAACCCCTGATGTACTGTAACATTGATTTAGACTGTATCTGGTATAGGTAAATCTCCTGGCCCTATATAAAACCCCAGATGTACTGTAACATTGATTTAGACTGTACCTGGTATAGGTAAATCTCCTGGCCCTATATAAAACCCCTGATGTACTGTACCATTGATTTAGACTGTATCTGGTATAGGTAAATCTCCTGGCCCTATATAAAACCCCAGATGTACTGTAACATTGATTTAGACTGTACCTGGTATAGGTAAATCTCCTGGCCCTATATAAAACCCCTGATGTACTGTAACATTGATTTAGACTGTACCTGGTAAAGGCAAGTCTCCTGGCCCTATATAAAACCCCAGATGTACTGTAACATTGATTTAGACTGTTCCTGGTATAGGTAAATCTCCTGGCCCTATATAAAACCCCTGATGTACTGTAACATTGATTTAGACTGTATCTGGTAAAGGTAAATCTCCTGGCCCTATATAAAACCCCAGATGTACTGTAACATTGATTTAGACTGTATCTGGTATAGGTAAATCTCCTGGCCCTATATAAAACCCCTGATGTACTGTAACACTGATTTAGACTATTTCTGTACCTGGTATAGGTAGATCCCGGGGGTAGGTGGCCCCCAGGGCTAGGACCATGGCATCACTCTCCTCCATTATTTTACAGGCGGACACATCTTTACCCACTTCCTGTCCACAGACAAAAGTAATTCCCTCCTCCATCATCAGGTCCACTCGTCTCTGTACGACCTGGGAACAAAAAGCAAGGAATAGCCATCAAAAATTCACACGTTCCGAACCCCAAAACAATTAATCTGCTTAGAATTTTGTCTGTGACTACATGGGAGTATTGAGACTGGGTACTCACATCTTTGCCGAGCTTCATTGTGGGGATACCGTATCTAAGTAGACCCCCGACTCGATCATTCCTCTCGTACACCGTCACTGTGTGACCGGCCTAAAATATACACACATCTCAGGTGACATAAATCTATTAATCATGATATACTTGTATATTGTTCAGCATAGGTCCATAACAAAGCACAAGTTTAGGGTAACTTTACAAATTACATGTAATTGTTTATCACGATGAATGTTTGTTTAACATGCATAATGAAAGAGACACATAATAAATATATATTTTATCCTCAAAGTCTGGAAAAAAATTTATTCATTAATAATGACAGTAATAAAATAGCATCACACAGATAGTTATTTAGACCCCAGACCTTGTTCAGTTGAGCAGCAGCCGCTAATCCCGCTGGTCCACTCCCGATCACAGAAATCTTTTTGCCGGTGCGTGTGTGAGGAATCTCTGGTTTTATCCATCCCATCTCAAAAGCATGGTCGATAATGGCACACTCGATGTTCTTAATGGTGACAGCTGGAGAATTAATGCCCAATACACAGGCTCCCTGTTATAAAACAAATAGTTATGGGAAAATAACAGTGGTGATCAAAGCCTGGAAAATAAGAGATAAAACAGTAGTGAGGTAATGCCTTATACACATCATCAAAAGAAAAAATAATAACCACCTCACAAGGGGCGGGGCACACTCTCCCAGTGAATTCTGGGAAATTGTTGGTCTGTAGAAGCTCATTCAAGGCATCCTTCCAATCGTCCTGGAACAACAGACAATTCACAAGTAAATAAGTGAACCAAAGGGACATAACTCCAGGCAAAGATTTCATTTTTTATTTCATTTCCTGTATAGCTCCAACTTCTTCAATTCAGATGAATGCCTATTTTTTTTTATTGACATTTTTAGACTAACCTTGAAGACAAGGTCATTCCACTTTGGAATAATGTTACTCAGGGGACAACCATCATGTGACTGACAAAATGGTACACCACAATCCATACACCTAAAAATAGTAACAAAATACTATAATAAAACAGTACACCATAATCCATACACCTAAAAATAGTAACAAAATAGTACAAAACAATATACCACAATCTAACATACATAGTAACAAAATACAACAAAAGGGTAAACATGTACCACAATCCATACATCTAAAAAGTAATGAAATACTACATAAAAATATCTTCCATGTATTTCTTCTTTTCTACCATAGATAAAGATTACACACTACAATTCGTACAACTAAAAGTATTTAAGAAATGAATTTAATTTTTGAAGATTCATGAGGACATGAACTACGACGCTTCACGCCGGCATATTTCATGAAGCGCGTTAGCGCTTCATGATAAATATGCCGGCGTGAAGCTTTGTAGTTCATGTACCTCATGAATCTTCAAAAATTAAATTCATTTCTTATATTTACATTATTTTTCTGATGAGTTACCACAAAGGACTATATTCTGTAGTGGCCAGTATCTGCCCCCAAAATAAAACTTTGATGGAGAAATCTTTAATTATGTTCTAAACCAGGTGGATATTTGCAGACTTCAAAGCATTAAATATTTTCATCAACTATGACATCATTAGTAAGATATGACGTCAATAAAATGACGTAAATTCCAAATTGCAATGATTTTGAGAGAAAATAGCGTATTTTACGTCGGTATTTTGATTGGAAATTATCGAGCGCAGGTCTGCTCAGACTAGATCTTTTGATATAATGTGTAGAATGATAATATCAATGAAATATGTGAATATGGTACCTGAGCAAGCTTGCGCTCTATAAATACTATAGTCAAAATTGAACAAACTCTGTGCATTTTGGCCTCTATTTTAAAAATAACGGAAATCCAAATAGTTTGTGACGTCACAGAGACAAGAAAAGCCAACTAATTTTTCCAATTTCATAATATATTGTCTTAATTTGGGTTATTTTATACATTATATGCACTTTTTCTCATTTCAAGAGATTTTCAAAATTCGACTATTATGGGGGCAGGAAAACGCCCTTACCGTATATAGTTCTTTCACCATTCAACTGTCATTTTTAAAGCAAAAGAGTCTGCACTATAGTTTTGACTTCAAGTACGGTATTATGACGTAACAATGGAGATATTCATGCTCATCCATGGTAGTTCATGAGAAAATGAAGAGCCTTCTAATTTGCAAAGAATCTTAAGGAAAAATATTTGGAAATGTAAATATAACGAAATAAAACATAGCATCATACATGTAGCTGCTATAACAAAATCACACAGAAACCTTGTAAATTCATGGTTGGTTAAGCTTCTGATATTTTTGTTAATATTTGCCTTTTCTCAAAACTCATTTCAATTTGACTTGTTATAATTATTACCTGAACACACTTGGACTTGGGAGTCCATAACATTCTCATCTGGCTATCTGGACTTGGAGACAATTCTCATAAACACCAGGATACTGTGTACATTCTTACCTAGCCTCCAGGACTTTAAGTCTGTCTTTGACCACTCTGTGGTTATAAATTTCTTTCAAGTATTTCTGTATTGTCTAATTCTTACCTAGCCATCTGGACTTTAAGTCCATCTTTGACCACTCTGTGGTTGTAGATTTCTTTCCAGTCTTTCTGCCTTGTCTAATTCTTACCTAGCGGCTTGAACTTTGAGTCCGTCTTTGACCACTTTGTGGTTGTAGATTTCTTTCCAGTCTTTCTGTCTGGTTTTGGCATCTCTGTATTGGTAGCTGGCTCGACTGTACTTCATAAAACCTCTGTAAAATAAAATACTCTAAATAATGAAACATTCTTTCCAATGGACCCCTTTTCTTGCAGACTCCATTCCTTAAAAAATCTGACAATAACATTATAGAAATCTGTCTCACTGAAAAAAGTGACATCTAAAAAAGATCTTTAAAAATCTATGTCATCCTCTGAGAATCAAAATTTAGTTTGAAGAGTCCTTGAATGTATAACTGCAATTATTGTCTACAGAGCAGTTAAGAATGCATGAGATCATAAGATTTCTGATAGAAAGCTTACTTGAGTTTGTCTAGCCTACCTGAGTTTGTCCAGGTTACCTGAGTTTGTCCAGCTTACCTGAGTTTGTCTAGCTTATCAGAGTTGGTCCTGATTACCTGAGTTTGTCTAGCTTATCTGAGTTTGCCTAGCTTACCTGAGTTTATCCAGCTTACCTGAGTTTGTCTAGCTTACCTGCGTTTGTCCAGCTTACCTGAGTTTGTCTAGCTTACCTGAGTTTGTCTAGCTTACCTGAGTTTGTCCAGCTTACCTGAGTTTGTCTAGCTTACCTGAGTTTGTCCAGCTTACCTGAGTTTGTCTAGCTTACCTGAGTTTGTCTAGCTTACCTGAGTTTGTCCAGCTTACCTGAGTTTGTCTAGCTTACCTGAGTTTGTCTAGCTTACCTGAGTTTGTCCAGCTTACCTGAGTTTGTCTAGCTTACCTGAGTTTGTCTAGCTTACCTGAGTTTGTCTAGTTTCTTTAAGTTCTTCTGGTTCTGTGTAGCATTAGGAATTGTCTCCTCAATATCAACAACCTTACTCTACAAAATCATAAACACATTCAACAGCAAGATTCCCCCCAAAATGTTCAGATATGTAGAGCAACTCTACACTCTCTAGCTCTCTTAAACATATATGTTCGCAGGTACATTAAGGCTTCCCAGAGAATATTGCAGTGTACTCTGTGCCTTCACTTCTCTGAACTACCAATGTATGACGTCGTAATTGAAAATAACGTCAAGTCACTGCAAACTTGAGCTGTTATGATGGGGGGAGTGTCATAAACTTTACACCTTATTTCAATCTGCGTATAAAGTGTCAGGAAGCTAGTGCGAAATAAATGTGTTTTAATCTTTTATTTTTAAATCTTATGTATCCAATTATTTTAGAAAACTTTGCTTAATTACGCTTGTTTAAAAGTCAGAATGTTCAAAATATATGCGAAAAAAGTACGTTTGACATTTACCCTTTTTTATACCCATTGATGGAGGTATTATTTATTGCGTGGACCCTGAGGTCCACGCAGAAAATATATTAGCGGGGTTAAACCGGATGCCATGGGCTTACGTCAGGCTATGCATGCGCGAGAATGCTAGAGAGTTCTTCTCTAAGACAACTTGCCCTTAGAACAATTCGCCCTTTTCGAATTAGAATATGCCAATCATTGGGGAACCTCGCTCTAAAATCTGCACATCGTATTTATGTATAATTCTTAGGCGTAACCAAGATCTGAATTTCTCTTTAATACATATATCCTTATATGCAAACTAAATTCTATGGTACAAGCAATTTAAATAAGTAGGAAGAACTTATAGAGATAGCTTAACAGTTTGAACACCCATGCAACTAGGTTTTAAAAGACAGTCTTTACCATGTTTACCGGCATTAGTTTTGTGCATCAAGGTTCGCAAAATAATTTGATAGACAGCAATCCAAATAAAGGCCTGTAGCAATGTTTTTTTCCATGTGGGGGAGAGGGAGAAACATCAAAAAAAAAATCTGCGTACTACAGATATGCGCTACACGTGTACCATGTATCTTTCCAATGATAGGATATCTTTCGTATAAATCTAGTACAGATGTCAAGTCCCATCCGTTATGCATAATGATTACATGTATCGAAATAACCCGATTTTTTTAAAAGATAAAACTATAGGCCAATCGGGAATATAAAATTTAACAACATTGCTATGAATGTACAATCACTCAAAGTAGGCAGATCATTGTGGAAAATGTTAACGAAAGGTAAAACTGTGCCACCTTTCAGAGTAACCAATGAACTCGTCCATGGATGCACTGACGGTCGTTGTAACAAGAATAGATATGGGTTACCCCATATCCAAGATATACTCCAATTTTCACTAGAAAAAAAACTCTCATGTTATGAAACTGGTGTATAGTTCTTCATATCTGTAGCAAATACTGTCACCAGTCTAAGCGTCTCTAGCAAACAGTGCAGACATACATGTATGTGCTTGCAAGACCAAATAGCTAAGGTCTACACACGTGCGATGAGGTAGTGCATCTTCTCAGACCTTCTGGCAAGCTCGGAAAAACACATTGTTTTGCCGAGAAGTTACGATTGCAAGTGTTGTATATTAATCATTCCGTTATTTAAAAAGAGAAACACACACACACAGAAAATTAATTCTTTTTGTGTTTTTAAATTGATCGAGTTAATCGATAACCTAGCATCGTTTTAGATAACTCGCGACCTTTTAGTGCCGAGACCCTCTAGTGCTCAAATACAGAGTTTTTGAAGGGAAAAAAGGGGGGGGGGGTCTAGGTCACACTGCAGGCACTTACATTCAAGCCTGTAGCAACGGTTTTAAAGGGGGTAACCTCCAAAAAGAGTTTATAGTAAGAAATATATAAATAAATCAAAATAACAACCTGTGCACCACCCTGTAAAATCCTATTTCAAGGGGGGGGGGGGGGGGGGGGGGGGAAGGGGGGGTGACTTCGTCTTACTTTTCGGTACATTTTGATTTCTTTTAAATGTTTGATTTTCTGTATTTTGAACCTTCCCGCAACAAAAAGTGCGGGGAAACTTCCAATGCAAATTAAAACTGATATATTCAAATTATAACAAAAGATTTTTTAAGAAAAAGTGAGGCCCCTCCCCAACATACTAGTACTACGGGGACATTCTGAACCTTTCTCTTCATTGATTAAAATATCCCCATAATATAAGGAGATAGATATTTTCTTATGGATACTCCCTTTCATGACTTTTTATGCATACTTCTTAAAGTTAGTTACTTTAGAAGATGGTCCAAAAATGGCATAGCCGTACGTTCGCTGGAATCTTCCGACGATATCAAAGTGAAATCGTTCATGTTACGCGTGGGTGATCGAAAAAAAAAAAAAAATTAAAATTTAATTACACCTTTGTAAAATCACTAAATCTAGAAACTTTCTTTGAATTTCGTTTAGAAACACATACATGGTCCACGTATTGCAGTCCTTTTTTAAAGGACAGCAACTTGTAATATATGTATAAAAGAGCCTGGCGCAGGTGATTAATGAGGATTTATTTGAGATCTTTTGTGGAAATCTGTAAAAGGAGTTTCCCCTCTAACTGAATCTTGCTTGGGAAAAATGTGTGATTGGTTTTGTTTTAATACAGATGACGATATTGTGTGGAAAATACCCTCGAATTTTTCAGTAAGTTGAATTTATTGTGAAATATTTTGTACTAGAGTAATAGTATAACTTTTCCCAAGCACATTTCGGGTTCAAAAGGATGCGATGCATTTATTTATATGACAAAAAGTTAATAATAATTGTGTTAATCAGCTGCGCCGAAGTGATTAATGTGAAACTCTTCAAATATTATAACTGATCGTCACGTGATCAATGAAGTCATATGATAAAATAACAAATTTGTGAATATAGCTAAGAGAACTCTTTATATAAATTGGCCGTACTTAAGTACATAACTTACAAATTAAAATCAAAGCCGACCTTGCAATGCAGTGTTATGTTTTGAATGCATTGAAAGCTGCGGGAAGCCTTAACATTACTGCGTTTATCACCTGAATGTTATAAAGCTATATACAAGTTCTTCAAGTTGCTGAAACATAATTCCATGAACAAAACATAAATTCAGATATTATCTTCTTGTCACTAAGAACTTCTATTTTTTTTCTCTGTTACCATTCACTTATTACTTACAGAAAGACGCAAGATTATTACTGTAAACAAACTTTTATTCCTATGACAGACTTTCGTGACTTTGTTCAACTGCAAATATTTCTCGTCAAGAACAATTTATTTGATTGTGTATCCATGCAGAATATTTCCTAAATCGCGAAAATTTACTGCCGCTGATACATTTTAAACTGACCAATTGCAGATAAAAGTTGACACAAAAACAGCTGGTTTACAGTATATTTATCTGTCAGTTTTTACCTTCTCTACCTTGTCTGTCTCCTCTATCTCATCCTCGTCATAATCTTTATCGTCCGTCTCTCCGTTAATGACGCCGTTCATAATGTCCAACTTTTTCTTGGCTTCTTCCTCCTCTGCAATCTCCCTCAGAGCCCGGCGATACTCATGTGGAAATACCTACCAATAAAATAGCCTGCTTATTGCATAATTTCCTTCAAGCACTATTTAAATAACAAGCATTCTGAGAGTATTGCATTAGCAATACTAGTCCCCTACCGGCGAGTGTAATCTGGTTCCCGTTAAAAATTGAAAATGCCATAATTCCATCAAAAATCAATGAAGTGGAACGAAATACAAACTTGATCTATAACTCATCTAGGTAAAGTCACATACCAAAAATCAACTCAATATCTGCAAGCGTTTAGAAAAAAATCGCGGAAAACCTTGAAAAATTCAAAAGGTCGTAATTCCGTCAAAAATCATTGAAGCGGAACGAAATGCAAACTTGATCTGTAACTCATCAAGATACACTCACATACCAAAAATCAGCTTAATATCTGCAAGCGTTTAGAAGAAAAGTTCGGAAAACCGAGTGGGACAGACTGACAAACAGACAGAGGGACAGAGGGACAGACGGACAGACAGACAGACAGACAGACAGACAGACGGACGGACAGACTCAGAGGAAACCTATAGTCCCCTCCGGTTTCACTGGTAGGGGACTAATAATTAATAAGTAACTGCCTATGTTAAAAAAAACTGCTTCATATTGGTATCAATGAAAAATATCTCAAAATTACCTATATTCAGATTCTAAAATGCAATATATTTATAAGTCTGCATTGTTCTGACTAAGAACTAAGAAAGTGTTCTCAACATCATTATTCTGTTGAGAATTTGAGAAATAATAACTAAAACTTCTGTCTTCACCAAATATGTTAGTTTGTCAAATAAGTTATTAAAGGGTCTATTGACTTAGCCATCTGAGTGTATGAGGAACAAAAAATCTGATTTATGTCCTCACATTGAACAGGCCTTCTAAAGAATTATTCTGTCCAAAAATTTGAGGAACACAACATAAACTTTTAGAAACACTACTTATATCTCTGTCCCCACCTTAACAAAGTACTGCTTCTCCTGGGCCCAGTTCTCTAGGATATTCAGTGCCTGTACAGAGCCTGTTTTCTCATGGAATTCCTTCAGCAGTTCCTGTATAAAGTCACAGTCCTCCGACAGCTCCAGGCTCTCCAGGTCTACTGACATCTTGTTACACTTGGACTCAAACACTCGCTGCCTGGGGAAAAACAAGTAAACCATTGTGTGGACAATATGATAATGTGAAACCAAACTATACAATTTTGGGATTCAAAGCTGATGAATAAGACATGATGACCTACTTATCATAAAGAAATCTGATGAATAAGACATGATGACCTACTTGTCATAACAAATCTGATGAATAAGACATGAATAAGACATGATGACCTACTTGTCATAAACAAATCTGATGAATAAGACATGATGACCTACTTATCATAAACAAAGGCCAGTCCCCCTGACATTCCAGCAGCGAAGTTTCTACCTGTCAGTCCCAGTATCAGGACGCGGCCGCCGGTCATGTACTCACATCCGTGATCTCCACAGCCCTGAAATTATAATAACATTGATCAGAAAATAAAATCATCACAGCTACTTTATACCAACTTAAATATCATCAATACAATCAAATGTTTAGCGAGTCAACATAAGAATTTACATGAGCCTCACCTCTGACACAGCGGTCACCCCGGAGTTCCTGACACAGAACCTCTCTGCCGTCTGTCCACGGAAGAACGCTTTTCCTGACGTGGCTCCGTACAGCACCACGTTACCAACAATGATGTTATCCACAGAGTTAAACACGGAGTCTTTAGGGGGATAGATGACCACTTCACCTCCAGAAAGACCCTGGGTAACAAAAACGGGGTCATAAATACAGTCAAACTTGTCATAGTGGTCACCTTTATCCAACGGTCACCTGTCCTATGCGGTCATTTTATTTCCTCCCAATGAATTTTCCTATATAATGTAACTCTATTAAGCGGTCACCTGCGTAACACGGTCAGCGGTCATCAAATTTCATGTAAAATCACCGATTTACCTTGTATATAGCGGCCATTTTGTCCGATCACGTGACCAGATCTAATGTCAGGTGACTCCCAATTTTTAGCACTAATGTAAATAATTGATCTCGTGTAGCGAGATCATGGAAAAAATAATTGGCCTTATTAAAACCATTTAAAATATTGGATAATTTATTTTTTTAGCAAAACTAAACAAGGGTGTTAGTGATCGAAAAGGTTATCAGGAAAACGGACTTGCGAGAATCTTAATCTTATTGAATTGGAATCTGGTTTAAAAAATTCTGAGTGATACACAAGGCATCTTTATTTATCTATCAATGGATAAAATAACTAGTGCTAATTGTAACGGGAACCGTTACAGATGTTCCCCAAACGGCCCCCCAAATCCCTTATGATGCCCCATTTTCTACAAGCTTCAATAAATTAGACAATACTTTTGTAATATAGATGGACACTTTATTTTTAAGGGTATTTCATTGGAAAACTACTCCGATATAGCCATATGGGTATTAGCCAATCAAATTTCAGCGCATGTGCTTGCACATGTTTTCTACATTTTTCACTTTAATTTTCTTATAGTGTCTCACAATACATACAGTTGTGTTAAATATTAAAGAATTTCATTGAAAAATAAGAGAGATGTAACCCTTTAAGTATTAGCCAATCAGAATTCAGCATACGCACATGCAGGTCCTTGCATTCAATTTTGATAGTATTATAATGTAGGAGTTCTATGTGCCTATCCATGTCATAAATTTCATCCTGTTTTGTTGAAAACCAAGGGAGTTATAGACATTTAAAGTTTCAACCAATCAGATTGCAGCACACCTGCATGCGCGTGTTTTCAAGAAATTTCCTATATAACATGTTGTAGCACCTTATAATATATACTTATATTCTAAATTTCAAAGTATTTTGTCAAAAAACAAGGAAATTATTGAGATTTTTGTATCAGCCAATCAGAGAAGAGCGCACGTGCATGCGCGTGAGTTCACGCTAATTTGACCATGTTATCTTGTCTAGACTACTAATGTATCTTTATATTTTGAGTTTCAAAGCAATTCATCAAGAAATATCAAAGTTACGGCTTCATCAAGTATATCAGTCATTTCACTCATTGCACGCGCGCGCACGTGCATGCATGTGCGCGCAAAATGACCTTCGTTCCGAACACCTACACAACATGCCTATTAACCCTAAAAAGGTTTCATGTCAATCGGATGAGTGGTTCTATGAGAACACTCGCGGACAAAAAAGTACCAGAGAAGAAAGTAGAAAAAAAGAATAATAATAATAACTAGAAACTCATTGCGAGCAATGAGAGGTCTTCCGTCCGATTTTGAAAATAAAAACGTAAATTCAAGCTGAAAAGGTGATAAAAGAAATTCAGACACTCTGGAGATTTAACCCTGGTTGTCAGCGTGACAATCCAACGTGCTAACCATTAACAATTCACTTTTTTGCATCACTTCCTGTCACGACCGGAAGTAACGGCGATATAAGATTTCCTCGCGATTCAAATAAACTGATGACTGACTATCAGTTCTGAAAGTTTTAGACTTCAGTCGTTTACAGTTGCCGAGCAATATTGTGAGAACAAATTATAATTCTGAGGACAGGTAAACACACGACCCGAAGTGAATTTTATTAAAATAAAAATCTCTGACGTTTCTCTATACATTTGCAGTATCTACAAAATGCATAAAAACATTTCAAGTACTTTATCAATAAGCAATATTTACGAGAAAGTTAAATATCGAAATAACGTAGTTTATCGCCTAAAACCGGAAGTTGACGTTTTTGTTTCCGGTGGAATCTAACATATTTCAAAACAGCGAAAGAGATGCAATTAAGTGATGCAAACTTTAATTTAAAAAAGAAAAGTTAAAATTTTTGATTTCTTTGGTCACTTCCTGTGGCGACCGGAAGTTACGACGGACGCGTTTAACCAAAATGGTTTTGCCTACTCCTCAAGGTCTGCTACTCATAAAAATTTGGTGTTTTAATCTTTTACCTGTTTTTGAGATCTCGCTCAGACAATTTTTCACTTTGAGGACGAAAAACACGTGACCGGAAGTGAATTTTTTGAAAGATATTTAAGGTTACTTTAGACCTTTGCAGTCTGAATAACATATTTAAAATTCATTTCAAATACATTATCTATAAAGAATATTTATAGGAAAGTAAAATACTCAAATTTTGTAGTTTTTCTCTTATAACCGGAAGTTGTCGTTTTTGTTTCCGGTGGGACCAACATCTTTTGAATCTGCGAAAATGATACAATAAAGTGATGAAATTTTTAAATAAAAAAAAGAAAAGTTGAAATTTTTGATTTCTTTGATCACTTCCTGTGACGACCGGAAGTGACGGCTGACGCTCTGAACCCAAGTGGCTTTGGCTACATCTTAAGGTCTGTTGCTCATATAAGTCTGGTGTCTTAATCTTGTACCGTTTCCGAGATCTTGCTCAGACAACTTCTCATTTTTAGGACAGAAAAACACGCGACCGGAAGTGAATTTTTGAAAGATATTTGAGGTTACTCTAGACATTTGCTGTCTAAATAACATATTTTAAAATCATTCCAAATACTTTATCTACAAAAGATATTAATGGGAAAGAAAAATATTCAAATTTTGTCGTTTTTCTCTTATAACCGGAAGTTGACGTTTCTGTTTCCGGTGGGACCAACATATTTCAAAACTACAAAAGAGATGCAATAATGTGATGTAAGAATTGATTTAAAAAAGGAAAGTTCAAATTTAACAATTTCTTTGATCACTTCCGTAAGCGACCGGAAGTGCCGACAACGAACGAAAAGGTGCCCTCTCCAATCTAGAAATCATGTTCTATCATCTCTAACAAGTCTCCAGTTAATATCTTAAGCCATTCTTGAGAACACTCGCGGACAAAATGTCATTTTAAAATCAGAAAATTGTCCATAACTTGGCACTGGAACCGAATTTACCAAAAAACGGATTTTTATATAAAATTCATATAAAGACCTTTTATCCCTGAAAATTTCAAGGAAATTCATTGAATAGTTTTCGAGAAATCGCGTGCACAAAATTTTGTCTAAAAAAAAAGAATAATAATAATAAGAAACAATAGAATCACTATAAGGTCTTCCGTGGAGACGGAAGACCTTAATAATAATAATAATAATAAGAAACAGAGTAAAAACAATATGTTCCCAAACTTCGTTTGGGGAACATAATTAGGTGTTTCCTAATTATTAGTTCACGTTTGGCATGTCCAACTCCGATAGGTGTAATTGTGTAAACGCATGACAAGCCGTTTTTAACGCATAATAAAGGAAACGTATTATTTGTAGAGACCCTAATTAACTGTTTTGTATACTCAATGTGTCCTGATCATCTTGTGATTTTCAACTACCGGGGTAGGTTAGACGACCGTTAGGATTAGTCACGCTTCATTGCTCACAACACCTGTGAATTTGATATCAATTTGTAGTATACACTGCTTTGATAAACTGAGAATATTATGATTGTCTGTTTATTACGCTACATACTATTTATGTATTATTAAACATATACAATTATCAGAACTAAACTTGTTTTTTAGAGACAGTTTAGATAAAAAATTCATTATTTTTTTTTAATGGCACAACATGATAAAGTAATCTTATAATAAAAGAAAGTTTTGTTTGGAGGGAGGATAATGCAATGCCCTATTAGACTCAATTTTTGTTGTTGTTGGAGTCATCAAATTCATCTTCAACTTAATCTTGAGACTATTAAAATTTTAAAAAAAATCTGAGACTATTGATGTTCAAAACACATCTTTCTTTTTAATATTCTATGATGTAGTATTTTAAAACACAGAACTTATATAAATTGGAAAAGAATTTTTCTTGAAAAAAGATGAACTTCTTTTCAAAGGTCACCTCTCTATAAAGGTCACTTTTAATGGTTCCCGTAGGTGACTGCTTAATACAGGTTTGACTGTACTGAACCCTTGCTGGGTATGAAAAATAGAAGTCATGCATACAGTCCTAGGCAGCAACAAAAAGGTAATACTGAGCCCTGAGTGTGGGACAAATTCCTTAATCACAGATCACTCATCTTTATATCATAAATGCATTTCTTTTTCAGGTTATATATGCTTATCCAGTGCAAGCGATACAGGAAATAAATACAGAGTCCTTGATACTTACCTTTCCTACATAATCATTAGCGTCTCCCTCTAGGGTCACATGTACCCCCCGGGCCAGGAAGGCACAGAAGCTCTGTCCCCCCGACCCCTTCAGGATGATGTTGATGCTGCCCTCGGGAAGGCCGTCCTCTACTGTCTTCCTGTGACAGAAATAATCAAAGTACTGAAAACACTGAGATGAGTGAGAAGCAATTGACACGTTTTATAGACTGAGGGTAAGAATTTTTTTTTCAAAAAATAAGTAAATAAATATCACTGTCATTAATTTTTTTTTCTTCACTCTTTTTTTTAGGGTATAAAGCCACTACAATGGTACCTTGAACAAACCAGTGGAAAAACTTTCTTCTTTTTCTTTGATGGTTCACTACTACCTGCCATATTAGTTGACCCCTACCTACAAAAATACTGACTAGCTACAAAGTACTTACTTAGATATATAGTAACTAAGAGTGGCTCCAAAGGTTCTGTCCTCATTACAAATGTTCATGTTCAGTGTCACACTCTTCTGTTTACCATCAATGACATCCCGACACTTCTCCAACACTTTATAATCCTAAATTTAAACACAAACATTTTTAAATATTGTTAATAAAATATTAACACAGCTACAGGTTATTTTATTAATGAAAACAGCTGTCTCCCCCTTACCCCAATGTTATCTACTACAGTTTGAATTCACTCCAATCAAAATGTTTAGCTGTATGTAATGGTCAAAATAAACCTGTCTTTAATATACTGACCAGTCGCTTGTCAAGGTCAAATATCTGGCTGACACTGCCCCCGACCATGTTGGTGTTTGGTCTGAGAGTCAGGGCGTTCTTTAGAATCAGCTGAAAGTCCAGAAGCTTAGCCTTGTGGTTCTCGGGATCTGGAGAAAACTTTAGGAGCTCTGTACATCCAATCACTTCCTGTAGACTACGGCGGCCGAGCTTGGCTAGAATCTCCCGTATCTTTATAAACAGAAAATATTCCACATCAGACCTTCACTTCTATAATGCTCTCCAAAAAAGCAGTCAATATTTCCCACTTATCCAATTTAAACATAATCCGTTATAGTTTTCCAATTAAAAGTCATTTTAAATTGCATGACCATACATATAATTAAGTATATATATTTGAATAGCCTTATAAACTTTCTGATATAGGTAGACAACTCCTGACCTCCTCAGCCAGCAGGAACAGATAATTCACCACATACTCCGGTTTACCAGCAAACTTAGCCCGGAGTACTGGGTCCTGAAAAATACCAATAAAGAATGCTCACATAATAACAGATAAACCAATAAAGAATGCTCACATAATAACAGATAACTAATGCCAGATCATCTACAGAAATATGAAAGCTGTCTTATAAGGTATAAATGACCATACCTTTGTTAAGGAACCTCAGACCAAATTTAAGTTTAAAACCAATCCAATAAGTTAACATCTTATCTTTTGTTGCAATTGCTTCTTTAAGATTAAATAATTTTTACCTCCTTTGCTGCATAAGGTACATGTAATTATTATTTACCTGTGTTGCTATGCCAACAGGACAGGTGTTAAGGTGACATTTTCTCATCATGGTACACCCAAGTGCAATAAGAGGTGCTGTGGAGAATCCGTATTCATCTGCTCCAAGCATCGCTGCAATCACCACATCACGCCCTGACAAAGTGAAGTGCAGAATAAGAGGATAAACAGAGCTATACTGCCAAAAAGTGATCAAAAGGGAATGAAAATTCTTCTGATCTCTGTAAGTAGTGTAGATGTCCTCTCACCTGATCGAATTTGGCCATCAGCCTGTAGTACGACCCTTGACCTGAGGTCATTCATAACCAAAATCTGGTGCGTTTCTGCAATTCCCAGTTCCCATGGTAACCCAGCATTTTTGATCCCCGTCCAAGAACTCGCCCCCGTCCCTCCATCGTGTCCTGAGATTGTGATGTGTTCAGCTTTTCCCTTCACAAGAAACAAACATACACATACAATATGGATATAAAAGCATGACTGTATATAAGATGACAACCAAATCATGCTGTATTGTTTCTCATAAGCTAAGAACCATAGATTCTTCAAGATCTTTACTTTTCTCTTATTGAGAAATCTTTATTTCTTTTTCTTGAATTCAAACTTATTTCTCCTCATGTTTCACATAAAGACTTCCCACAATTCCCCTGGGGTTGTTTTACCTTGGAAACTCCTGCAGCGATGATCCCCACACCGGCCTCTGACACCAGTTTCACACTAATCCTAGCGTTAGGATTGGACGATTTCAGGTCATATATCAACTGAAACAGCAACATTTAAACTTAAATCAGCTCTCCTTCCATCAAATATGTCTTAGCTGATATTTCTTAGCTGATGATCAAATATAATCATTCAGCAGTCGCAGAGAAGTAATTATAAACTAAGGGTGTTGTTTGTTTGTAAAGATTTATTTGCTAAAAGATTTAAATTCTGTACATGAATGAACCGTGCACATGGGCTTTTAGGCATGTTTGCTGTTTAAGGACCTTTGAATAAAGTGGCAGGTCTAAGCTCTCTTTTGATGTTCATTAGCCCCAATCAAGGTTGTAGAAATGACCTTACCTCTGCCAGGTCCTCTATGGAGTAGATATCATGATGGGGGGGAGGACTGATGAGCCCCACCCCGGGGATGGAGTGACGAGTTTTGGCGATGTCTTTAGACACCTGGAAATACAGAGAATATTTTAGAATGTCAGATAGATGACTGCAAAACTATATACATGTAATTATATAAATGTAATATCTTAAATTAATTTATCCGAATTTGTTTACGATACATTATTTTTAGGGATGTCAAATCGGTCGATATTTGATAATCGGTTACTCGGACGATTTTCCGATCGAGTACCCGGGTACAAATGTGTTAATTTTATTGATACCAGTTAAGCCCTTTTTAACCCCATCGATATTTTTTTAAACGTTTTTTTATGCCTGTACACAAACAGCGCGCAAAACGAAAGATTTTTTGTACTAAATTTATTTATCAAATAAACACAAAAGACAACAATGAATACATCAATAATTAGAAATGGTTTATAGTTCTTGTTTAGGAAGACGATTTGATCAACGCAAGAGGAAGACAGTCTGTAACGTAGCTTTGCAATGATTAGACAAGCGCAAGAAATTCTTTTTAAATAAAGAGACGGTGTCGAGATTTCTAGACGTATATTATTTAATTAATACATGGATGTTGGTTGTTTTCCCCATATACTCTATGTTTAATTTGCACAGCTAATTTTAAACATCTTTTAAATCTTAAGTTCTTGCCTTATGTTTTTTTTTTCACTTTTGAAGTGGTAGTGGCATTTCTTTGTATCGCTGAATTCGCTACCGTATGCGAACTAAATTATTTTAGGATAATAAACCCTAATCAAATGATGTTCATCAAATACTAATCATTAAAGCCATCCAAAAAATAACGGATCACAGGAGGTGATACATGTAACATCTGTTTACCAGGTGATTGGTCTCGGTAATTACTGTATAAACAAGTAGACAGCCACAGACAATAACGGGTATTAACAGGTGTGGGGGACGCTAATTACAAGGTAAACATGGACAATTCATTTTGAAGTTGCATTTTTTTTGATAAGTTTTGGATAAAAGAAATATACTTTTTCTTTGAAATATGAAAAAAATATAATACATCCGTGTAACCGAGTAGCGATTTTAGTATTCGATACTCGGACGTTCTATCGAGTACCCGGTTAACCGGGTACTCGTTGACATCCCTAATTATTTTACATTACCATCATAATTTATAAAACACTTCTTCACTTTCCCTACCTTGTGACCGGGCAGCTCTCCCCCCTCTCCAGGTTTAGCTCCCTGAGCCATTTTAATCTGGAGTTCATCAGCGTTTGTCAGGTATGAACTGGTAACCCCAAATCTTCCAGACGCCACCTGCAGGTCAAAATCAGCATTACACAACAGAAATCTCTAGGTACATGTATATAATGTTACAAATTGAAGAACCTCAGGTTATCCAAAATTTCTTCTTTCAATCCATTATTAATTACAAAGATGTTTATTTCATAATTTTGAAGAAATGCTTCCCGATGACCAAAAAAAGGCGGAGATTAAATGAGACGTTCACAACATCCTAATGTATCATTAAAGCAAAACTTCTTTAGAAATTTTTGGATCCGCTCACCTGCTTGATCTTAGATCGCTTGTTGAACTGTGGGTCTTCATTGAGATATCTGTCGGCATTTTCTCCCCCTTCCCCGGTGTTAGACTTTCCCCCGATCCGATTCATGGCTATTGCCAGACTGGTGTGTGCCTCGATGGAGATACTGCCAAAACTCATGGCACCTGACCAAAATAAACAAGAAGTCTGTGAGCCAATGCTCACTAATAATACCCCCGCTCTGATGTGAATATACAAGTTCAGTTACGGACAGACACAGTGATAATCAGGAAGTGGACATTGGATCTTTACAAAAATGAATCCCAACATATGGCATCCTTAAACAAAGGGTGTGCTAAAATTTCAAGCATCTGTGATGAGTAGTTGCCAAGAAAACTGCGACCAAAATTTGTTATGTATGGTACAGACAGACGCAAGGATAAACAGGAAGTTGACATCGGATTCGTACAAAAATGAATCCCAACATATGGCATGCCTAAAGCAAAGAATGTGCTAAAATTTCAAGCAACTGCATTTAGTAGTTGCTGAGAAAACTGCGACCAAAATTTGTTATGTATGGTACGGACAGACGCACAGATAAACAGGAAGTTGACATCGGTTTCGTACAAAAATGAAACCCAACATATGGCATGCCTAAACAAAGAGTGTGCTAGAATTTCAAGAATCTGCGATGAGTAGTTGCTGAGAAAACTGTGACCAAAATTTGTTACAGACAGACACACAGCTAGACAGACACACAAGGGTAAAACAGTATACCCCCCTCTCCTTCGGAGCGGGGGTATAAAAATGTTTTTAACAACTGAAAATCTCCTTTAGCTCTGGGAAACGGATCATAACATTTCATACATGTATGATAGTGAATTCAGAGATAAATATATATACTCTTTAATTCAAGAGTGTTTATATTTTTCCCTTTGTCACAAATATTGGTAATGATTTCAATTTTTTGACCTAAACCAAATCCAATATACTACATATCATTTCTATACATTCTTTAACAATGATCATAATTATGTTCAGCCAAATAAGGAGATAAAGCTATGAGATAAACTGTTCACTGCTGCTACCTGTACAGAACCGCTTGACGATTTCCTGTGCTGGTTCTACTTCCGATACATCGATAGGTCCGTCCCTGCTGGTAAAGTCCAGCTGTCCACGGAGAGAACACTTCACTGCGCTCCTCCACGCGGACTCAGAGAACTTCTCGTATGCTGTCTTACTGTTGTTTTTGGCAGCATCCTGTAATCATAGTTAGAGAGGTGTTAATATTAACATTATATTATGTACCCCCCCAAGCACATACTGCAATCAGTTAAGTAATCTAACTAAGGACAGCTATAATTCCTTTCAAAATTATCATCCATATCCATTTCCCAAACAAACTTCATTTCACAATATCTTGACAGTTCTTTAACTTTTCCTTTTTCACCTTTTTTGCAGTTTATTCATTTTTTTTATCCAGACCACATATAATTCCATTACAATCTTGAATGCAATGTTTAAACTAACGCTAAATTTAACAGCAGTGAAATAGAACTAGATGTCCATGAAAAAATATCTGACTGTCTAGTAGATATAGAAGGAAACATTTACCTGTAAGTTAGCCACACTGAGGGGATCATTCATATGCTGTTCACCCCCATCTCTCCAATGGTACAGTCCCGGATTCATCACAGTGTACTGGTCCACGTCAGGCACGGTGTAGGCCAGGCTGTGACGATTCATTACCTGTAACCAAGGAAACAAAAGTCAGCATCATATCAACTTTGATACATTTTGGGGCAGATAATCTTAGATTTAAATCATTATTATGACAAAAGGCTGAACAGCTACAAGTGGTACAATTAAATGTACTGTATCTGCACACAAAATGTCTCTTGTTTTCATTCATGAATTCAATTTGTTGACAAAGCTATTTAGCTCAATTCATAACAAGCATGGTACAACTTCAAAACTCAGACTAGATATTTTTCAGGACACATATCCCAATGACTTTTTTACCTCCGTGGCGAGCTCCTTGAACGTGACACCTCCGATCCTGGAAGCTGTTCCTCTAAAACACATGTCAACCACTTCATCATGGAGTCCCAGAGCTTCAAAGATCTGTGCCCCCTGTATATAGAAAATTACAAAACAATCAAAGGTCTAAATATTCTGATGGCCCTTGTCTGAAAATCGATCAGGAATACTGATAGGTAACCTCAGTCTATACACTCATACGGGTGATATCATTAGAAGACTCACCACTGAACTGAACATGGCTTTACTGTTCTTGAGAAGATTTTTAAAGATTCTTCCTGTTTTCTTATGTAAAACTTTGATTGCCCATTGTGACCCCAACCTAACCCCAGGGAACATTGAAAAAATTGTATCTACATTATGTCAGGAAGCTTTCACCTAAGTCTCAACTTCTGGCCCAGTGGTTCTGGAGAAGATTTTTAAATATACCCACCCAATTTTTACTATTTCTAAGTTATCTCCCCTTGGAAGAGGGTGTGGCCGTTTATTTGAACAAACTTAAATCTCCTTCACCCAAGGATACTCTGTGCCAAGTTTGGTTGAAATTGGCCCAATGGTTCTGGAAAAAAAGAACGTGAAAAGTGTACGATGACAACGATGAAGACGACAGACAACGGACAAATTTTGATCAGAAAAGCTCACTTAAGCCTTTGACTCAGGTGAGCTAATAATGTAATCTGACACCCCCTCTATTCCCTCCCAGTGCATGTTGGATTACTCAGGTTTCACTGACTTATCAATTAGTCACTGTGTTAAAGACACTCAACACAAAAACTTTCTTCTTATCAGATATAAACAATTCACACAATCATTCTAACATCCTGAATACATAATACTTTAGATAATTTGAGTGACAGTAATTTAGTTAAGACTCCAAATTATTAAGTTGTTAAATTTCTCTTTGAGAAGGTCATTTAGTGAACCCAATCAATAGTTTTTGATAATTTTTTTTGTATAGGATGCAGAAGGGAAGGGGTTAGAATGCTAGTATCATCATCTTTCAGTGACCAGGTTTTTTTAAATTTCTTATACCATGCTGAGACTATTTCATGATTTTTACTGTCTATATCTTAATCAAATATTAAAAGTGTGATGACTGCCACGTTAAATAAAGCAAAATACAGTGCCGAGATTTAAATCCCCACTATATATAGACCAGGAAGTATAAATACCTGACAGGTAGATAACACAGGTAAACAGGTCATGTGACCTGAACACATAACAACAGCCATTTTATCGGCAGCCATTACTGTCTTAGGTAATGTTTAAATATTACTCAAGTATTTAGATATTTTTACCTTGATAATGATATATTGGTTAGGTTTGCCATAGATATTTTGCTATCAAAAAAGTTTTTAAAAAAAAGTTATAAAGGATTTTTAAGGTCAATGAATAATGAATGAATCATTCTGTTCTGAGTTTAATGTACAGTAGTTTCTTCATGTGATGGACTCAGCCCCATCTATCCACAATATTTATAGTTTTGTACACTGGCTATGTGCTATAAATCATAATCATGTAAACAATTTGCCTGATAATTGTCCTTGAGACTACAAAATTCCAAAGAAGTAATGTATTTGCAATGCATGCATATATGACCAAAACCCCACCCTGGAGCATGAATTATGGACTTTTATATTTTACTGTTGGTAAAAAATATAATTAAAAATAAAAATATAACAAGCATTCTGAGAGTATTGCATTAGCAATACTAGTCCCCTACCGGCAAGTGTAATCTGGTTCCCGTAAAAATTGAAAATGCCATAATTTCGTCAAAAATCAATGAACCGGAATGAAATGCACACTTGATCTATAACTCATCAAGGTAAAGTCACATACCAAAAATCAGCTCTATATCTGCAAGCGTTTAGAAGAAAATTGCGGAAAACCCTTATAAATTGAAGAGGTCGTAATTCCGTCAAAAATCAATGAAGCGGAACAAAATGCAAACTTGATCTGTAACTCATCATATACACTCACATACCAAAAATCAGCTCAATATCTGCAAGCGTTTAGGAAAAAAGTGCAGAAAACCAAGTGGGAGAGACTGACAGACAGAGGGACAGACAGCTAGACAGATGGACGGACAGACAGCTAGACAGACGGACGGACGGACAGACTCAGAGGAAACCTATAGTCCCCTCCGGTTTCACCGGTAGGGGACTGAAAAAAGAATAGTACTCTGTAATCAAGCAAATAACTATCATCATATAACTATGATGTTCTTGAGAAAAGAACAATTTAAAGGTGTAATTTCTTTTTCAATATGTTACAAACTTAGCTCTACTCTAAAACCTAATTAACTCTATACTTCAGAGTCACACGTTCACCATGGACCCCCGTACCAGTGCCCAGGACGTGATGCGATGTGACCTGTGTGAGACCGCTGTGGTACAGATGCACTGTGATACATGTCTTGTCAACCTGTGTAACGCTTGTGTAGGTCAACACGTGATTTCAGATGAGTCAAAGAAACATGAAATTGTCAAATTTCAGTCCAGGAAATCCACTCCCCTCTACCCTAGATGTACAACTCACAACAAACAACAATGTACAATGTACTGTAACCAATGTGATATTCCTGTTTGTACAAAGTGTATTGCATCTGGTCAACACCTGAGTCACAGGATCTCAGAAGTCTTGCAGGTTGTGGAAGAAAAAAAGAACAAAATCATCAAAGAACTAACTGAATTAAATGAAACAATTTATCCAACCTACCAGGACATTGCCTCTGATGTACAAAACACAATGAGTCAGTTAGAAAAAGAATATGGAGATCTTTCAACAGCCATAACAAAACATGGAGAGGACTGGCACAGAGAAATTGACAAACTTGTCAAGAAACTTAAAGCTGAAGTTGATGAGATGAAAAACACACAGTTACAAACTCTACACAAACATCTGGATGAAATAAACAAGACAATGTCTGACATCAAGGATGAAATTGATTCAGTTGAAATGGCTATAGACACCAATGACTTGTCAAAACTATTTAGTGTCACTTCCAATGTACATATATACACAAACCTTCCACAAAAACTAGCACCATCTCCATTGAAATTCATTTCAGAAAAAATTCATGGAGAAAAACTCAGTAAGCTGTTTGGGGCCTTATCATTTAGTTCTTTAACTTCAGATAAACATGGATACAGCATGAAGACAACACAGAAATCACCAGAAGCTGGATCCTCTCCTCCAGTCAAACAGCTGCTTGATGAACCAGAGACTGTCGCCACCATAGACACTGGGTATGGAGAACTTTACAATGTGGCCTGTCTGAGTGATGAAGAAATCTGGACAAGTGGAAATGGCAGCACCATGAAACTCTACAGCATCAATCAAGGATCACTACTCAAGTCAATCACAACCAAGTCAGGGAACATGCCATCTGATATAGCAGTGACAGAAAGTGGAGATCTAGTTTATACTGATTACTATGATAGAACTGTGAACACTGTGAAGAATGAGAAGATAGAGGAGGTGATCAGACTACAGGACTGGATACCTCGCAATGTCTGTAGTACCTCCTCTGGTGACCTCCTGGTTATCATGGACAGTGATGATTACAAACCAACAAAAGTTGTCTGTTACTCTGGCTCCACAGAGAAACAAACCATTCAGTTTGATGATAAAGGTAAATCTCTCTATTCATCTGGTAGTTATAGCAGATACATAACAGAGAACAGGAACCTGGATATCTGTGTGTCTGACTGGGGAGCTGAAGCAGTAGTGGTCGTCAATCAGGCCGGGAAACTAAGATTCAGGTACACTGGACATACTCCTGCTCCAAAGAACAAACCATTCAATCCACTAGGAATCACCACAGACAGTCAGAGTCACATCCTTACATCTGATTATTACAATCACTGTGTCCACATCATAGACCAGGATGGACAGTTCCTCCGTTACATAGACTGTGGACTGAGTGAACCCTATGGACTGTGTACAGATACAAATGACAATCTATTTGTTGCTCAAAGGGAAAACAGAAAGGTGAAGAAAATTAAATACATGTGTTGATTTTAGGGCTGTGTATTGAGCAAATAAAACCTATATGATACAGTACAATATGATAACTTAAAAGCCACTATGCAGTATATCAATGCTTTTTAATTAGTTGTATTTAATAACTCCTTATTCACAGCTTATAACAAAAATTTTGATTAAAATATCATCACAATACATTATTAGTTATGTTGTTTTATGATTAAATTGATACATGTAGTACTTTTACACAGTACTCTAACTTTAATGAGATCAAATGTAAACTTGATACAGAATAGCTAGTGTGCTACTGTAAAACTGAAATTATACACTCTATATAATCACTAAATTAATTGAATTTCTTTTGTACTTTTCTAGAAAAAATTCTTAAATAGGAAAACTAAATGAAACAACAGGACCAATATCTTTTGGAAGTTCAGGTATCAATATGAATGACAAAAAAAATTGATTAGTGATATCCTAATTAACCCCTGAATATAATTTACATTCAGTGTTATATTGAAAAACAAGAGGCCCAGGGGCCACATTGCTCTTCTGAGCAGTTTGGCTAGGAAAAAGCAGAAATCGGTTCAGTATTGAAAAGTTTAAATATAAAAATGGTTGGGGGTATGATTTGAAAAAGCTTGAATCTAAACTTCCTAAAGATGCTCTTGAATTAATATGACACATAATGGCTTTGCTGTTCTTAAGAAGACAATTTTTTATTGATATATCATTTGTATTCCTTTGTATAACTATGATCCCCTGTTATAGCCCCTCTATTCTCCTGAGGGGTCATGATTTAAACAAATTTAAATCAACATTAACTGAGGGTGCATTTGTATTATTATTATGACCAATCATGTCTTTTTTATTTTTGTGAAGATTTTTCCTTTGTAAAACTTCAACCACCCATTCTGGCCCCACCTTACCCCCAGGGATCATGATTTAAACAAACTTGAATCTACACTACCTGAGGATGCTTCCATATAAATATGATCAATCACAACTTTTCTGTTCTTGAGAAGATTTTTTTTAAAGATTTTTTCCTATGTATTCCTATGTAAAACTTTCATCCCCCATTGTGGCCCCACCCTACCCCCGGGGTCATGATTTGTATGAACTTGAATCTACACTACCTCACAATGATTTCACAAAAGTTTCATACTTTCAAGCACAGTGGTTCTTGAGAAAAAGATTTTTGAATGGTGCCATTAATTTTTTGTAAAATCATAATTATCTCCCCTTGGAAAAAGGTGTGGCCCTTCATTTGAACAAACTTAAATCCCCTTTACCCAAGGATACTTTGTGGCAAGTTTGGTTGAAATTGGCCCAGTGGTTCTTGAGAAGAAGATGAAAATGTGAAATATTTACCACAACGACGACCATAGACAACAGACAACAGACAAATTTTGATCTGAAAAGGTCACTTGACCCATCGGCTCAGGTGAGCTAAAACACAATCAAGTCAAAGTCGTTGCAAATTTGAACTTACATATATATGACCTTGACTTCCTGACCCACCTTGTAACTGTGGAGAGTGGATATTCCCATTTTGGCCATGACCTTGGAGATTCCTCGGGCACAGGCGGCTTGGTAGCTGTCAAACACGTCCTTGTCTGAGAGTGGGGGATTCAGCAGACCGTGACCTCTCAGTCGAGCTACTGTCTCATATACAAGGTACGGACAAATGGCATCAACTCCATACCCTAGTAGTGTACACAGGTGGTGAACCTCTCTATAAAGAAAGAAATATCAAGATTTAAGGTAGCACGTCTCTTTTGAATTAATGTCCTAATACGTCGGTAGTGGAAACCCATAGTGAGAAAGTCTACACTTAGTCTAAATCGTTATTCCATACATTTATTTTTTGTCAATTGACCTTTATTGGATCTTTTGAGAAATTGTAGGATACCATTACAAGGCTAAAAATCACCAAAAGGTCCTTAATTTTAACTAATTTTACATTTTTCCCAAGAAAAATACAATCATTATAAAACTTGCAATAAATTACATCATGAAAGTTCAACAACTCAAGATTCAACTGAAAACAGAAAAAAAAATCTCTCTTGGAATGTCTTATCAGAAAAGAGAAATTAAATGTATAAACCCTTACCTGGCCTCTCCGGTCTCCATGACGATGCCAACCTTGAGTCGTAGTTTCTGCTCAATCAGATGGTGGTGAACTGCTCCCCCTGCCAGCAGAGACCTGAGGAAAATAAGATTATATATTTACCAGAAAAACTCAGCCCCCTCTCCACAACAGTGACCTGCTCCAAAATAAAAATTCAGAGAAATGAGCTCCCTGACTCTTAAGAGTCAAAGTTCAAGCTAATGATTTTTTGTAATGAAGTCCTATTTTCTCTCATTCAAAGGTTATGACCAAGGCTTTTGTGATAGAAAAACAAATGAGATTTTATGTCTCTGTGCTTTCTTCAAAAATAAAAACGGGATCAAAAAACTCTACTACAAAAGAATAAACTTTTAAATATTCCTCAGAAGAAAACCTCTCATGATTTGGAAAGCCAAATATGACGCTTTTTTCTACGAATAGATTATATTTTTTTTTTAACATTTCTACAATGTACATTTTTGTATATAAAATTATAACAAACATTTGTATCTCAGCAAGGATGCTTTTAACTTTGGACTTCTTTCCTTGTTTCTTCCTGTCTTTATACTTACAGTATGGGTACGGTGTCTCTATACTTACAGTATGGGTACGGTGTCTCTATACTTACAGTATGGGTACGGTGTCTCTATACTTACAGTATGGGTACGGTGTCTATACTTACAGTATGGGTACGGTGTCTCTATACTTACAGTATGGGTACGGTGTCTTTATACTTACAGTATGGGTACTGTGTCTTTATACTTACGGTATGGGTACAGTGTCTTTATACATAGGGTATTGGTACGGTGTCTTTATACTTACTGTATGGGTACGGTGACTTTATACATAGGGTATGGGTACGGTGTCTTTATACATAGGGTATGGGTACGGTGACTTTATACTTACGGTATGGGTACGGTGTCTCTATACTTACAGTATGGGTATGGTGTCTCTATACTTACAGTATGGGTATGGTGTCTCTATACTTACAGTATGGGTACGGTGTCTCTATACTTACAGTATGGGTACTGTGTCTCTATACTTACAGTATGGGTACGGTGTCTCTATACTTACAGTATGGGTACGGTGTCTATACTTACAGTATGGGTACGGTGTCTCTATACTTACAGTATGGGTACAGTGTCTCTATACTTACAGTATGGGTACGGTGTCTATACTTACAGTATGGGTACTGTGTCTCTATACTTACAGTATGGGTACGGTGTCTCTATACTTACAGTATGGGTACGGTGTCTATACTTACAGTATGGGTACTGTGTCTCTATACTTACAGTATGGGTACTGTGTCTCTATACTTACAGTATGGGTACTGTGTCTCTATACTTACAGTATGGGTACAGTGTCTTTATACTTACGGTATGGGTACGGTGTCTTTATATTTACAGTATGGGTACGGTGTCTTTATACTTACGGTATGGGTACGGTGTCTTTATACTTACGATATGGGTATGGGTACGGTGTTTACATCCCTTATACTTATGGTATGGGTACAGTGTTTATATCCCTTATACTTACGATATGGGTACGGTGTTTATATCCCTTATACTTACGATATGGGTACAGTTTATATCCCTTATACTAATGATATGGGTACAGTGTCTTTATACTTACGGTATGGGTACTGTGTTGGAGCTTGTTTTACGGTCAGATAGTATGATAAGTTTGTATCCCTGGGTTACGGCCTCCGCTGCCTGCTGACAAACGTTCTGTAGAGCTGGAACAAGTCCATCACCTCCTTCTTCCAGCAGAAACACAATGTCAATCACTTTACTCTGAAAAAGTCAACAAATAGAAGTAAACCATTCCTGTCAAAATGCACCAATCACAAAGCAAAATATTTAAGGTTCACTGTCCCCCTGACACGAGGGATACCTCCTCCTGGGATAAATTACTTATTAAATATTCTATTATAGAATTGTCAAGTTAAGCAATTTCTGCCAAATATTGCAATGCAAGGCATGCTGAATTTGTCTGCATTTTAGCTATAAGTTATGATTTCTTTTGGAAAAACATCATCACTTAAGCAAAAGTCCATTACAAACAGTTTTTGGTTGTTCTAACTTTGACCTACCCTCCATCCTCTGTGGTTGACTGCCTTTAACACCTGGAGGTCAGTCAGTGATAGTATGGGTTGTTCTAACCTTGACCTTTGACCTACCCTCCATCCTCTGTGATTGACCACCTTTAACACCTGGAGGTCAGTCAATGATAGTATAGGTTGTTCTAACCTTGACCTTTGACCTACCCTCCATCCTCTGTGATTGACTGCTTTTAACACCTGGGAGATCAGTCAATGATAGTATGGGTTGTTCTAACCTTGACCTATGACCTACCCTCCATCCTCTGTGATTGACCGCCTTTAACACCTGGAGGTCAGTCAGTGATTGTATGGGTTGTTCTAACCTTGACCTTTGACTTACCCTCCATTCTCTGTGGTTGACCGCCTTTAACACCTGGAGGTCAGTTAGAGACAGTATGGGTTGTTCTAACCTTGACCTACCCTCCATCCTCTGTGATTGACAGCCTTTAACACCTGGAGGTCAGTCAATGATAGTATGGGTTGTTCTAACCTTGACCTTTGACTTACCCTCCATCCTCTGTGGTTGACCGCCCTTTTTCACCTGGAGATCAGTCAGTGACAGTATTGGTAGTTCTAACCTTGACCTTTGACTTACCCTCCATCCTCTGTGATTGACCGCCTTTAACACCTGGAAGTCAGTCAATGATAGTATGGGTTGTTCTATCCTTGACCTTTGACTTACCCTCCATCCTCTGTGATTAACCGCCTTTAACACCTGGAGGTCAGTCAGTGATAGTATGGGTTGTTCCAGCCAGAGTCTCTGACACTGCTCCTCACTTGGTTCCAGAATGTTAGCCTCGGGACCCACTGGGCATGCCTGGAGAATTAACCAATCAAATGTAAGAATAAGAGCTTAAAAGTTTACCTGTAAGGTTTTTGAAAATTATATGAATAAGGAAAACTATGAGCAAATAAACATGGCTTACTAGTGACATGACAATCTTCTCTCTGAAGGGGTCAATGGGTGGATTGGTGACCTGGGCAAATAATTGTTTGAAGTAGTCGAAGATCAGAGGATTAAACTTTGACAGACAAGCCAGGGGGGCATCATTACCCATAGATCCTAAGGCTTCCTTCCTACAAACACAAGTTACTCTAAATAGAATTTCAACATACCATTTCATCTACTTTATATAAATGTGAAAGCAAAAGGGTACAATCAAGTCGACACATACAGAAAAACACACATTAAAGCATTTCTTTTTCCTTTAATATACATTGATTTACTGTACACACAGAATGATGTGATCTCCCTTCATTTATTTACCGTAAATCTGGAAATTTTTACTGTAGATAAATTTTTATCAAATTTGCGCGTGCATTGTATTCGCAAAAATATTTTCGTTAAATATAAATCAACGACAAAAAATGTAAACAAAAATTTTGCTGACAGCTACTGTCTATTTTTAACCCCATGAACAGGTGTTCGTAAGCAGTGGTCATTTTAAGAAACCTGTTTATACTACAAGCTAATTACCCGTCATAATCTGTGCATGGAGAGTGCTTTCAACACATTCAATATCGTCTGATGGTTTGACAGGCAGTGTGTACGAATCCCTAGCAGGACAGATTGTTAACGAGAAACTTACTCTCGTGTATAATGAAACCATGATGAACCATACTTGACATCGTTTTTTAACTGTTATGAAATTTTAAGCGCTTTATAATTTTAGCGCCAGTGACAATTCGCAAAATTTTGAAACGTAAAAATTAATCAACAGCTTTTTGACCCATATTCGCAAAAATAAATCGACGTAAAAATTTTCAGATTTACGGTATGCATTCTCTTTTATTTTACATGTAAATTATCTCAGGAAAAGATAAATGCACATTTGAAATCAATTTTCCTGAAGACTTTCTTTCAGTGGTTAAAGGGGGGGGGGGTTCTTTCTATAAATCTCAATGTATTTTTTTCCAAGATTGAAAACAACAGACTGTGTTAATTGATTTGTTAATAAACTGGAACCTTTAGCTGGTTCCCTTACCTCTCTTTGACCATTGGTAACACCAGCAAGTTAATGATCTCCAAGGTGTAACCAAACAGGGAGATTCGCGGGTCCTTCTGAAGCCAGCTCTCATGTGTTGTCTCTCTAAGCTCGTACGTGGGTGGGATTAATGATGCTGGATCACATGACCTTCTCATCTCTTCCAGAGACATCGTCTGTGAGGGACAAAAAGTAGAAAAAGAGGCTAACACATCAACGAATACACCAAAACAAGGCTAAGAGCTATTTCAACACACATTAAAAATCATATTATGCACATTTCCTTAGAAAAACAACTCATATCAATCCGTTTTACAATTACAATTTCCACCATTGTTTCATCGCTGGCCGAAAAAGGTGCATCTTAAATGATAATTTACTGGTTGACAATGATTGTGAAACAAGTTCTGCTGCCATTCTTAATTGTGTACATAACTTAGTTCAACTGATAGTCTATAATTATGTTATTTGGAAGGGAAAAACATTCTTGGTTTTTCAATGTTTTGTACTCTGTCTGGTCATAAAAAATCATAAGTTTGTGAACCTTGCTCTTTTTCATACAATGCCTTCTAATGTTTGGTGTACCTGTTCCTGGAGCCACTTGGACACAGGTCTGAGTGCCGCTAGGTGGTGCTTGATCACTTCATCCCTCATAAAAGTCTGGTCCTCTGTGTCCACCAGTAACATACGTCCAGGCTTCAACCGACCCTGTTAACAAAAAATAATCTAACTTTAATCAGTAACATACGTCCAGGCTTCAACCGACCCTGTAAACGAAAAATAATTCGACTTTAACCAGTAACATACGTCCAGGCTTCAATCGACCATGTAACAAAAAATAATTCGACTTTAACCAGTAACATACATCCAGGCTTCAATCGACCATGTAACAAAAAATAATTTGACTTCAACCAGTAACATACGTCCAGGCTTCAATCGACCATGTAACAAAAAATAATCCGACTTTAACCAGTAACATACATCCAGGCTTCAGTCGACCCTATTACCAAAAAAAATCTCATCTGCCTTTCATTAACCCCATTAATATACCACAATAACCATACAAATTCTGGGTCTGATGATGTGGCTTAACTAGGTCACTCTATCATCTCACCTTCTGAATGACATCTGCCGCGGGGATGTCAATCACACCGACTTCACTTGCCATGTACATCACGTTGTCCTTGGTGACGTAGAATCGTGAAGGTCGCAGGCCGTTCCTATCTAGAATGGCTCCCACATAACGACCGTCACAGAATGTTAACAGGGCTGGAAACAAAGTGAAATAATATTGTGAATGAGATGCCGACGACGTAATGACTGTCAGAAAGAATTAACAAGGCTAGAAATAAGGCATAATAAAGTGTATAGGATGTAAAATAAGTTGATAAAATATTTCAATGTATAGGATGCTGAATGTATTTTAGTCAACTCTCAAAACAAAAGGCCTGTGTGCAAATGTTTACCTGGTCCATCCCAGGGTTCCATAGCAAAGGCACTCCAGCGGTAGTATGCCTTCTTCTCAGCAGACATGTTCTTATCATTCTGCCAGGCCTCGGGGACCATAGTCATCACAGCCTACAATAAAATAGTCATCACAGCCTACATTAAAATAGTCATCACAGCCTACATTAAAATAGTCATCACAGCCTACAATAAAATAATCATCAAAGCTTACAATAAAATAGTCATCACAGCCTACAATAAAAGTCATCACAGCCTACAATAAAATAGTCATCACAGCCTACAATAAAATAGACATCACAGCCTACAATAAAATAGTCATCACAGCCTACAATAAAAAAGTTATCACAGCCTACAATAAATTATTTCTAGTCACAATTGTTGTTCTAGAGTACCCACCTACTGAAGTGGGACTTGCAATGCAGGGAACCACCCCTTATTCTGCTACTCTAGTACAACTAGTGTATTCAAACATATTTAAGATTTTCTAAACATGTGTTTAAACAAGCAAATTTCAAGAGATAGCTGGAAATAATTGTTCTTATTCATTTATTATTCACTACAACATCTCAGTCTTTTTGTATTTTTTGGTGAAGAAATACCATTTTATTACAAATGCTTCTTCCGTGATGACACTCAACAGGTATACACACACATTTTGCTGTATTGTTAACATTTTCAATCACATTTCACTAAATCACCCCCAACGTACCTCAGGAAGCTCCCTTCCTCCAGCCATACAGAGGAATTCCAGGACGTTGTCCACACACCCCGAGTCGGACATCCCCTCCTCCACTACAGGGTACAGCTTCTGTAGCTGGTCCCCATACACATGACTGTGCATCACCCCCTCACGAGCTCGCATCAGGTTCTTGTTTCCGCGGAGAGTGTTAATCTCTCCATTGTGAGCCAACATCCTGAATTTAAGAGTTTTTCATTTAAAATTTCTTTGGTATACCAGAACACATTGCGACACAGCCTCTGGAATTTTGTGTCACTCCTTAGTTTTCAAACTAAACACTCCTATCAAAGTATGCAATCAATATCAATTAACCTCTCTACAGCTTTAGATTTTCAAATTCAGCATTACTTGACCTATGACCTCTAAATTTACATAACAACAACTCTGTAGCTTTAGACAGAGTCATAATTTCAATTTTAAAACCATTTCTTGGTTAACCATCCTATGAACCCTGACCTTTTGGGGTGTGACCTTTCCCAGCTGGGGAAGGTATTGGTAGAGAAGCGACTGTGTATGAGTGAGATGTGTGTCTCGTACTCTGGGTCTGAAAGATCGGGAAAGTAACGCCATATCTGGGCTGTGTTCAGCTGTCCCTGAAATCAGAAAACAGAGTTGTCTCTCTTCCTTCGGTAAAAAATAGACAAGTGCTTAAAATTTTGCAAATCATGTTTCGTGATTGACACTGAAGTAATGAAGTTTTCAACTGACAAGGACAGGTAATGAATTTTACCATTTAATGAAGGATTACTCAAGCAGGAATTTTTTGATATACAATAGAACTATTGTTATAGGTTCTCATTAATTGTCCTGCTTCAACTATTGCAAGTCCTTTGTCAACTTTGAATATTTTTGTCTTCTAAAATATTAGCTGAGCTAAGAAAAAATTCCGTTATTCACATATTTTCTTCCTGTGATCCTATATGTGAGAGACCTACATAATTCACTCACAACATCCTTATCAGGGCATATTCATTGGAGTTTTCAAACTTATAAAAGAATTTAAGGTCATCAGTACCAATGGATCTACTACAGTATACTGCTATAAAAGTAAACTGAACATATGACTGTCAAAACTTGAAGTTATTTTTAGTTAATGCTTTTAGTTAGAGGTTCAATCATATCATTTAATATCCCTTCCGGCAATCACTCAGCTTGTTTAAGGAATAAAACTAAATGTTTAATTCAGTGGTATAGGTCATTGATCTCGCAGCAAATTATCAACCATTAAAAAGGACTGACGGTCAATGCTTCATAAACAAATCTACTTGATATCATCTTTAAGTTTTCAATTTTTCTTTTATCAATAAAGTTTGTAATTTTAGGACATCATATCAAAAGAACCAGGGTCTACTCTAACTTGTCACTTTAACTGAGATAATTTATCAAATGAAGTCAATGAGAGATTTCCTTTATCAAAAGATCCTGGATCAATTTTATGTGTACTTTTATCAGTAACAACATTAAATATAGGCGCAGATATTACACACTTGTATTTACATTTGTTACAGTGTTATATGATTTCTCTTTTTGTTGTTTAATGTGATCTCCACAATCTCTGGGCACTGTCTGTTACTTAATGCAGATTACATAATTCCCTATTTACCTATTTCCTGATTTTTTTTTTCAGTGAACATAAATTTTCGTTCACCTCTGTCACTCACCTCTGAAAATACTTACTAGCAAAAACTCACGTATACCATGTGTGATAAATTACTATGAAAGAAAACCCTACTCTTAAACAGCACACAGCAACAAGGAATAAATTCTATAGTTTAACACAGATTAAATTTTTCCTTTGATCAAGACCCATGTTTAACTTGTTTGCAATGTGTATTCATTGACTGGATGTACTTTATGTAACCCCCTTAAATGCATGAGTCATCACTAGACATTGTACACAGTTGACTGGCGGCTAGTGATGGAAAATTCTGAATATATGAAGTCAATAAATTTAAACCATTGCAGAATTTTCCCATTATACGCTCACTGCATTTCATATATGTGTATAGCATCAAGTTGATTTACATTCCAAATATTTATTTCTTTTTTTTTTACAACATACCTTTTAAATTTTCAAAGTGTACTAGTTTTGTTGATGACCATTTTAATATCTTAAAGTGCTACTTAAACTAAGGAAAACTTTGCATCTATTTCTAAAGATAAAATACTTGGCACACAAGTGAGTTTTTGCTTCTTAGCCCATGTGGTTATGGGGATCCTGGAAATTACAGGCTTTTAATAATAATTTGAAAATGAAAATATTTCCTTTGTGAGAAAAGGAAATGTTTTAAAGGAAATGTTTCAACTGAAGTCAGGAAATTCTATAATCTATTCAACCATTTGTTCATTTTTCTGTTTACTGTACCTTACTGAAAATTTCTTTTTTTCTAATACTTTTAAATTAATATATATTTTTTGAAATGTTAAACAGTGGTCTCTATGGAGGGAACAATTAAACTGTGAAATTTCATATTGATACATATAAGATTTAATCCCTCAGTTTGTGGTTGGATATGATTTTTATCTAAACAATTGTGTATGTTCTATTCCAGGCTCAGGGATAGAAAACACGCAACACGTTGGAAATAAATCACATCCAACTACAAACCATGGGAGATAGTTTTATCATGACTAACAAATAACTATCACATTTTACACTTTATATGAATCCATTTGACTTCATCACTTTCATGCAAAAACCATTGTGATGTCACAAGTGTTGATATGAAAACAATGTCATATGACCGATATCCACTGTATAAAGAAGTCAACATGTGATAAAAACTTCTATTATTTTTACTGTGTAATTCAATAAATCTGATTGGTTTGCTTGCTATCACGTGCAGAATTATATTTTACGATATTGACTTGAGTTACTAAAAATAACTTAGGGAAAATCCAAAGAAGTTTTTTTTTTTTTAATTGTGAAAAGTCCTTAAAACTACCAAATTCCTACATAATGAATTTGTTTCTCTCTTTTTTTCCCAAAGAAAATAATATAACATATATAGCACTTTGGTTCCGTCAATCCATAGATATATCGACTTTACAGAAAAGCATACTGACTTCGCATTTCATGCTCAGTTGACATGCTTTTCTGTGAAGTCGATATATCTATGGATTGACCTCATAAAAGGGCTATATTTATAATATATACAGTGACCTCTGATGAACAGATACAGAAGACATAGTGAAGATTAATATTCATACAAAACACATATGTGAATAATTAATATACAGACCTTGTATACAATGGTCTCTGTAGACAAAGTGCAGATATAAAAGCGAAGATTCTGCTTAGGAATATGGTGAGAACTGAACTTCCTCAATAGGTAAACCTAAAAATCAGAAAATAGAAACACTCCATTTATTCTTATTGTGATATGTTAATGTAATAATTCTATAACTGGGATATGTAAATGTAATAATTCTATTACTGGGATATGCTAATGTAATAATTCTGTTATTATGATATGTTAATGTAATAATTCTGTTAATGGGATATATGTAAATGTGATAATACAGTTATTGGGATATGTTAATGTAATAATTTTGTTATTGGTATGTAAATTAATGTAATAATACTGTTACTGGGATATGTTAATGTAAAAATTCTGTTATTGGGATATATGTAAATGTAATAATTCTGTTATTGGGATATGTTAATGTAATAATTTTGTTTTTGGGATAAATGTTAATGTAATAATTCTGTTAGTGGGATATGTTAATGTAAAAATTCTGTTATTGGGATATATGTAAATGTAATAATTCTGTTATTGGGATATGTTAATGTAATGTAATAGATCTGTTACTAGGATATGTTAATGTAATAATTCTGTTATTGGGATATATTAATGTTATAGTTCTGTTAATGGGATATGTTAATGTAATCATTCTGTTATTGGGATATGTTAATGTAATCATTCTATTATTGGGATATGTTACTGTAATAATTTTGTTATTGGGATACTAGGTATTGTAATGTTTCTTACTTTACTAGTTAATATAATTACTCTCTCTGGGTTCTTTTTTTATACCAAATTGGAATGGTACAACATCCATTCAAAAATAGTGTAGACATAGAACCTATTTTAATTCATATATTTAACTTTCCTACAGGGCCAGTTGTCTTTATACATACATAAAGCCTACAAGTATTTGTGAACAGGAAACTCTCTCTCCCTTTGCATAACAAAGTTATGTTGCATTTCTTCAATAAATATTTTCTTAAAGAATATTTACAACATATATCATGTGACAAATCTAAAAAAAACAGATGGAAAGGGAGGCTACTCTGTTTGTTTGCATTGTCACAAAGTTCTTGTGATAAGGTTACACTTGTTAACTGCTCAAGAGAATCAAACAATATCTGATCAGACATCTCTTACCTCACGCTGGAATTGTGCTTTGTCACCATTTCCTGTCACAAAGACCTATAAATAGAAATAGCCTCATTATCAATCCATTCTCAGAGACCCTGAACAAGACGATAATGGAGCAATACAGAAGTGTTACATAAAATTATACATCATGCACCAAAAACAAACTGTCATTTTCCAACTCTTGTACGTTAACATTTGTTACATAAAATCACAAAAAATAAATTACATTATAAAAATTCAGAAACCATTTTTCCGATTAATTATAGACTCTGTTATACACAAAAATCTGTCACTGCATAGTACTAACAGCACGTACATCTCTATTTTATATGTTTAGTTACTTTGAAAGACATCACATAAATTCACTTTTATATTAAAATAACTGTGCATCATGAAATTAAAGATTCAGCTTTGGATATATACCACAATACAACACGGACTGAACGTCTTAGTTAACATGGACTGTACAAAGGTCTTACGGAAGTCTTGTCACTTATTCTTCACAAAATAATTTACCTTTTAGAATATATATTCCCTTTCTTGCTTGAATTTAGGGGAAAAAAGTTTCTATAAGGATTTTTTTCTAAAACTCTTTTATCCATTAACCCTCCCCTCCCCTTTTCTAATCCAACCTTTTGAAAATCTTAAACTAGCCAGCTATCAAGAAATTCATTTCCATAATCCTTTCTCTTGTCTTAATTAATTTTCCTGTTGGGAAAATCTAGTTATTCCTTAAAATATTTCATGCGGCATTCATTTGCATACAAATTACTTCTGAATTTAAAAGGACCTTTATGAAAGAACTCTAGATCTTATATTTATTTATAATTTCCTGATGTTCTTTTTTAATTTATATAAGAACATTTTAAAATAATATCATGACGTACGTCATTCCCTGTTCAGTCAGTGTTGCATTGTGGTATTGACTCTTAAGAACAATAAGAACAGATGCTTCACCAACCAACCTAGCTGGCGACCGATCGAATTGAAGCCGGTCTATGGCTCAATTCTCGGGCCCGCTAACAACCTGTCCGACTTCATCAAGGGGGGACAACCCTGGAAAAACAGGATATGTGAACCAGCCAATTGTGAGAGCTGGCCCCAGACACTGACATATTATGGCCTTGTTACTTAAGAATTACCTGGGCAGAAAACCATTTTGAATGAGGCATTATGGGAACAATATTTCTTTTGCCTAGAATATAAACATTGGTTAAAGCATGTCATGAGTTTTGCCGCAGTAACAACTAAACGGCACATTTTTCTAATCAATTGTGGGATAATTATACAAAGTAATTAAAAAGCAAAACAATGCGTAACATTTTCATGTGATAAACTAAATAATGTGGATTTCACAGCTGTGTATAAGACTATCACTTTGTACAATATAAAATCAATGTTTCAAACTACAGGGTCTTATTTCCTGTGATCAAGTTCATGCTAGCTGTGTTTTGTAAAGGAATTTCTGACTAAATGAAGCAGCATAATGTTATTTCAGCATATTCCTGTACACAGACATATACTAATTGCCTCATTAATTACATATATTTATATAATGACTTTTTTTTTAACTGAGACACCAGCTAATCTCTGCAGCCACTACAATAGTGAAGTGGGACACACTACTGTCACAGAAATAGTACACCTCTCCTCTGTTTAATTACTCAATGAATGCATTCTTCCCTCGATCTACAGTTTTGTAAGAGTGTATACAAATTTATATATATAATGTGGTTTTGTTCCACTACATTTGCTACTGAATTCTATGAGTAAAGAAATATGAAATCTCTCTTTTTTCCATGAAAGAGGCATGTCGACCTACAGATTCAAAGTGATATGGAATAAAAAACTTGACTTAGATAAAAACTTAACTTGGCTTGATTACTTGATTTTTCTTCAGTTACTTGACTTATATTATGGGGTCTGCTTAGATTTATAACAAAACTTGAATAGAACTTGAATATTAAGTTTTTTTTATCTTAGTTAACTACACTGCCAAGTTTGACTAAATTATGAAAACAACAAAGTTTGTGACAAAGTTTCAGGTAATATCCTGTACCTGTGACACAACATTATAAATAATATACATCCTTAGATCTTTGTGTCTTTTTTTTTAAAGTAGATGGGTCAGTACAGAGATCTGTTTTATGAATTAACTGTAGCAGCACATTACATGAGAGAAGCTGGAGCTCTTAAGAACAGACATAACCTAAACACTGACCAATCAAAATTAATTTCCACTCAATGACGACATCTTGTTGTGTACAGGTCTATGCCTCTATTTAACTTGCTGAACTGATTTCAATGCCTAACAAAATGGGAATAAAGATGTTTTTGTTGATTTTTAATGCAATCAAATATAAAACTGATAGGTGTTTCCCCTCCCCCTGAAACCAATAGATTTACCTGTATTATGGCCGGTTCTGTTGTCATGGCAACCCGTCCAATCTGTGTGCTGTCTACTGGCACATTCCTCCAGGCAAACACCTGCAGTAAACATGTACCTGATGATCAATTCTAAGTCATGGCATCATTTATTGAAGTTGGCAGTCTTTAAATGCTAATCAATGTCACCTTATCATTAGTACATCTCCTTCCTTGACTTGATACATGTAGTAACATTTGCCAAAGCATAAAAAATATTTATCTTCCTTTACCTGTTTGACCCTTGACCCTTACTGAAATTATTATTACTGAATGCAATGCCTCAGATTGTGTTAGTATGTGTCTCTAACTGGTATATCTGACCTTTGACACATTTTGACCTTTTTGTTTAGTGATCTACCTTAACCAGAATGTAACATCTTCTACAATATGTGTCTCTGTTCAATTGGTATGTATCTGACCTTTGACCCACTTTGATCTTGGTAAGTATCTAGTGATCTACCATCACCCGTAGAAGGATATTGTAATGACCTACCTTGAGCTGGAAGTCCTCTGCTATCTGTGTAAACATGACCTTGACCTCCTCTATCTGATTTTTGTCCACAAATAACATTCCTGTGGCATACTTCCCAGGCTCTGGAAGGTCAAGTCCCTGTTCCTCCCTACAAAAAAATAGATGATATATACATGTTTCTAGATAGGTCCATAATATGCCAATAAAAGCCTGATACATGTACTTCCTACATTTTCTGACAATTATGATTATTTTTCAGCTTTAAATGCAAATGAACTAAACCAGGTTTATTGAAAGTTCTGTGTGTAATTTTTCGTACTTCATGATCCTTGCGTAGAGTTTGTGGGGGATCCCAGTCAGAACCCCTGCTCCGTCCCCGGAGTCGTTGTCACACCCACAGGCCCCGCGGTGTTCCATACGCTCCAGCATCATCTGAGAATCACGCAGAACCTGTAAACAATACATCCTTATAATAGTATCACCCAAGGCAGGGTTAGAAACTCCCTAAAATTACAACTCGCAAATGATTGCGAGTACCAAGAAAATGAACTCGCAATTTTACAAGACTACTCGCAATTTTCATATAAAGTTGAATTTATATAAATTAAATACATGTAACTTAAGGAAAAAGTAACTACTGTACAATACACAAAATACAACTACAGTGTGGCTTTTATTTAAATTGCTGATTTAAATCAAAAGCATTGTGTTCTGTCATATTATATAATTTTGCTACAGTTTCAATGCAAAAGAAATCAACTCGCAAGTTTTTGCGAGTTACCTAATTTTTAACTCGCAATTTGGGAATTTTAACTCGCGTTTTGCGAGTTGTATATCGTGAATTTCGAACCCTGCCAAGGGCCTTGGTTTGAAAAAAAAATCAATTTATTTCAAACTATACATGAATATACTGCACATTTGATTTTAGAAACTTTATTGCTGTATTGTTGTTGAGCAGAAGGTTGTTTTAAATTAGGACTTTTCCTTTAATTCTGGAAGTTAAATTTCAATTCTTCATTGTTGCCCCACCCTAGCCTAGAACGGGAACCTTCATTTCTAGATTAGAATTCCCTTTTAAATAATCATCAAGGATTCTTTGTGGCAAGTTTGGTTGACACTGGTCTGGTCATGAGTACTGAAGAAAATGAAATTTTCAAAAGACCCTTGATGGACAACTTTGGAAGAGAAACAATAGCAACAAGCCACCTTAGCAATTGTTACAAGTCACTCTCTACTATCTTTACAGAAAACTATCTTTTTAAAGGAACAGATTCCATCATTTGTGGCCTAGCTAATACTGGTTTTTCCCTTTTACAAGCAATGTACCTTATTTTCCCTAATACAATGTATTATGATGCTTTGTCTATAAAATTCTGCAGAAGTCAGACATCTTGTCTCGCAATGTTGTAATTCTTACTCTAAATTAACAAACAATACCACATACAAATTAAATCACCCTTTTCTTTATTTGTGCTTCATAACAGGAATAAGGGCTTTCTGATTTGTTCCATTACCAGATACACATTTACACCCCTCCCTCTCCAAAACCAAAATCAATTCTCTATGTCTCTAGGGATTTCATTTTTTCCTTTAGTGTTTTAGTCTGCCAAACAATGTCAAAATCAATTTCTCTACATTATTCCAATTTTCCCCTGGAAAGTTTCTTTTATTTAGTCTATACATACAATTTTAGCATCAGAGAATGGAGAAAAATCTATAGCGATGGACTTCTAGTACCAATTTATACACTCTACACATAATCTTGCACCCAATCAGCCAGGGATTAGATGTCTGCGAATTAATTTTTGATTCTGTGACGCTGGCAGATGAATTAATTGAGATCGATGTTTTATTGATTGATCCTATATTTATTTTCTCCCAAGTCAACATCTTTTACTATACTTTTAACTCTTATTATGGAGAATTTACAATTATGAATGAACGTACCTTATGTGACTTAGACCCATCAATATTGACCACAAACCCCACGCCACAGGCATCTCGTTCCAGGGTGGGGTCATACAGGCCCTGGGGGTGAGGCAGTCCAGGAGTTAGGCCCTCTAATGCTGGCATTGTGCTGACTAAATGTCACACCTGCACACCGAGAATGAGTCTGTAAAACTGATTTCTTGTTCCTCAACAGCTGTGCAGCGTAAACTAAAAGTAGGAAAAAGTTAATCATAAAAAAAAATAATTTTTTCATAATGACTGAAAATCATCATGTTTTATTAAACCATCATATTCCCCCTCTTTGTAGAAATTCGTCCTCGAATTCTAGGAGTTGAGGAAATGCTGTAAGGCTTGTTCCAAGGGTATTTGTACGCTGGGCGCCAAATGTCAAAGGTGGAGAAAAATCAAGTCTCAACCTGGACTCGAACCCAGGGCCTCTGGCGTTCCGTGCCAGCACTCTAACCACTGAGCTACTGAGACCCGATATATTGACTGACTTTCACGCACCTGTGAACCCGGTGACAATTACATAACATTCCATAGACGTAAAATTTATATACGAATATCGAACCCAGCAGCTGTGTTTGTGTTTTATTTCTTCAACAATATATTTTACCACTTATAAAACACTGTAACATATGTATATTTTTTAGTACTTAGTCATGTTAGAAATAACAATACTCCATCATTTTTTCAGAATGATAGATTTAATTCTTACCCCTGACTGATTATTGAGATTCCATAACAAGTCACAGAACTCTAATCATTTAAACCTTTGTTTATTTTTTAGATTTATTCACTTTTTCTATATCATTTAATAAAAAAAAAAAAAAAATCATTTCTAAAACAACTTTAAATGCAAAATATTCTGGATTGTTCTTATTAATGAGAAGACTTCAGTACATAAAACTTCTTTGATGTTTCAGGAAGTTATAATCACATTATGAATAACTAGGTTAGTATGCACATAACACAAATACTAAAGGACGACTTTAATCCCATGATAAAACAGACTGCGACCCCATTAATGTAGGTCATGATTACACATGTACCTTTAACCTGCTAAAGAACCGTTTGATGATCGCTGATTGTACAATTGATACAGAAAAAAAACATCGACCAAGTTCGTTTAGATTTTGCTGATTCTGATTTTAGTGTCACAGTGTCAATCGTGTCTAGCCCTATACTACACTACGGCTAAAAACAGTCCTAGTGTCACAGTTTGTAACATACAGGTCAACTTGCTGAAAGACTGATAAACTTCAGGTTAACAGTTCATTGTTAACTTTATAAAAACTAAAAACTCTAAGATGTGTCTGTAGCAGGGCCTTCAATAATTTTGATATAAAGAAGTGAATTTACTGTTTGATGAGGCTGTTCTAGAATTATTTCCAATTATAGTTTGTTTTGTCAATTATAAAATTTAAACCTTGAATTCTAGCTGATAATTAGAATGGGAGTTATGGGACTAAATTAATAGCCTCCTGACACAACCTACTGAAGGCCCTGCTCTTCTCTACATAGGAATTCATGTCAGAATTTAACATAATGCACATGTTGCTCACTCCAGACAGTTTTGTTTTATCATCTCATCACATATACAGAAATATTGTCTTGTATTATTCAGTCATTACGTAACAACTACAGTTTTAGATAATTCTCTCAGAGGTTAGAATTTTACTTGTGGATGCAAGCAACATTAGCTGCATTAATGTAGCCCTCTGCGATATTTTTAATCGGATGTACTCCAAAAAAATGGAGAGTGCTACATTATTGCAGCTAGCAACAAAGTAGTTCCCAAAATATTTCTCCACAACACATGGATTTATGTGCTTATTGACATAAACCTGAGTCAGATCTCGAGTTTGTTTACAGTCTGAGGACAGGGAGGTTCAGTAGCCTGGAGGTATTATATTTTTTGATTTGCGTCCAATTGCTAATGCTTAGAGGGTGATAAACTCTGCAGATCAATAAACAATCTGTTTATAAAGACACCAAATGATGCAAGCACATTGTGACAGCTTATTATTATCCCCTCACAATGGAGTTGGAGAGGATATAGTAACGCATTTGTGTGTGTGTGTGTGTTAGTTTGTGTGTGTGTTAGTTTGTCCTTGTCCAAAACAGAAGTGATGTAATTTGCATTGGGATCATTGTCTAATACTGCCATGATTTATAGATATGCTCTTTGCTAGGGGATGCTCCACGTTGCAGTGACCTTGTTTAATTTTTTACTTTTCAAGTTTTCAAAGATTAAGTACATTACATATTTGTGGCTTAACATGTAAAAAAAACAAAGTGGAATAAGATTTTTAAAAGAGCTCACTTTATTTTCATGATTTCTTCAAAGAAATTTAGGCTGGACTGAAGATATTGGTCTGGGTAGCTCAGTGGTTAGAGCACCTGAATAATGATACATGGGTCCCAAGTTCCAGGCCCAGCCATGTATTCATTAATTCATTACTTATGTATTTTTAATGCCCTCTTTTCCAAACTACACTAATTTACTCCCCTTTTTGAAACAGGATTAGCTTAGCCTCTTCATTAATGAACTCAACTGAATCTCAATCACTCGAGTGACTCGTGTCAAATTAAATTTTGGTTCTTCTGCGCTTGTCGAAAACGTGAAAGTTTACAGAAAACACATATTCCACAAGTCGAATAAGAATAAGACACTTTTTGGGTCTCTGGCTCAGGTGAGCTACACTTTCTTATTTTTATAATTGTAATAGCTGTATGTGTTTATATTTTATCTATGTCACCGGGTTCACAGGTGCGTGAGAGTCAGTCAATATATCAATATAAATGCACTGCTCATTATATTTAAGATCATGTTTGTTCTATCATTTGGATCTTCCTCCTTCTTTGTTTCATGTTTGTAAATCTTTTTTGCTCCTCCGGGGGCCCAAATTGGACTAATAAATCTTGTATCTTGTATCTTGTATCTTGTATCGGGTCTCAGTAGCTCAGTGGTTAGAGCGCTGGCACGGTACGCCAGAGGCCCTGGGTTCGAGTCCCAGTTGAGACTTGATTTTTCACCACCTGTGACATCTATATACTGTATTATAATGAAAATGTTATTTGTATAGCTGTCTTTCCGGTGCAAGCAAGCATGTACTCTGTTCTAGCCTTGACACATGTTTGACCCTTTTAATAGTGGCCGGGTTCCTACAGGTACAAAGTAATGTGTCTACACTGAATAATGAGAAAAATGACAACAAAGAATGATCATATTTCTATATAAAAGGGTATACACACATTTACATGTAAAGTCTAGTCCAAGATTAGAGGTTATGAACTCCCATATGGCAGACAAACAAATCTACTGAATATCTGCACTTGACATCAAACATAAACATGATAAAGACACAAAGTATCTGCCATTGTGCATATCTTGTAAGCTGGCAACATGTCAAAATGTTAAACAGCAGAAAATAATTTCCCTCAGTAAAACGCTGGCCCTTCTCCCTATACTTATTCTCTTTCACATTTTTTTTTTCAAACCCTGCAGTGAAAAGTGAGGACATATGCCCCCCCCCCCCCAGGTTGGCTGGGATGGTCAGTTTAACATTCCCTCCTTGAAATGAAGTCTGTCTTAGACTGAGTTCAGATGCCCCTAAGGCAGATGTACACACGCCAGCAGCAGGTATTGTCCATGTGGTCAACAGATGTTATAGTCAGTGTACACATAGTCATACACAAAATTCCAATAATTCGGACATCCTTTCTAAATATTGACCCATTATTTTTGTCTGTAAAAGCATTATGTGGGGAATGGTTAAGATAACATCTTTTTTTTTTTTGGCAGTTTATCCCCTGGGGGGTAACTCTTTTTCGAGTGTGACAGATTCTAAATCTGCCCCTACATGACAGTAGTATATATAATATCTTTTTATTAAATATATTTTTTCGTTAATAAAAAGCATGTCTTCCTTATTTTTGTTTGACTTTTATACTTTTGGGCAACTTATACTATTTCCTACCTTCTATTAATTTCCTTTAAATGCAAATAAAACTTAACATTGCTAGATGCTGTTGGATTGCAAATTGACCTTGAACGATAACTGACTTGTTTTTAGTTGTAATATGTCAAATCTTCATTTTTTTCAAAAGCACATCAGCTTGAATATTTTGCTGACACTGTCTACGGTTTATTTCATATCATAAATATTCACATTTCACAATGTCATCCAATGTTTCGACACGAAACATGGCTACATGGAGGAGGGGGTTCACCGTTACGTGCAGACTTGGTTCTTCATTAAATCTGATGCTGGCTGCTCTGTAGCTAAAATGACAAACCCCCTTTCACTGCAAATAAATATAGTTGTCTTACCTAAATGTGAATCTGACAGGCTCTTTTCCTCCTTAAATGTTTTAATGTTGCATAAGAATTTGATTCGTACGTAATCTACTGTTCAACGGACCCAAAACACATGTGTGTCTGTTTTCATCTACTCGACATGTGCCAAACTCGTGCAAGCTAAATTCTGATTGGTTAATATTCATGAGACGGAATGAAACAAAATTACCCGGAATAATAATGACTTTCGCATGGAAAAATAAAATATTACCGCGGGCAATCTTCAAGAAATTTGTGTTTGCCCTCTCCCGTCCGACTGCCTAAAAATGTTCTGATTTTTTTTTTCTTTTTTTTTTTTAATAAACTTCTATGAAAAGATTTTTTTGGCATTCATAAGCGTTGATGTTGAAATTTCTGAACTTTTTTATTTTCCAATCTCCCTACCTTTTCTTTCATCTTGAGTCGGAAGAGTCCAATCAAACTTTTTAACTTTTTAAAAATAATTTAACCTCTTTTGTTAATAGATTGTCTGTCTGGTTTTTCCCCGATGGGACCGCTTAATATGGTAGTCCGATCCTCAGGTTCTGAAAATCAGCAGTTATAGTCTCTTCACAAAGTTATATGTATTTAACCATAGTTAGTGTATTTCTTCAAAGTTCATCATTATAGTTAGTTAATCAAATTATATAGCGAAAATTGTCAAATCTTATTTTAAATCATATTTTCAGGAAACGCGAATAAAAGCACCACTAGTCATGCATTTTCTAATTTAAAATTGATCAACAAATATATTTTAGGATAATTAAACTATAGGTATCCAGGCATTTGGATAATGTTTTCATACTTGTACGGTATTTTCGTTCTATTTACTTCAATTGTTATATGATAATATAATGTAAAAAGCTTGTGCTTTCATTGCAAGATCGCTTTTAATTTCATATCATTCTAATCAGCATTGGTTTCTTATTCAAGATTACAGGAAATTCAATCTCTAAAAATGTATTTTATTTTGGGGGTACGAATGTCAATTTTGTACAAGACTGTTTCTAAGACTTCAAAGAATCTTGAATATCTTATTGAGATTGATGAAAGGAAAATTGTTGCATGAAAAGATTTCAATTTCAAGCTTCATTTAGAGACCCTTTAAATATAATGATAATTTAAGAGTTATCGTTCATGGCTGAGGATCGGATATCCTTATATTACAAAATTTGGAAACACTTAATTGGCCGAAAAGTTTTTAACAACTTTCTTCTTATAAAGATAATGTTATACTTTTATTAAAATGTATGAATATTGAACAGCTGTTGGAAAAAAAAATTAAACACTCTATTATCCATTCAGTAGAATTGTCCTTCCTGATATACTTTATTTTGACAAATAAAATATACAACATGACTATCCTTGTATCATTCTAATCGGAGACCTGAATAAAGTAGTATCATTTACTTAGCGCTTCCCTGTGTCTAATTTCAGAGTAATCGTCCCAAACCTATTTGGACCGGACATTACGTCATTAAAGGGTCCTCTCCACTGCCAGCGAGTCAGTTCCCCAAACTCAGATCGTAGCCAAAAAGGCGACATGATAACTGGTGGAGAATCCGAGTAGATCCAAAACCCGGATTTTATGAACTACAACCTCAGGAGCAAAAGCGTCAAGATGCCAACACCATCGAATGGAGGACGAGAATCACCAGTGGAGAATGAGTCCTCACAACTCGAGATAATGAGAAAGACCTTAGAGGAACGAGAAAGAGAAATAGCAGCTCTGCATGAAAAGAATGAGGAGCATCAACTGAGAGAGATGGAGTCGCGCCGACGAGAGATGCGACAGCTACAAGCAAGGGAGGAGGAGATTGAGCACCTCCAAGAGCAGCTACGACAGGGTAGCTCCAGACACCATCATACAGCACCATCCCCCACAGTCACCCCCAAAGTCAAATTAGAGAAATATGATGGAAAGACGTCCATCATTCAATGGTGGCTAAAATTCATAACCTTCATTAATTTACAAAGATTGACAGAGAAGATGGCCATTGAAACATTACCATTCTATTTGGCCGGAGCCGCCGAGTCATGGTTTTTCTCTATAGACGATACAGTGAAGCAGTCCCTTACAGCCATCAAAGAGGCAATCCACCAACGGTTTCAACCATCATCCAGAAACAACCTCCAGCTGATGGATGTGAAACAAAAGCAGACAGAATCGGTGGAGGACTTCATTCATCGCGTAACACAGATGACCACAGATAGACGGGTGGACCAGGACTGGCTCATCACTGTCATCATGAATGGCTTAAAACCAGACATTGGAGCGGACGTTATAAAGGTGGACCCCAAATCCCTGGAGGAGCTGAGGAATGTGGCAGCCCGAGCAGAAGTTGCCGAGCGACGCCGGACCAACTCTCCTGCCCTGCAGGAGAACACTAACCTTGCTCTTTTAAATGCTTTACAGGAAATTAGAGACGACATGAGAGCTAATCAGAGGAAGTTTCCCCAGCAGCAGCCTCGACGTCCTGGAAAGTCAAAGCAGCAGCAAGGGTACCGACCACCACCTCCTCAGGCTTACCAGCAGTCACCTCCATGGCCCCAGCAACCACCAACTCAATGGCAACAACCACCACCACCTGGCCCACACCCTGGATACAACAGACCACCACAGCCTTACAACAACAAGGGTAAGTTTTGTGATTCTGTTCCTAATGATGTTTCTTTGATTAGGTGTTTTTATTGTCGAGAATTAGGTCATTTGAAAAAACATTGCCCACACAGACAGTCGCATTACAATTCACAATACACACACTCTTCCCAGCCATCTTACTCTCCGAACGCATACAGGTCACAACATTAGGGGTGCGCGCCTGTCTTTGGAAGCCATTCTGAAGATAGGCAACACACAGATTCTGTCCCACAGGTAAATTTAGTTGCTCACATGACTAAAAACACAATCCCTATCTGGGTGGGTGGTCGTAACACAAGTGCTTTAATTGACTCTGGTGCATCTGTTACCATAATTAACAAAGAATTTTTAGCAAAAACCAGGTATGCCAAACAGCAGTTGCTTCCTCCCACATTTCAGTCTGTCAAAGGTGCTAGTGGAAAATTACTTCCAGTTTTAGGTCAGATAATGTTGGAAATTTCCATTAATGGCCAAGACTACAAATTCAAAACTCATGTGGTAGATGGCATTCATCATGCATTTATCTTAGGTGTAGACTTTTTGTGTGCTCATGACACAGTGCTAAGATTTTCAACTTCAAATACATTACATATCCCAGATCAGTATGGTGAGAACAATGTTTGTGTGATAACCACTGAAAATGGTTATGCTAGGGCAAGGTACCCTGTTACAATACCCCAGAGGTCTGAAATGAATATCTTAGTGCATATCTCTCGCCATCAGAATGGTGACGTTGTTTTGTTAGAACCTCATAAAGATTTAGAAAATCTTAATCTTTCAGCAGCTAGGTGTTGTGTACAGGTAGACTGTAGTCGTGCTTTCCTTAGGGTGATTAACCCCACTTTTGAAGATGTCGAATTACCTATGAATTTTGTTGTAGCTAATGTGATTGACATAGATCATGAAAACATTTTGTCTTTAGAGAGTGAAACTAGACATGTTAGTGCTTTGAATCCAGACAAATCAGAAACCAAAATGAAATGTCAAAATGAAATTCAGTTTGATTTAGAAAATTCAGATTTAGACCCAAATCAAAAAGAAATTTTACAAAAATTTTTATTAAAATACAGAGAAAACTTTGCTCTTGATCTGAGTGAATTGGGACGGACAAGTGCTCACAAACACAAAATTGAGATTAAACCAAATTCAAAACCTGTTCGGCTTCAATTCTACAGAACTTCCCCACAAGCTTCTAAAGAAATTGAAAATCAAGTGTCTGAAATGTTAAAACATGACATAATTCAACCTTCAAATTCAGAATGGCATTCGCCAGTTGTTTTAGTAAAGAAAAAGAATGGTCAGTTTCGGTTTGCTTGTGATTATCGAGCTCTTAACAAAATTACAGTGCCAATGTCCTTCCCACTTCCTCATTTAGAGACAGTTTTTGATGCTATAGGGGAAGCCAAAGCCAATTATTTCACAAATTTAGATCTAATGTCTGGATTCTGGCAAATGGAGCTTGATGAGGATAGTAGACAGAAGGCAGCTTTCATAACTCAAGGTGGAGTTTATGAATGGAAACGTATGCCTTTTGGACTTACTAACTCACCAATCTCATTTCAAACTTTGATGTCCAATGTGTTACGGGGTCTAAATTGGAAGTCAGTGCTCGTGTATGTCGATGACATTTTAATCTTTTCACGCTCTTTTGATGAGCATCTTACTCATTTAGCGCAAGTTTTTAATCGCTTGAAAGAAGCAAATCTAAAATTGCAACCTGCAAAATGTCACTTCGCAGTCAAGGAAGTTAAGTTTTTAGGGCACATTATCTCTCGCCAAGGCGTACGTGTAGATTCAGATAAAACTGCAGCTGTCAGTGAGTTCCCCACACCTAAAACTCAAAAACAGGTACGTAGCTTTCTTGGCATGGCCAACTACTATCGGAGGTTTGTACAAGATTTTGCCAAAATTGCAACACCTCTAAATTCTCTCTTAAGTAAGGACCAGAAATTTGAATGGTCTGAACAGTGTCAGATAGCTTTTGATACTTTAAAACAAAAACTTATTTCAGCCCCCATTTTGGCCTATCCTGACACTTCAAAATCATTCATTTTAACATGTGACGCCTCTGATAGTGCTGTTGGCTATGTATTAGGTCAGATAGATGATAACAAGAGAGAGTATGTGATCTCATATGGAGGTAAGTCTCTGTCAGCAGATCAGAGAAAATTCAATACTACTGAGAAAGAGTGCCTTGCAGTTCTAGAAGGTATTGCTGCTTTCCGCCCATACTTGGTGCATAGCCGGTTCACTGTGGTTACTGACCACAAAGCTTTAGTTTGGCTACAAACAGCCAAACACACAGGTCGTTTAGAGCGCTGGGCTCTAAAACTGCAGGAGTACAACTTCCAGATAATACATAGACCAGGTAAGAGCAATTGGGTAGCTGATGCCCTCAGTAGGAGAGATTACCCTGGTAAGGTAAGTACTTCTGAAATAAATTCTGTAGACATACAAACTGATGACCACATTCAAACTCCAGGCAGTGCTCCTGCACCACCCTTGCAGAAAGAGTACGAATCAGTAAGTGTCCAGACAATTACCTCTAATCTGGAAGCTACAACAGACAGTCAACAGGTGAGTATGGAGGTGTGTACACCTGGTCAGTGTACTTCCACGGTTACCTCAATAGGTATGCAAACCAGCCAGCTGGATGAACTGGACTCTAACCTAACATCCAATGCATCAGTTCCCTTACAGAATGGGAAATCGACACCAGTGGTTATGAACATGGTAAGTACTCAGACAACTCCAAATATAGTATCTGTCTCTGAAGAGACTGACGAATCTTTAGATGAGGAGGCCAGCATAGAAGACAATTGCTGCATACAGGTATCATTTTCATATAATAGCGAAATTCCGGTGGTGGCTCCTGTTCAAGTTACATCCGATGATGAAGAAGAAATTCAGGTTAGTTCCCAAAATCTGGGTGAATTACAAGCAAATTGTCCAGATTTTAAGTCAATTTACCAATACCTTCAAGATGGGACACTTCCTGTAGAAACAAATGCTAGGGACATGATCATTGCAGAAACAAAGCATTTTAGTTTAGTAGATGGTATCCTGTACCACTGGTTTCAAAAAAGATGCAAAAAGCCAAAAGGTGAGTTTAATTTCATTAAACAATTGGCACTGCCACAAGTTCTACGCAAGGATGCCCTGCTGTCATACCATGACAGTCTCGCAGGAGGAGGTCACCTTGGCATAGAAAAGGTGAAAACAGCTCTATACCGTAAGTATTATTGGCCTCGAATGCATAGTGACATTGTCGAGTATGTAAAGTCTTGTGACCGATGTCAACGAGCAAAACGTGATTATAACCCCGCAAAACCACCAATGCAAACACTTCCACCTGCGAAAAAGTTTGAACGATGGCACATAGACATCTTAGGTCCGTTATACAAAACAAAAGAGGGAAATGAATACATTTTATTGTGTGTAGATGCATATTCCCGTTGGGTAGAAGGGTTTCCGTTGAGAACTCAAAGTGCTGAGGAAACTGCAAGAATGCTTTTCAAAGAAATTTTCTCTAGATATGGAGCCCCCAAAGTTTTATTTTCGGACAGAGGTCGAAATTTTATGTCAAAATTAGTAAATGCACTTTGTGAAATTTTTGACATCACTCAACATCACACTTCGGCTTATCACCCCAAAACAAATGGTTTAGTTGAAAGGCAAAATAGCACACTTGCACAATCACTCAGAGCTTATTGTGGAAACGCTCAAGAACAATGGCCAGACTTGCTTTCAACTATTTTAATGGCTTATCGGAAATCACCATCTTCACATTCTACAGAATTTTCCCCTTATTTGTTAGTGTTTGGGGAAGAAATGAACCTTCCCTATGATGTTGCTCTCGACCCACTGGAAAGCATGGGTAGAGATGCTAAAGCATACATCAGAGAGTTTTTGGAAAATATGAGGGTATTTGACAAAATTGCTAAGGAAAATATTGCATGGCATCAGTCTCAAAACAAAATTAGGCATGACTTAAACTCAAATATTCCAGATTTTCAACTAGGTGATCAGGTTCTTATCAAGGTCAACAAAGTTCCCAAGGGGTTGTCTAGTAAACTGTACGACAAGTCTGATGGACCATACCGAATTGTCGAAATGGGTCCTAATTTTACTTACAAACTTCGTAGATGTATTGACGACAAATTACATGGTTCTATGATGAATGCTTCAAATCTGAAACATTATCATGACCCAGAGGTCACAAGACCTACTTTTCATGATCCTGGAACACAAGGTCAAAGGGATGCATTTCAAGGTCAAAGTCATAATCAGAATGCTCAACCTCAAGGTCAGGAGGAAACTCAGCATCATCAAAATATTGATGCTGATAACAATGATACTGATATCGTGCAAGATGACGGTTTAGGTCGACTATTTCATGATCAGGATGAGAATGCAGATCATCAAAATGGTTCTACTGATGATCAAAATTCAAAGAATGAGTCCATAGACTCAGGTCAAAGGTCAGAGGAGGATTCAGATACTCCTGAAGAGGAGATCTATGATCCACAGAAAAAGTGGAAATTCAAGAAATTTTTGAGAGGTCGCTTCAAAAATGGTCGTAGAGAAATTTACATTGAATGGGAAGATGGTTCTAAGACTTGGGAACCAGACCAATGTTTTGACAATGAGGTCTTAGAGATGATAAATCGTAAGTTTACCAAACTTGGCACAGTTAGGAAATCTTGTTTCAAGAGGAATTATTAGGTCTTTAATAAAAAGAAGACAAAGAAAATGTTTCAGGAAAAACAAAAGTAATATATTTTTTTTAATTGCTCAATGCTACTTTACAATGCCAAAACTCTTTGTACTGCATTAAGTATTGAGGTAACACTATGTCAAAACTTTTTTTACTACATAGTGGTTGATATTCGCAGTTATGGGCTTGTGTCATTTAAATAAAAAAAAAAAAAGATAGGTTACTGTAGAACAGTTGATAAAGCATGTAAGATTAGTTATTTTGTTTATCTCACCATGATAAGCTCTACAGATTTCATTTTTTTGTTGTTGTTGGGATTAAACAGGTGATAGTCAAATATGTGTGTTGAATTCCTAAACGGCTAGCCACTAAATTAAATTTTTAATTATTTTGATTAATCTTTTTTTTTTTCAAATTTATTTGCAAAAATTTAGGATAAAGTATTACTGATGTGATGTAGTCACCCCTTTTTGTAAATTTAATTTACAGTAATATTAGTGCTAGAAAATTTGAATAACGATCGGTTCATCTTTTCATGACATGATCATCACATCTTTAATAGTCTTTTTCCATTTTCATGACTTTGTAGGGAACTTTGGAATTCAACATTATATGTTTGGGATATTCATGATGTTATCCTTGTGTATGGTAATGGGCCAAGCAAGTCAAGTGGATCCATCTTCTACCAATGTAATACAACGTATCAACTATGGTGTGATTTTTCAAGAACAGTCGAAAATCATGTTAGCTCAAGAATATTGGCTGCATACATTTCATATTCCTTTGCCAACAAGATTTAAGGTCAAAAAGGTTCCTTTTTGTTCACTTGGTAATACTCATAGAGTCTCTTCTTGCTTGCTACTAAATAACTTGGCTAACTTCATCCATGGGCTGCATGAGGAAACTCTTTTACATTTTAATGAAACTATACAATCTATTCGGAACATGATCCCTCAAACCAAGCTTACAAGTAATCAACGACAAACACGTGCCCTTTTGCCTTTTATTGGATCTTTGTCAAAGAGTATATTTGGGACAGCGACCATGGATGATGTTAATATTTTAGCTGGTCATATCAATGCTTTAAATAGGAAAACCGAAACACTAGCTAAAGCTTTAGAACAGCATGGTTCCCATCTTTCTTCTTTTATTTCACTAACGGATAAACGCATGAAAAATTTAGTACATGGAATAAAATCCAACTCTGACTATATAACTAGTGTAGCAACTGCCTTTAACAACAAATTGTTCAATCTTGAAGCTGCTTTCACAAATGTTTCTGAAATTCTTGTTAATCAGGTGAATCAAGCTACATTACTTAGATCCAAATTCACTAAGTTAGAAAATGCAGTAGAAAGTCTCTTAGAAGGAAAAATTAGTCCATTTTTAATTCCAAAGCACATTTTGTCAAAAGTGATTTCTAATATTCGGCACAAACTTCGAAAGTCATACCAGAAATTTTATTTGGTTCAACTTGATGCTTCATTTTACTATTCAGGTGGAAAATTTCTTTTTGCTAGACATAAAAATAATTTGTTTATCACTGTAAAATTTCCAATTTCTTCTCAGAGACTTCCACTGAATCTATATAAGGTAATAGGTCTCCCTGTACCAACTTCAGAAAATGTTACCTCTAAGATGCAAGCTACACAACTTCTGTCCTTGTCAGATTATTTTGCAATCACCCCACATCATGATTATTTTCTGTCTTTAAATTCAAAGGATTTGACAGATTGTGTACATGGCACCTCTATTTTGTGTTATTCTAATTGGCCTCAGTCCCCTATTACGGTTCCTGACTGTACCATGGCCTTATTTGCAAACGATGTTAGAAAAGTTAAAGAGTTGTGCAATTTTAGATATCTTCAAAATATGTTAAAATCTAATATTATGGAATTATCTCCAACTTCTGTTCTATTATATAATACTCCCACTGTAGTATTGGATTGTCCAAAAGAAAAAAAGGTTTTGAAAGGGTGTGCTTTTTGTGTGTTGCATATTCCATGTAGGTGTTCGTTATCCACGGAAACATTGTTCTTTGCACCACGCCTGGTCAATTGTTATAAAGCATCATCAAATTTCTCTGTTATTCACCCTGTAAATTTAGCACTCTTACAAGAATTTTTTGATGAGTCAAAATTAAGTCATGTTTTCGGAAATACTTATTTCCCAACACCTATAAACATGTCCATTCCTGAATTTGTTTTCTATAACCATACCATGCATGATGTTTTAGCAAATGATCAAAAAGCTCATTTAAATTTGAAGAAAATAGCCAAAGCAGTGAAAAATGATCAGAAAATTTTTAAATCCCTTGCTGAACCTCTGTTAGATGGTCAAATTGAAATTCCTCAAGAATGGCCCAATACTTCTGATATCATAACCTTAGTGTCTTTATGCTTAGCAGGTTTATGCTTAGTAGTATGTATCATATTATGTGTCAAGGTCAGAAAAATTTGTACCACCTTGTTAATTTTGAAAGAGGTTCAACATGCATCCTCTAAAGAGATTCCCTCTTTTATCTATAGGAAACCTGTCACTATGACACCTCCTAATGATACTAGTGACTGGTTGAGTGAGTTCACATGGATACATGCTTCTGTTATAATATCTGTCATTGTTTTAGTAATTCTTATTATTGTTATGTATCTCCTGTATAAAGCTAAGTCAAAAAAAGGGTCAGTCGTAGCACTTGAGTTAACCTCAGGGGGAGACTGTGTGATAATTCCAATTACAAAATTATCATTATGTCCATCATACTATACCATCACCAAACCCACCATTACAGATATCTCAGTTTCAAGCTTTCCAACATGCAAAGTATATGCAACATGGTCCAATTTTTCAGTTACAGACAAACAAACACAAACAACCATACAAATTCCTTCCAAATTTTCAATAAACTTTTGGTTACATTATAAGTTAAGCCATATTCTCAAACAACCTTTTAGAGCACATGTCATAATTGTACACAACCAGTATGCATTTCACTTGCAGAAAACAGAGTAAATACAAAGCTTCTATCAATGACCTAAACAGAAAAGATTAATGTGACAATATAAAAAAAAAAAAAAAAAAAAAAAAAAAAAAAAACTCATGGTAAAATTTAATTTTTTTCTATAAAATTCTAGAATAAAACAAAACAGAATCACAAAACTTTGCCAATATGTTTCTAATCATATAACAAGTTTTTCGATTTACTAACTTAAATGGTCTTAGGTTCATTCTAGCTGTTCATAATTTCATTGGCTTATTTTTTTCTGTCCTATATTACATTAATGTAGATATCTTTTAAGTGAAAAATGTACATCTTTTGGTTGTCACAACTAAGGTGACTATAATTCATTAATTTTTTTTTACTTTTATGAATACAATAATGTTTCTTGTACATACTTTACGTAAATGTAATTTTTTTCTTTTCAATCTTTTTGTGGTGTTCAATATTGTACATTTGATAATAGTAGTGTTTATGTATAGAAATTTGAGCTTTCGGGGACGAAAGTAATTGGAGCAAGGGGGAAGATAGTCATGTTGTATATTTTATTTGTCAAAATAAAGTATATCAGGAAGGACAGTTATGTAGAATGACTAAGTATATACTGTGTTTTTCTTTATTATTCATCAAAATAGTGTAGAACGAAAAAGTAGTAATGTAGTTTTTTTGTGTTTGATTATTTTTACTTTTTTTATATAGTACAGCTGTATATTCATATATATTTCTGTTTACGAGGTTAGATATGTTAGTTACAATAGTTTAAATAATTTTTGCTTTTACGTTCATAAATTGAGGCAGATTCAGTGTGTGTTATTCAAGACAAATAATTAAATCTGGTCAATTTACTTGTCAAAACTCCATCTGTTAGGTATGTTTTGTAAGAATAGCACAAAAATGTACAATGATGTAAGTTTTTATTCAGAGATTCGAGTTAATTTGCAGATAGGTGTTATGTTGTTTGCATTTGTCCTTAAGGGTTTCCTTTCATCTTTTTTTACCTAGTGTCAAAATCAAGATATACTCAGGTGTCAGTAGGTTTTTCTTTGTTAGGGGATTACACTTGTTAGAGTCAATTAATTGATAATGGTCAGTGTCCGGAGATCATGGTCACGTGATCAGCTATAATCGAATTTTCAATTAACGAAGTTATTCAAGAACAAAGAATCTGAATTTTGATTGGCCAAAATTGACCAGGGAAGCCCGGGTCTCCGATTAAGATTGCGTACCCTACCTCGGTCATTCTAATCGGAGACCTGAATAAAGTAGTATCATTTACTTAGCGCTTCCCTGTGTCTAATTTCAGGTAAAATTATTTGTATGTTTTCTTAAAGTAATTGTAAAAGTTTCTTTTTTCTATTTCTTAAAGTTAGTTAAAGTTTTATTTAGTTCTCTGGAAATTTGAGCTTTCACGTAAAGTATAATTCTATTATAATTATTTGTTACACAATAATCAGTTTATTCAGTTTTAAGGTTTTTATTGTTTAAACTTCTTATAAAAAATTGTTTTTGGTCATTATTCATAACTAAACTTATGTTTATATTGACTCATATTATTTGGTTTTAAATTTTTGGTGGTAAGCCAGCAAAGTTCGGAAATAATTTGTTCAGTTTAGGTTTTGGGTTTTAATGTTATTAAACTGGTTTTCACAACGAATCAACAATCATGCGGCAAGTAACTTTGATATTGTAAGTTTTGTTAAAGTATTCCTTTCATTGATTAATGTAGTAAGGATGTTTAATGTAAAATAATGGGTTTTATGATTTTTCTTATTATGAGTTAAAGTTATTCATATTGATAAGGTTAACGTAAGCTTGTTTACATTTTGTAAGTTCGAATTTCCTTACTAAATGTTTACATTCAATTCTTATTTAGCCAAATGACTTTGTTTAGTTTTTTTTTTTATATAGAGTGAGTATTTTTGTATTGTTTGATCACTCTATCAGTCACCAGAGTTAGGTAAGTTAGGGCACCAACCTTTGTAATGCTTTATGCAGGTAGAAATATAATTTTATTGTGCCTGGTGACTATATATTTTGTATCATTCTAATCGGAGACCTGAATAAAGTAGTATCATTTACTTAGCGCTTCCCTGTGTCTAATTTCAGAGTAATCGTCCCAAACCTATTTGGACCGGACATTACGTCATTAAAGGGTCCTCTCCACTGCCAGCGAGTCAGTTCCCCAAACTCAGATCGTAGCCAAAAAGGCGACATGATAGAATCACCAAATAAATAACAAAACTACATAAATTCAAAAAGAAAAAAAAACTGTTCAGTTATCATTTCCCAAAATTATTTTCTTCTGTTTCCTAACGAATATTAGGTATATCTTTACAAAAAATTCAAAATGAGACACGGTAAAGACCTAAAAGTACTTAAATTTGGGAAATCCCGCAGGAAACCCGGGGCAAATAATTTTGCTTGTTAATTTGTCTTTGGTGGTTTCATGGAAACATTAAAAGTTTATTTAATTGATAAATAATAATATTTCTGGCTTTAAAGTATTTTTGATAAAGACCCTATACAAAATGAAATTATTACATGTAGCCATCTTCCAAAGACAAGAGTCTCTGATCCACTCTGGGTTTATGTGGAGCAAATTCCTTGTAGATTAGAACTTTTAAAAAGACACACTCATTAAGATAAATTAAATTTTCTACCAAGCCTCTTTCTTTACTCCTCACTAAAATATTAACAGCAATGAAGGAAATTTTCCAGGAGTAATGTACAACAGTATATTCGAGAAGTGGTGTGATTCAGATCTGGACGCTTAAAAATTACAATAAACTATTTGAAAAATTTAAAATCACAAAAAACATCCATAAGATCAAAACGTAAGTTATTTTTCATTACTTTATAGAACAATTCCGCACAATAAATTAAAGACATCTGCTTTTTCAATAAAATTGGAACTCTTAAATTTACTTACTTTGTCATTGGTCATGTGCAAAATTATCTTGCTTAAAATATTCTGATTGTACACACAAGCACTCTTAAGTTGACATTAAAAAGATGCTCGAGTTTCTGATTGACAATATCTATGTGGTTTTTGGAGACCAGGTCTTTCAACAATGTATTGGAATTTCCATGGGTACCAATTGCGCCCCGTTATTAGCAGACCTATTTCTGTATTCATATGAAGCAGAATTTGTTCAAAATCTTTTAGGTGAAAAGAAGAAAATACTTGCTATGGTCTTCAACTCGACATTTAGATATATCGACGACGTATTGTCAATTAACAATGGTTATTTCCATTCTTATGTCGATACGATAGGCAGATAAAGGATGTGGCCGGTCGACAAGGATGAGGTCTTCAATATAATAATATTGTGTAGATTTTACAGATAGGTGGGTCAATAAAAGTAAAATTCAGCTCGAAATAAAAGACACCAGAGAGCCTGTCATATCTGCTTCATATTTGGATGTTTTGCTGACCGAAGTTGACAAAGGCCAACTAACAACTAAATTGTAAGACAACAAGAAGACTTCAGCTTTTCCTTCATAAACTTTCCTTATTTATGTAGTAATATTCCACTTTCACCTGCGTATGGTGTTTATCTCCCAACTTATTCACTACAGTACTCAAGGGGATGCTCTGAGTATGATCATTTTATAAACCGAGGCAGGCTACTCACTCATAAGTTGATGTTACAGGGATTTCAGCAATCTCGTTTAAATCAAGTCAGCTTTTCGTAAATTCTAATCCTTGTTAGCGAATATAACCTTTCATTTAGTGGTAATTTGGCCGACTTTTTTCATACCAATTGTTAAACCTTTGTTTTATACTAAATTTGATTACGGAATGTTCCGTCTATTTAATCAATATACAGAGCTTACGGCGGGTGTGACCGGTCAGCAGGGGGTGCTTACTCCTCCTCAGCACCTGATCTCACCTCTGGAATTTCCAGGGGTCCGTGTTAATGCCCTGTTTACATATTTGTATTGTTTGAAGTCTTAAGTCCCTGTTCGTTATCTTCACCTTTTTTTCATTCTGATTAAATTATTCTATTTTTGACAATCTGGAAGAGGAACTCTATGTTATCTACATCTGGTTTAAAAGAAATTCACAAATTCATGTTGAACAAATATTTTATTCTTCATTAAAAACAAAATAAGAGTAACAAATGTATATCAATATATTAAGATAAAATGTCTAACAATATACATGTTTATACATATAAAAAAAAGTCTCGTTTAAGTATCATGGTACATGTTTCTCAGTTTTTTAATTACACGTACACGCGTTCATCGGTACGTTCATGAACCCAGCCTGTACATGAACTGTAAACTAAGGAAAGGTGAACACGCCGTGTGGCATTGATCATTCATGAGATTCTGGTGAAGTCTCCATAAACTAGTTCCCTCCTCAGTCTTCCTTCCATAGCGTGCACTTGCCGAGACTTTGGATGTGCACGTCCGTGATCTGTTGAGTCGTTGCCCTTGTGGAACTCCGTTGGCGTACAATCTCAGCAGTCCCCTCGATATCAATCACGTGGTCTGTGACGTCCATCAACATACCCTGATGGCGGTTGTGATATTGAACGTTGGCAGTCATGCGCACGCGCACGAACTTCTTGACACAACCTTTTTCATAAACGGTATCTACCTCCGCCTGATCGTCGTCAACACTAAGTACTTCTACGTCACCAGCAACACGTGAGACTTCGTCATAGATGACGAACTTGTCGCCTGCTTCCACTGCGCATATACTGAAAGCAAATCCTTCCACTCGGCTGTCCGACCAGAAATAGTTCTCATTGTTATTTCGGGTATTTCCCTGGAAGGTCAGTCGCTTTCCGTATCCAAAGCCGACGGATTGAAGCATGCGCGGTTCTCCATTAAACAGGAAGTCTTTGGTTCCCATGTAGCGGACTTGGTAGCAGAATCCGGGGCAGATTTTATCGTCAACGTGAAAACCTGAAAGAAACAAATATCTTTAAAAACCCCTGGTACATTATATATTTTTTAAAAAACGGACAATTTAATTAAGATCAAAGGGCAGCATTTAAAAAAATGATAAATTATTTTTGTCACTGTAATGAATACTTTTCAAATCCATTTTACTTTGATTTGAGAGCTCAATTTTTTTTTCCTGACATGGATGTTGACAGAAATATATTGTAGAAATCATACAGGCATAGAATATGATTGTCACGTGGTATAAAACTTTTCTTACAGAGATGTTTTATCGGAAAATAAGTTCATGTTTATTACTTGGGAAATTGCAACATTTCCTGTAGTATCCACATCCACAAATTGCTTCTGCTTTCTTGTTTCTTCTTTTATCCTTCCTTCCTCTTCTTTCTCTCCAATTAAGTGATGTTGATAATCTTGTTCAGAATGTTGCAATTATACCCATTAATATCAGGGGTTAAATTTTTGGTCATAATTAATTTTTTTTGGTTTGGTTCATGTGTATGTTAATGTTAACACACCATTCAAGTTCGAATACCACGTGACAAATAACATTTGACTGTTTATTTTATTTTTTCCTCTTTGTGTGTTTGTTTGTTTTCCCACTATGTAACATAAGTATGTTACAACTTACGCTTTACGTATCTACCGAGCAGTGTCACAGCAGAAAACGTTGTTAACTGAAAAGACAAAACCTTTTCAAACCACACACACCAAGGTCAACAAACAGGTCAAGGTCATGTTACAAAGTTTGTAGTCAGTTGTATGGAGAGAGAGAGAGAGAGAGAGAGAGAGAGAGAGAGAGAGAGAGAGAGAGTGAAATAAATAAATAAATAAAAAATAAACATATTTAAGAACAAATTCTTGAAATGAAGCATTTTTGTATGTTCATGTGTATATATTCATGTTCATGATTAATATTAAATTAGAAATATTTCAAAAAGAAAAAAAATCTTTTGAAGCTGAAAATAATAAATAATAATAATAAAAAAAATAGTATTTTTGTTGCTTTTTTTATTGTTTTGTTTGTTTGTTTATTTGGTTTTTTGTTGTTGTTCTTTTTTTTATTTGTAAAATAATAAGATTTTGTTAAAAAAAATCAATCTGGGAAAATAATTCGTTCCAAAGCAAACAGATCGCTATTTGGTAGAAAAATTGATCTAGGAAAATCGTTATTTGGGAAACATGATTCATGCATGCGGCTGAGTTGCAGATCCGTCTGGCGTGTTCTTGCTTAAACCAGTTATCAGATCGTCTGCACCTGAGAGTTGCTATAGGAAACAGTCTATTTTGAGTAAGTACAAAGGTCGAGCAGTCACATACATTACATAAAGTCATTATTATCAAATATTTCCCTGAATATTTAAAAATCCGGTGATAAGTTAATACTATACAAATATGAACAAGAAATTAATTGTGCAGTTTTCATTCACTAAACGTGCTTAATGTACAATGTAATAAATTATTTTTTTCTTTTTTGACAATATATATATTTAATAATCAATGAAGCTCTTAGCTCAAGACTTTCTTTGATTTTAAAAAAATCGAATTTGAAACATATAAATTTCAGACCATTTAAATGATTTCTGGGGAAATGGTTCTAAATATATCCTAGTACGAGGGGGGGGGGGGGGGGTATTTTTAGCAAAATACATAGAATTTATTTTTCGTGTCCGATACTTTACCTTAAAAAATTATTCCATTGACACCCCCCTTCTTTTTAAAAAATAAAATTATCTTACCTATAACAGGGAATTCGTGTGGCCGGATTCCCGCCGACTGGTACTGAATGGAAAAATCCCGCTCATGTATGACTGGTGTTTCTTCATCCTTCAGACCCTCTAGGGACGAGTCACGACACTCCCTCTCCCCGGCGATGGGTGGATCATGGCGTAAAACCTGGGGCGGGTGGAATAAATCCTGTAGGGACTGTCGGAACTCGCGCCATTTGGACTGGTAAAGATCCGCACCCAGAGATTTGAGATCCTCGGGGCGTACGGTAGCATACAAGGATAATCTTTTAATCAAAAAGCTTTCATCGACTTCCTCAGGATTTTCAAAATCAAACTCATAATTCTTAATAATTGGCATATTGGACTCTTTGAGGATTTCTTTGGTATAAATATCTGTACGATTTTAATATGAACGTCTTTCTCTTTGTATAGCTACCTCTGTTATGATTACTCAACACAAATGTGTTATTTCTTGTACACTATCGAATATTGATGAACAGCCAATCAGAAAGGGCTGCGTTTACATTGATATTTTTCATTGGTTGACTAGTTGTATTTTTCCCACGTGTAGACAGCATGCTCAGCAGTCTTCCATTCAATCTTGAACTTTGACCCTGTCCACGTCAATGTTTACACATTCCTTAGCTTGTAACATTACGCAATGTATTTATATTGGACTTTTTGACCGCGATATCTTGGCGGCAAACAGTTAAAACTTGTGTCCGAGTTTTATAACATTTGTGACGCCGAAAGAGCCATTTATATAATTACATGAATATGTAGACCTACACAGATGTAGAATGGGGGGGGGGGGGGGGGAGGCATATTGATATAAAAAGACAAAGAAGAGCTACACATGTAGTGATAAGGAAAGATTAATATTTTGTGCAGGGAAAGGATATTTGAGACTGTAAATAGCAGAATTATAATTGCAAAGGGTGTGGATGGAAATTTTATCGGCGGGAAATTTTATAGGATATTTTAGCGGAAGAAAAATCGGTAACATTAATCATGTTAATGGAAATTTTAGCAGATATTGTTAGAGGTAGAATACAGACCGAGGACTAATACTGAGTAATTATATATGTTGTATTTTATTGCTGATTTACTATATTTTAATAGTGTTAGCTTGTGTTTTAACTGGAATTTAATGAAAATTATTCTGCTCAAAAACGTACTTTGACCTTTAATAGATGACAAAAAAATAGAAAAAATAAACGAAAATAAAAGAGAACACGCAGATCGAAAGATGTGTTGTCTTTCAAAAGTTTTTTTTTTTTGGGGGGGGGGGCACTATCAAATACCAAAAATTCCTTGACAAGCAAAAGAAAAGGTAATCTAAATCTCGGCAAAATTATTGGGGGGAAGGGGGAGGGAGGAACGTTCATGCCATGTTGATTATGTTAATTGTCAAATGTTTTTTCAGCATTGATGATTCAGTTAATTAATGCAGATTTACAATATTTCTAGCTAAATATTTTTTAAAAAAATTTTTGCACTATATATTTATGATTTATCAAAATATCAGACACATGTTTTTTTAATTTGAAAACATTAATATATAATTAATTAAATCTTATCAACTTCTTAAATAGTATTCAAAGAGAGATAACTCATGAAAACTTAAGTTGGCTCCTAAAGAAATCCACATTTGATTCTTTCAGATATCAAAAACATTCATATATATAATTATAATTATGTATGTGTGTAGTGTCATAGTGTATGTATAGATACAGTCTACATTTTTTGTATTTTAGAAAGTTGAGCAAAGGCGCATAAAATGGGGGGGGGGGGGGGGAGGGGGGCTGCCCCAACTTTTTTTTTTGAGTGACGTGAAATCCGGCCCTCATGGTTATGTTAACAAAATTATTTTTTTCTGGTAAAAAAAAAAACAACTTGGAAAACCACCCCCCCCCCCTAAAGGAAGAATGATTGTCGAGTTTGGGATATTGCCCGATTTTCCTTTTCATTTGCTTATCAAAGATTGTCAGGTAAGTTAATTAATTTTTCCGACTACCCCCCCCCCCCTCCTCCCCCTTTAAAAAACGATACTTTTGCGCATGGCTGGAGCAAGCATAATTTACACTGTATAAATAAAAAAAAAGACAAATGAAAGAGTATACTGGTATCGTGTATCCTCATAATAAGCGGAGAGCTTAATTCAACAATTCCCACACTGGGAAAGATTCCACGTGGCGATGCTAAAGGATTTATTATTACAATATATACATGAAGATTATACGGACCAAGAACATCAACGTTCATTAAAACAAAATAATTCCCACTGTAAAGAGGTCCTATACCTGAGATAAAATACCAAAGTACTCAGAATTCTCACTTTGAAATATAGCACAATATACATTACCGTGCTTATTGTTCAGGTATCAGTAAAATATCAACAACATTGGGGGGGGGGGGGGTCTTTAAAACATCTTATTCTAGAAAACAGCAAGACCTATTGGTTCTAGTTTGTCTACATTTAATAATTTTATTGAAAATATTGAAAAGAAAAATTATCACTAAATAAATACCTTAACGTTAAAAACAAAATTGATTCCTGTAATATAATTCTTTAAGACTATAGTCCACAATTTGCAAATTTACTGAAAGGTTAATAGATAAGTTATAGGCGATAGTGATAGGGTCAGACTTTGGAAGATTGACTACTTAAAATTGAGAATCCATTACTCTGTACAAACAAGCCTACAGTCAAATCTGTTTGCATCCTATTGTACACAAAGACTTGAAAGGCAGATTAATCAAACCTTAATCTAAGAAATCAGTCAAAAATCTATGGCATCAAAAGTTACATAATAGTGCAAGGTACGTCAGGTGTTCAGATGTTTCTTATTATCCAAACATGAGTCAGATTAAAATTATACAGATCTTATTCTTTCTACGTATGTAAATTTCGGGGGAAATAGCCTTGATAAAACTGGAGATGGAAAGATACCAGATGGACATAATTGAGCTAAGTGACACTAGGTGGCCTGGAAAAACTTCAATGCAAAGTGGGAAACTAGCACTTTACTCAGGAAAAAATAAGGCTTTCACCAGGAGGATGTAGGAATCATGCTACGCAGTATCTAACGGAGTTAAGAAGTCCCTGGTGCAATGGATACCTATAAATAAGAGATTGATATAGACAAGGTTCTACACAACTTTAAACATAAGCCTGATGTAGAATATTCTAGTACAAATGAAAACCCTGAAGGGACGAAAGAGAATTTTCTTGAGCAATTACAGAAAGTCATTAATAGCATTCCAAAACATAACATTTTGCTCATTGTTGGAGATTTTAATGCAAAGATTGACAGCAAGAACAAAGGTCATGAAAGTGCTCTGGAGAAATATGGGATAGGGGAACGAAATGAACAAGGAGAGAAATAATTGGATATGTGCGAGATTACCAATTTAGTTCAAAATTTGATCCAAAATGCTAGAGGAATTGGGAAGTGTATATTGATTGATTGATTGTTTGTTGTTTAACGTCCCTCTCGAGAATTTTCCACTCATATGGAGACGCCGCCACTTGTCAGTGGAGGGCTACAAATTTTGACCTACACTAGGGCCATTGAGCAGTGAGGGATCTTTTTCGTGCCAGCACCTACTGCGATACGGGACCTCAGTTTATAGGTCTCATCCGAAGGACAGATCTCCACGTCCCGCAGTGGGATTCGAACCTGCGACGTAAGGATCAACTTACTCCGCGACTCTAGAGCAGATGCTCTAACCACTGTGCCACGAGGGCGAGGGGAAGTGTAAAGGACATCTGGGAAAGCATGGGAAAAGACCATTCATGTACTGAGACAGAGGACATAATACTTGGAGTAAAGAAAAAAGGACAAAAACCTTGGATAAGCAGAGATTTAGGGAAACTTGTAGAGAAAAGGGACAGCTAAAACTCCAACTTACCAACAGTAAATCAGAACGATTGAAAAGAAATTAAATAATTGAGAGAGAGAGAGAGAGAGAGAGAGAGGTAAAATGCAACACGAGGGATGACAGGAGAAAGTGGTCAGACAAGATTTCAGAAGCAGGAAGAACAAGCAACAAGCAGAGAGAGAGAGAGAGAGAGAGAGAGAGAGAGAGAGAGAGAGAGAGAGAGAGAGAGAGAGTAGCCAGTAATGGCTACAGTAAACCAGTGAAAGAGATAACTAGAAGACATGATTAGAGAAGCAGAAAGAGTAGCCAGCAATGGCTACATTAAACAGAGTGTAGAAAACAGAGTCCCAAGTAACGGAAGGAAAGGAGACAACAGCAATAAAAGACAAAAAGAGCAAAATCCTGAGCAGCCAAGATGAAAGAAAAGATGGAAAGTTCACTTTCAAGAAACTGAACACCCTTTAAAAGCTGAAAGTGAAGGAAATTCAATAGATCAGATAGATACTAATACCGGTCTCATAAGAAAGGAAATATCGTCAAGGCTATAGAAAAATTTAAAAATGGAAAAACTTGTGAAGTAGATGGAATAGGAGCAGAAATGAAAGCTTTCACAGATACAAGACAATATCTGGAAATGCCCTTTATATGGGCAGCGGAAAGGGCAAAAATTACCATAATGAGAAAACAAACAATTATTATAACTTCAATGACCATAAAAACTTAACAAATGACATTCAATGCATAATCAACAGACCTTTTCGCAAAACAAACATACATTAAAGCAAAACCAACGACCACGTACGTAACAAACATATATAAATGCAAAACGAACGGTCATCTTTGCAGAACAAACGTACATAAAAACAAGACAAACGGTAAAAACTTAAGGAGGCTCATTACACCCACAGTTTATTTTAGTTTTCATTAAAGCACCACTTATTATGATGATTTCAAATATCCAAATGGAGGTTATGATACGATAAATATTTTTTAAAGATTTTTAAATATTTTTTTCTGATTTTGGTTAAATGTTTTATTTCAAGTTTCTGATTGATAGTATTGCAGAAATCTCAGTGTCAAGTCATGGATATCATCTTCAGATATGTAAGCAATATAATAACACTTCATAATATTCAATATTATTTTAATTAAAAAAAATAATTATATCCCAAAAAAGAATTAATGTGATTTTCTTCTTAATCTTTGCATGAATAATTTGGAAAATCAGTTAAAAATAGACAATAAATGTATACTAATGAAAAACAAGTGACAAATTGAATAGAAATATTTTTAGGAAATGAAAATTCCAATTTAAAAAATATTTGGAATAAGAAGTCAACTTGCAAGAGTTATCTTTCCTAAATCCCCCCGACTCAAAACACTCAGGAACGTTTGAACATATCAGATTTAGAATAAGCTAAAATTTCTAGAATAAATATACATTTTTCAAAGAAATAAAGACAAGCACAAAAACCAGCTAGAGTACAGTACACTTAAAGCGCAAGTCAATTATAATTTATTTCAACGAGGTTGTAGATTTCA